CGACATATGCTCCAGAAGGTTCTACTATGACCCATGACCAGTGCTCCATACGGTACATAGTCTTATGACTTATTAGTTGTAGATATGACTCAGACTGGATATGGGTATAAATACTGTAGCTACTTGGTTGTATTCTCCAGTCTTCGAATTCACTTCTCTTTTTGACTATTGTTTTTGGTTGATTGTCACATTTCTCATGCTTGATCTTGCAGGAATATCTCTCCCTTTGCCTCATGCACTTGGACTATGCTAATGTGCTCAAATCCCAAATTTTGGGTGCCCAGTGGTCCACCATTTGCGAGCAGTAAATACAGGCTTCTGAGAGCTAAGACATTGTCTGAGACTTCATAATAACTACTGCAGCATATATTAGTACTCAGGCTGATTCCCAGCCTACCATGCAGGCAGTGGACAAATGGCCAGGCAGTGTCCCAATCAGGAAGACACCTTCAGAATGGCCTCCAATCAGGGGGGTGGGGGTGGTTTGATGGCCTCTGAAGGTGGCCTCGAAGCCATTTTACATCATAATGGGAGGTCCCTGAGGTGTGTAGTAGAATCTTCTAGAGCACATGGTACACAGTCTTTGTACAGATAACACCTCTGAACCCCTAACCTGGACCATGTGGTGCCGTGATCCATGATAAGATAGCCTGATGTTGAGATTCAATAAGATTGTTGATAGAATGATGAGAGAGTGATTGAGTTATGACATTTCACATGTGAGGGTAGTATGTATCCAGTGCCTTGTCATTATGGAATACATAACTCTAATGATCTGTCTATGCATGTCATGCTCCATGACCCAACTGACTCATAGGTGCATGAGTCACATCCCCCTTGTGCACGGTACTGGATGGTGGTGAGGCAACAATCCGGATATTCTTGATGAAAAATGCTGCCATAAGTGCCAGCCCTGCCACTGGCACACCAAGCACAAACACAATCCGAAGGGACTGCAGGTATGCTTGCACAACACCTGGGACCAGAGATGGATCAAGTGAGGTATAGATAGCAGTTGGGCTCTGTTCAACAATGGATGCTGGTGCCACCTCAGTTACCACCGCCATCACGCGGTTCTCCCCCCGCGGGGTACCTACTGGGTACCCTCAGACGTCTTGCTGAGGGTACCCAGTAGGTACCCCCTGGCGGGGGGTGGGGGGGCCATTTAGTCGATTTAGTAGCGGGGGCATATGCGGGGGTCAGGAGGAGGGGGGGTGTATGTAGCATGTGACTTGTCCATAAGAGCGGGTAGCTGGGCGGGAAAAAAAAATCCAATCACATGACGCGCTGCATGGGCGGGATGGCGGGATAAAAAAATCACGTGATGCGCTGCACAAAAAATTACCAAAATGCTGGCAGGGGTTGGCGGGGTCATTGGCGGGGTCACTACCACCCCCCCGCACACCATGGCGGGCAGTGGGCGCATTATCACGTGACTTTTTGGGCGCCTTTTTTGCAGCATCTGGCATGATTTTGGAAATGCTGCTTGATACATTGCATGCTGTGGCAGACAATGGGCGCAAAATCACGTGATTTTCCGCCCAAAAAATGGAAGACTCCCCAAATCATCCCAGTATAATTTCCATAGGTAAATAGGCTAGTTAAACATGAACTTGAGCTTAGAAAAACCAAAATGCACCCTGCACAATGGGATTGGTGACACACTTGATCCCATCATTTGGCAGGGCCTGCCGCAGGGGCTGCCGCGGGGGGTGCCGCAGGGGGTGCCGCGGGGGGTGCCGCAGGGGGTGCCGCGGGGGGTGATGCGGGGGCTGCCCCAGGGGGTGCTGCGGGGGGGTGCTGCAGGGGCTGCCCCAGGGTTGGTCTGTTATGATCCATTTTTGTTCATTGAAGATCTTGTAGAGGTGAGCAGGGCAACAGGCCAACTGGGAATTTATAGGAAGACATTGAAATTGATGCAGGGGTCAGATACAGGGCCCACTGCAAGGTCTACTGCAGGGGCAGGGGTGCATTATATCAAATTTCGATGTATCTATTCTGGCCATGGCCATAGAATGTCACATAATTATCCTTCAATTTGGCAGGGGTTTCTTGGTATGGTCTGCAGCTAAAGGCATTTGATTCGCTTGTGCTTTAGCAGAGGCTGGGATATTGAAAACATGCAATAGCACCTGTATAATCTGTTTATGTAGGGTCAAATACAAGTTATGACTTGGTACATTTGGGCATGGTCTGCTAAAGCTATTAGGTTGAATTTAACGTTTGAAAAATGCGCAACTTGATTTGTTTGGCAAATCCCCCAAGGGAGTTTTCCATGTGCCGCCAAATTGATTACCAGGAATAGCTACTGCTCCTTGTCCCTGTCTGTTTGCTTCAGATAGTCTGTCTGCTCCCAAATCTTCCTCTCCATTTTCAGGATATCTGATACAGGTGTTGGGATTGTTGATTGATGGATTTCATATTTCTTGTCTACACACCGTTTAGACACTTGAATGGATGTGATAATACTGTGAACACTAACAATGAATTAAGCAGCACTTTTGTCCATCCAATCCTTGCAGGGGCTGGGGCAGGGTTGATGGTGGGCGCTGCCGCGGGGGCTGCTGGGGGGGGTGCCGCGGGGGGTGCCCAAGCCTCTGCCAGCCTACCCAATGTGGATCAACTACAGGATCACTTTCCAAAGCTTCTGTACTGCAACCCAAGTGACTTCCAGGTTACCTTTACCCAATTCCAGTGACACAACTTGCCTGCTCTTGTTTCTGGCCGACAATTGATTTTATAAGCTTGAGTGTGTATGTGCACTTTTTGGTGGGAAAGGAGGCCATTTGGTGAGGGGCAGGGCACCGAAACATTGTCAAATACCACATTAAACATGACCAGTGGCTTACATCTCTTCAAACTGGCCCCTATCTCATGTTTATCAAGACCCTATTTTTCGGACCCATTTCAAGTTTTTGAATGGTTCCAGGGTCCAGGGCTCTCAGAATTTGTTTCAGACACTGCCAAGGGGTATATCATTCAGCTGTATTGAGTTGTTCATTTGTAGAAAATATATTTTTTGCAATACCCAAAGTGAACTATGTTGAACCATTATCTATGTAGGAACCTTGAGCAACTGTGAACTGTTTTCATGTTTCGAATTTTGGATGGACAAACAATATGAAATACCTACATATTCAACAAGAACAGCATAGGGAGACCTTATTCCGATGGTTTTCAGCTGCATAACTGTAGAAACAGTGTCAGAAGAGCAGGAAACACTTAGGTACGACGTTTATACAGGTTCTGATTGGCTGGTGACTTGACGTGTTCCGAGCTGTCAGATTATGTAATCTTACATATGAGAAGATGGCAGGGGCAAGGCACCGGTGCAGCGGGGGGTGTGGCAGGGGGTGTCAGCCTGGCGGGGGTGCATGCGGGGGTGCAGTGGGGGGTGCCAGTTTGGCGGGGGGTGCCTGCAGGGGTGCCAGTGGGGGTGCAGGTAGAGTTGCAGGCAGTGAGTTATGGCAAGAACGTATACAGTCCCAGTAGCAAAAGCAATCATGTATGTTTCTGCAGTTTGTCTTGCAAGTATCCAAGCTCTAAGTGGAAAGAATTTTGTATATGAAATCTGAATTCATGCTCAATCTCTGGCTATTGTGAGACAACTTATTAGTGAGTTAGTTCATCCTCTTATATACGACCCAGGAATGAATTGAGGGCATGTCAAATCCGCTATGTTCCATCTGTTCATGTTGCAGCTTGAGAAAATCATTTGCAAAGCATCACAGAACTTCTGATTTTCAATGAGTCCCAGTCAGGAAGTGAGACATTCAATGTGTACTTGACATGTGGTACAATGTGCCGCAGGGTAAGATTACACTGTGCTAACAGTGTGAACAATTGACTAATAGCCATGTATGTAGAATGAGCGCACCAAAAAATCAATGAGATGACAGTGGACCCAGTGCAGCCAACCTACCCACCCTGCCGGTCAACACATGAACAAATCATAACTTGTATTTGACCCTACATAAACAGATTATACAGGTGCTATTGCATGTTTTCAATATCCCAGCCTCTGCTAAAGCACAAGCGAATCAAATGCCTTTAGCTGCAGACCATACCAAGAAACCCCTGCCAAATTGAAGGATAATTATGTGACATTCTATGGCCATGGCCAGAATAGATACATCGAAATTTGATATAATGCACCCCTGCCCCTGCAGTAGACCTTGCAGTGGGCCCTGTATCTGACCCCTGCATCAATTTCAATGTCTTCCTATAAATTCCCAGTTGGCCTGTTGCCCTGCTCACCTCTACAAGATCTTCAATGAACAAAAATGGATCATAACAGACCAACCCTGGGGCAGCCCCTGCAGCACCCCCCCGCAGCACCCCCTGGGGCAGCCCCCGCATCACCCCCCGCGGCACCCCCTGCGGCACCCCCCGCGGCACCCCCTGCGGCACCCCCCGCGGCAGCCCCTGCGGCAGGCCCTGCCAAATGATGGGATCAAGTGTGTCACCAATCCCATTGTGCAGGGTGCATTTTGGTTTTTCTAAGCTCAAGTTCATGTTTAACTAGCCTATTTACCTATGGAAATTATACTGGGATGATTTGGGGAGTCTTCCATTTTTTGGGCGGAAAATCACGTGATTTTGCGCCCATTGTCTGCCACAGCATGCAATGTATCAAGCAGCATTTCCAAAATCATGCCAGATGCTGCAAAAAAGGCGCCCAAAAAGTCACGTGATAATGCGCCCACTGCCCGCCATGGTGTGCGGGGGGGTGGTAGTGACCCCGCCAATGACCCCGCCAACCCCTGCCAGCATTTTGGTAATTTTTTGTGCAGCGCATCACGTGATTTTTTTATCCCGCCATCCCGCCCATGCAGCGCGTCATGTGATTGGATTTTTTTTTCCCGCCCAGCTACCCGCTCTTATGGACAAGTCACATGCTACATACACCCCCCCTCCTCCTGACCCCCGCATATGCCCCCGCTACTAAATCGACTAAATGGCCCCCCCACCCCCCGCCAGGGGGTACCTACTGGGTACCCTCAGCAAGACGTCTGAGGGTACCCAGTAGGTACCCCGCGGGGGGAGAACCGCGTGATGGCGGTGGTAACTGAGGTGGCTGGTGCACCTGGTGCATACTTGGTTAGGGCCTTGCTCAGCTCTGAGGCAAAGACTGGCTCTGCAATACCAAGACCAAGTGTGCCACCAAGGAACTGTCCAAAGGACCCCATTGACACAGCTTGGCTCATTATCTGGGGTGTGTCTTTGAACTCAACCTGCATAGACAACAGTGTGTTCTGCATGACCATCCCTGTGCCAACACCAGTCAGAATCTGGAAACCAATGATTGTGGCAGATGATGTGCTTGTCTTGAGGGTGTAGAGAAGCCCAGAACCAAGTGCAAGGAGGACAGGTGATATGACCAGGAATGGCCAACTGGATGGACAGTCAATCAGGGAGAGAGAGAGGATTGGTATGCACATACTAATAGCCAAACCGTGACACAAGTTGACCACCAAGGATTGATGTGAGGACAACACCCATCATGAAAGGCAGCAGGCTAATCCCGGACTGGGTGGCAGAGCGATTGTGGACAGCTTGGTAGAAAATGGGGATGTAGTACGAGAACAGAAGCAGAGTGAACCGGGACAGGAGACAGTACAGAACAATTGCGTAGCTGAGAAAGACTTAGTGTGCAATAGCAGGAGTAATGCAGGCAGTGTGACTCACACTGAACGAGATTTGAAGATAGTGGTGGGTGTCATGGCACGGTCACCAGCACGGATCTCACAGAGAATGAAGACAACTGTGAGTATGGCAGCAAAGACAAAACACTGGGGGAAAAATCAGCATCCACAGGCAACTCCGGGCAGAACACCCCTCACAATGATGACATCCTTATCGCCCCAACTCTTGGTGTTTCCACCCCACTGGAGAGCCAGTACCAAAGATGTGACAGCTCCTGCTACCAGTGTTGCACCAATAAAGTCCATGTGCATAGTCTGGTGCAGGAGCTCGGACCATGACCGCGTAGAGGGGTCCGAGCCCAGGGGCGGGGATGACTTGAGGAGGGTTGTGACACCCAAAAGAGACACACCACCACTAGATAACAGATGAGCAGAGGATAGGAAGGCATCGAATGACACCCACAGTGGAAGGTTGATGAAGAAACACCAGCGCCAGGTGACATGGTCAGTGAAGGCGCCTCCAATGAGCGGGCCAATAACACTGGACAGTCCGAAGACGGCGCCAAAAAGACCCAGGAGACGTGGCCGGTCTTCGAGACGCGTCGATTGGATAATGACTTGGTTAAGTGCCACGACTGTTGGGCATATCGCTCGTTAATATTTGCGCAGGACGTGGTGTGAACAATTTCGAACGCACAGATTCCCGCGGCACCAACGCCAGAGACGGTTCGGCCAGCAATAAGCATCCCGACGTTCTGAGATAGTCCGCACACAAGCGAACCAAGCTCGAAAATAACCACGGCCCAGAACAGAACCCATTTTGCAGGCCAGATGCGGAGAAGCTGCCCGTAGAAAAGCAGGAAGACCGTCTGCGCGAGGACGAAGGACGAAGAGACCCAGCCCTGGAGGGTGAAAGAGTCGAAGTCGGAGGCGATATGTGGGAGCGCGGTGGCGAGAATCGTCTGGTCGAGAGCAACGAGCAGGAGCGACAACAACCTGGACGCCGATTGATTTAGACAACCTCGAACGATGGGAGATAGGAATGAACGTACATGGCAATGAACACAATCACAAGCTTTTTACCCGTCAAGACCGCTGCATCCGGGTCGTTTACGGGCGGATGCTCGTCTGTAATTGTGTGGTCTACAGAGAGTGCGGAAGACATGGGGAGGAAGAAGGAAACACAGGAACAAGCTTGTGGTCAGCACCCGCGGTATTTGAGGAAAGAAGGCAGGTTGCGTGAAATGATGCGCGGCTAAACGGTCAAGATTTCCTCATTTGAAAAACGAAGAAATTGTTTATGAACGGGCGGGATTGCTCAGCACGAGAATGACGCCAAATCAGTGCGCATGTTGCACTGCGCATCCATGTTGAGCTCTGTGGATAGTCAGCACAGGGATTAGAGGCAAATAGGCAGCTGGACGAACAAAGTATATTCGATTCACGGTCAACGCACCAAAAATACAGGTGCCGGGACCGGTGAACCGACAGGATCGCCAATGAGGAGAGCGCATCGATAAACGTGAGTCCGAGATGGAAAGTGAAACTCCTAGTGACTAATGGAGACCGCCTTTGCGTTTAAACGGGCGGCGTTCCGGAAACCAAGTAATCACTCCACCCCACGCCGATTAACATCGTGCGCACTGATGCAGAGATCGATTGCAAGACTAAGATCGTGATCCCATTAGCGGTGAGTGCAGCGCTGAACACTGCGTCGCAGACGACCCTTTGACGGATAGAGCCCGATGTCATCGTGTCTGAGCTGGCTATCTCACAGAGCCGCAAGGTATCCGGTCACCAAATGATAACCGCGGTCCAAGATGTGATCTGAGTCTGTGAATGGTGGGATTTAGAACGGCGATTAAAGACCGATGAAGGAATGAAAATGAAAGGTGATGATTGTCTTTCTCCCGGAGGGAGGACGTGAGAGGAGTTCAGATCACTCGCATCACTGATCCCTGCGCATTCGTCTCGCTCGGATACATCCAGCGGCTGGCCAGGTCGCCCTGTCCTCTGATTGGGTACGGGGTTGAACATAGAACAGAACATCTGGGACAATCACAGCTTCAGTGCGTGTCCCTGCTCCCCAGTCTAAATGTTGATATCCGTGTGTAATTCATCAGTTTAACTTACTATACTCGGTAGACTTGTGTACAACTGTTGTCTAGAGCTGTCTACAATCGTGGCTCCATCTGGCACTGCCACTCAGATGATCTTCACCCAAACTTCATCATTCTCGCACTCTAACGTGCGTCCAGAATCCGCTGAGCACTCAGCATTCTATTCAATGAGGACGCATTTCTCCGCCATAAGCGATGCGCAGTGCCGCCCGAAGTGTTATCATCGCTGATCTATACAGTGTAGCGCATGCGTTCCTGAAGCCAGAAGCGACGCGCAAGACCGCCTCGAAGCGCTAACATTCCCGATCCAGCGCATGTCCGACGAGTCGGAAACTGATCGAGTCTCACGCAAGTTGGGATCTTGACAGAGACCATTTTCTGACAGGCCCTGCCAATGATTATGATTAGAAACCTCCACAGGCATCGTGCATAAGCACGGTTTGCTTGGATTGGTAAACCGCGTCTGGCAGGCTCAGTACAGGAATTGCAATATAAATACACCGCCTGATCAAGCGTCAATTATCATTTACAACCCTCACAATGCCCTCAGATTCGACTACTACTGCGACTCCTCTCCAAATTACGATCGTTGGCGCTGGACTTGGTGGCCTTGCGGCTGCTGTGGCCTTGCGACAGATTGGGCACACCGTTCAAGTGTTTGAGCGGACAGAGAACAAGACCGAGGTCGGCGCTGCGCTGGGGGTTCAGCCCAACGCGATGTGCGTGTTGAAGCACCTCGGCGTCCAAGAGGCGAATTTGAAAGGCGTGTTTGTCGCGGGAGTGAGCCACTAATCCATGTGTACGATAATTGGGTACTGATGCGCATACTCAGATGAGCACTTTCGATCCTGCCACGGGGGAGGGGACGGAGCACACGTTCCCGCGCAGCGAGGCCCGTGGAGAAAAAGACGCAAGTCCAATCCCCGCTACAATCCTAGCTTTCGTACTTGACGATAGCGCAGTGGTTGCTCGTGTGCCACCGGACCGACATCTACGAAGAACTGAAGCGCACCGCGCTCGATGCAACGAGCGGGTTTCCCCCGGTCTCGATGCGTTTCGGTTGCAAAGTGCTCTCATGCTCGCCCCAGGAAGGAGACGTAGTTCTCGAGTCCGGCGAGATAGTCCACGCGGACCTGGTCATTGGAGCGGATGGCGTCCAGGTGCGATGCCCTGATCGCTTTTTTCTTCTTTTTCTGTCAAAGCGGAACGATGCTGAACGAGCCGATTCCAGTCGCTCATCCGTACGCATGTCATCGGATATGTGCAGAACGCTATGCCCACTGGGATCGCCTGTTGTCGTTCGGTGTTCAAAGCGCCCTCGACCGACGGCAGCGACTCAGGTCTCGAGTGGCTCAGCGGAAAAGCGCCAGGCGTCCGTTCTATCGCCTGGAAAGGCCTTCCCTTCCGGATGATTCTTTGCTATCCGTGCAGGAACGGTGAGCTCATCAATACGGCCCACTTCTATACGGAAACAGAGGAGGAGAAGAACGACGGTGAGTCGCGTCGCGGCAATTGTCACCACTCGCTGGGATACTCATTGCCAATCCTGCTTCTAGTCTCGCACCATGCCTCCACTCCGACGATGTCCCCAGCGCAGGTACGCGCCAAGTTCGCCGACTGCGACCCCAAGTTCCACCGCCTGCTCGACCTGCCGAATCACTCCGGCAAGATTTTCCGCTGGCGGCTGCGCGCGCTGCCCGAGATTCCGACGTGGTACAACGGCCGCACTGCGCTCCTCGGGGATGCGGCGCACGCCACACTTCCGTTCCTGGCCCAGGGCGCGGCGATGGCGATCGAAGATGCGGGTGTCCTCGCCTGCCTTCTTCCCCTTGGGACCACACGCGAGGACGTCTCCGCGCGACTGGCAGTCTGGCAGGATCTCCGCAAGCCCAGAGCGGAATTTGTGAACAAGAAGTCCTTTGAACAGATGGATCTTATCATGGCTGGTAAACAAGGTAGCGGGACCGGTTAGTACTCCTCGCCATTCTCAAATTGCGGTTGATTCAAGTTTTTGCAGTCAAAGGCGACACGCGGTCCGAGTTGGCTGACTATGATGCGATTGCAGCCGGTCGAAAGGCTTATCAGAACAAGTTCGGTGGCAGGTATAATGCCTAGTAGATTCACAAGTAGATAGGTTCCAAGATTTTCCTATTTCAATGCAGTTTTACAGAAAACCCTCCCACAAGACTTGAGTTTGCCGAAACCTTCCATTAGGATGGTTCAGTGTTGTGCAGGCTCGGGTCAACTTTCACCGCTCAGGCTTTCGAATTCATATACATCCAATCCAATTGGATTGAATAATCCCTGTAGAAGTAAGGATCTAATAACCTTCACTTGCCATCGCATCACGAGCCACCTCGACCACATTGTACCTCAACAGAAGCTCGCGTGTACTTCCAGCTAAGATGCCGAGAATCAATCGAATCGCATGCAGGAGACCGGGACGGCTCACTCACAATGTGCCTTGTCTCTATCACCCTTGATGATGCTCGCTAGCTGAGATACGGACGTCCGGTTGACAAAGTCCCCGCGCGGTTTGCGCACCTTCTGCCACAGCTCCAGTCGGGACGGCACCTCGTCCCTGGTGGTTCCCGGCCGGAGGATGCAGCCGAGTGCGACAGCATCCTCGAGTGCCATGGAGGCTCCCTGACCCATGAACGGAAAAGTAGCGTGAGCGGCGTCGCCGAGGATGAGGGCGCGGCCGTTCGTCCAGGTCGGCAGAATGGGAAGATTGCGCAGCCGCCAGCGACGGATGGCGCCCGTAGAACTCTGCACCGGAAGCTCGAGCAGACGAAGGAATTGGGGCAGCGAGTCGGGGAACTTGGCTCTGATTGCGCCAGGCGTGATGAATCTTGAGGATGGATCTGCAACAAGGGAAATAGGATGTCATGCGTGAGGTTTTGTTTCAAAGTTCGGCATGTGGCGCAAACGGCACATACCGCTTTTTTCATCTTCCGACTCTTGCCAGAAATAGATCGCGTTCACCAGGTCACCGTCGCGGCAGCCGTAAGAAATTACCATCTTGAACGGCTCTCCGATCCATGAGACCACGCGAAGTCCTGGAACGGGCTTGGTGTACCAGTCGAGCTCGGCTATGTCAGCGATTCCCTCGGCGCTGAGAACCGCGCGACTGCACGCGTAGCCAGTCGCGCACGCTTCCTGTTCGTAGCCTAGAACATGCGTGCGCACGACAGACTAGGGTAATCGATCGTCAGAGATTGGGAATTTATGAGAGGTGGCAGAAAGTCAAAGGGACTCGACATACCCGAACACCATCCGCTCCGACAATTAGATCCGAGGCAAACTTCTCACCGGACTCGAGCACAATCTCGCCCTCCACGTCGCACGAAACAATCTTTGACCCGAGATGGACGGCAACGGCTGTTCCGTCGCCGTCTGGATCGAGAGCCAGGCTTTTGAGCTCTGAGTGTAAATCCTCCCGGTGTACAAAGAATCCCTGACGATTTCGTTGAAACTTGTAAGGAGAGCAAATCTCGGAATAATGACCGGCGTACCGCATCAGTCGGCACTGTGGTGTCCTTGGGGATATGTTCTATCTCATGCGATTTCCCCGTAACGGCATCAGAACTGGCAGTCTGAAAGTCCAAGTCGAATAAAATACTGACGCACAGGCGAGAGAAAAATAGCCTCACACTGCGGAACAGCACACTCCTGAGGCTGGATCTCTCGACTTCCAGATATTCCAGTGCGACGATAGCGTTGGACTGGATGCTGAGGCCCGCGCCGATCTCCGTGTTGTCCGCTGACTTCTCGAATACGTGCACGATGTGTCCGTTTTTGCGTAACGCCACAGCGGCTGCAAACCCGCCGATGCCACCGCCGACGATTGCGATGACGAGTCCCGAGGTCATTTCTTAGTGAGAAGGAATAGGTCAGTGGCCTTCTGATGGTTAATCTGCCAGAGTGCAACTTGCGAGAGCGAAGAACGATGCGGGTCCAGTTGTGTGGACCTTGGAAAACTTCCACCCCAGTTATAGAGATGAAATGCTGTTGATAATGTCTGAATGAAACACAAAATGAAACAAGAAACATGTATGCTACTCACGAAGAGGAACAGTCATCAATTCAAAGACATCATGGGCCATTAACCTTGGTCCAAGGCGTGTTGATTTTGGCCCAATCCTACTTGTCAGCAATGGTTCATCGACCGCATAGTCCTACACACTTTGGTAAGAGAAACGTTCTAAAAAGAGTCCAGGAGGCAGCTTCAGAGAGGACTTGTCTCATTTTCAACTTCAACTCGAAGGCGGGTCCTGCGGACCGAAACGTGGAGCCGCTGCATGTCTGCGAGCTAGGAACGATTGAGCGGAGTGTGCAGTAGCGATCAGGATGTGGAGCTTCTTTTTTAGAATGAGTAACAGGGGCGTTCTGTAGCGTTGATGATGAGGAGTGGCGAGAATTGTCTCGGACAGAGACCGAGGGAATCTAGCATAGCCATCAAAATGGCTGTCATTGACTAAAGTTGTTTACGTGCTTCCTGTGACAAGAGTCTAGTGTGATAGTTGTCCCATTTTGAGAGATGTGTACGACTCGGAGGATAATCTGGTTGATCCATCTATTCGATGTGAATTTCGGATCATCCACGTGCATGTACCTTGCATCTCACGGGCAAATATCCTTGAGCATTGGAGGGGGAAACCGAAAACGGCTGGCTGTCAATCACCCCTGTCACGGGGACACATTGCCATCCCTCACAATTTTCATGGCCATGGACGGCTATTGCCCTCCCAATTACTGCACGGAAACAGCTCGCTCACCAAATAGACTCTTTTCCCCAGAGATTTTCATTCTCTCAACAAGTCTCGTCCGGCAAGCAGCGACGAGCTCGAACGGCTAGTGATGCTCGAAACAGTGTCACGAGCTCTACGCATCCATCGAACGCTCCTGGATGTATGTATGACGTTGGATTTCGGAACTGTGCAACAGATTATGACTCTGACCCGCGGCCCATCTGCCTGATTTGAAACGAATATCTCTTGTCCTTTCGTCGGGTGGGACTCGGATAAATCCTTTGATAGACACGGAAAGTTATCCTCCAGGTCCACCTTTGCTCGCGCGTCCGTGGTACTGGCATCGAGTCTCGAATGCGGTCGTCGTCAAGTCGTCGATTGATACAGTGAAGCTCGCATACTGCGCGCACTGAAGAGCATATGCCCCAGGGCTCACATCCGCCATTCCTCCGCCCGAGATCCAGGAAACTGCTCCGTGCTATCTCCTGCGTCCTGTTGGCCGCTCATGGGCTGCGTGAGACTGCCGCATACCTCGGAGTAACAAGCTGGCGCAGTTTACCCGACTGTCTCCGCACCCCGTCATTCATTCACTTGCAGGACGCGGGTTATCTTCTCTGCGAACCTGCATCCGAGAACACTGAGCAGCCACGAGACATTCCATCCGCGTCCACTTCGGGGGCTTCGTTCCATCAGTCTCGACTTCCCCGGATCTTCTTCTTCTGCGTTGGAGAGTGGGCACTTTGGCAGCCCTTCTACCATGCAGTTGACCCGAGAGGGGGCAGACACCTCGGCAGCTTGTGCTTTCTTCCGCGTTGGAGAAACTTCGGATTGATGACGACGTGGGGGAGAAGAATCTTCTTCCGATCTCGAGCAGCGCGCCATCGTCATCAGAAGCGGATGTCCAACGAGGTAGCTTACCTAGGCCGCATTCAGCATAGACGAAGAAGCCAGGACTAGTACAGAGTTTCTCGGTACCCGCTTGGTATTTCGGAATGCATTGGCAGACAATACAATGAAGTTATATACAAAAGGATCTAAGTAAGCGACTACGCAATACAGCCATCAGAGCAGCTAACACGGTATGAATACAGCACAAGGAACAGACGGATGTCCGCCAAACGGGATGGAGAATGAAGAGCCTACTCGTCCGAAATGATACTCCCGATACTCAACGGATTCTTCTTCCCTGGGTGCTGCTCTCTACGCACCCCGACACGCTGCGGAGTGATCGGCACCGGCGGGTTGGGGCCGGGCAATCCGGTCGTCGGGGAAACGATGTGCGCTCCGGGAGGCGGGGGGATCTGCGATGGCGCTGGGTATTCGCCCGGAGTGCCCCAGGGCTGTGGCTGCGCGGGCGGCGGAACGAACGACGGAGGCGTTCCCCAAGCATGTGCTTCGTGCTGTGGCTGCTGCTGCTGCTGCTGCTGCTGCTGTTGGGGATATCCGTAGAATCCTGGAGGATAGGGCCGATATCCATACTGGGGAGGCGGCGCCACAGGAATTGGCGGCGGTCGTAGTGAATTCGAGGCTTGCGGCGGTGGAGACACTTGTTGCTGCTGATTCTGATAGCCGGGCGCATACTCGTTATAGTACGGGGCTGGTGCACCATACTGAGGAGGTGGAGGCGCCGTCGGAGCGGGTGCCGGTGCCGGCGGTCCGTAGTATCCATGCACAGGAGGAGCGGCGTATTGACCACCATACGGATCGGCCCATGGGGGCGGATAGTAGTACGGCTGCGGCGGCTGAGGCTGCGGCGGTGGTGGTGGCTGCGGCTGTTGGCCATACTGCGGTGGATAAGGATGCCCTCCGGGAGGCGGTCCCGGCGTCGATTGTTCGGGTCGATACACTGGGGGCCCTGGGGGCTGGTTGTACGGCGCAGGGGGTGGGATATGGCGTATAGGTTGATTGTACTGCTCATACGACACTGCAGGGGGCCGAGGTTCGTACAACGACGGCGGTGCAGGCTCCGCCGAGCCTACTGGTGGCGGAGGAATGACCGCTGGTACCTGCGGTTGCTGGATAGGCTAGTTAATCCATCAGTAATCGAAATCGACATGAACAAGAGATCTACTGACCAGCGGCCCTTGGATCTGAGCGCCCGGAGGCGGCGGAATGACAGACGGCCAAGGCGCGCCTACGGGTGGAACGCCAGTGGAGTTGGCACTAAGCTCTTCGGTTCTACTTCGCTTGGTCGGCCGATGCGACTGGCAACTTTCAGTCTCGACCAATATCAAGGGAAACAGAGACGCACCTCGCCTTCATCGTCCAGCGGGGGATCTGGATCGACAGTGGGCATGTCACCGGCCTCGTCCGGTGGCGGGCCAATCAATCCTCCACCCCGAGCTGCATTGGGGCCCGGGGACCCGAAAGTTTCCAGTTCCGAGATGCCCTGGGCCAGACCCGCACGCGTCTTGCGCATCCGAATATCCTTGCGAATACGGATTTTGATCCCTTGATCTGCCAACGAACATGTCAGTGGGGACGACTCTGCGTTTTGGGTCAGCGGTGCCCTGGGGATTATGTCAGCCACCCACCCTCCACCCCTGGAAACTTTTTCGCGGTGTACACGAAAAAAGGGGCGCTGAATATCGATTTGCAGTGCTGCACGTCGTTGCTAGGGAGTCACATGAGAAGCTGGCTGCATGAATGCCGAGCAGAACACGCACCCGACGACCTCGTACAAGCTCAACTTCAATCGGTAGGATCCTTCCGTCCTCACCGACAGATCAGGGAACACGAAAAACCCGACATCCCCACCCTGCCCATCGCTGTCGTCGCCGTCCGGCACGAGGCTTGGATCCTTGAGCGAGTACAGCGAGCTGACGATGCTGCCCGTCGTGTATCGTGTCTTCCCGTCCTTGAGCCAGTGCAGCTCCTCGTCCTCATCCGGCTTGGCAAGCGAGGCGAACATAAAGTAATACGGATTGTTCAGGAAGTTCGACGCGTATGAGGCGAGGTTGTGGTACGGCGGCTCGGCATCCGGCGTGGAGGGCGAGGATGGCGACGGGGTAGGCGGCGGCGGTGGGGCGGCCGTATCAATGACCCGCAGCTGGACGATGACCGGGGGGTCGATAGGTCTGCGGTCCGCTGAAGCGTAGCTCAGAGATTGGCCGGGAGAGACATATATGCGCGCTGCGTACCTTTACCTCCGATTCCACACATTCTGGCCTGCTTCGGTTCCTGCCGCATCGTCAGCTCGTATTTCCTGTATCGCAATCCATCGTCAGTCAAGGCTAGGCGAGAGGATGACGAAGGGGCCATGCAGAAAGGGTGAGGCGAGTCAGCAGATGAGACTCGCAAAATCAACCCAAGTCCATGGACTCGGGTCAGGAAGATGGGATGATCGCAACGACGAAGAAGTAGGGTGAGGTGCGGCTTGGCTCACAGTCTGTTCCGCTCTTGGTTGTAGGCGGGCGGCATCTGTTGCCCAGGGAGTGACCCATTTCCTTCGCCGTCCATCGTCCGCACACGTTCGGTCGTCGTGGTCAGGGTGTGAAATTACACCCAATTGTTGTTGCTTACGAGTCGCTTCTGACGCGAAAAGCATACACGTGATCATTGATTGACACTCCGTCACCTCTTTCCACATTCAGTAACGGGCTTTACTTATCGAGACAGCCCTCTCTATGAGATGACATCTTCACAACTCTCCTGCACACACCCTTGAGCCATGGTTCACTTCACTCCTCTGCAGCGCCCAAGTGTGGGCGTCTTCAGCCAGTTTCCGCTCCCCAAGGTCGCCGCTGCCTTCCTCATCCTCTTCGCCTTCGTCCTCCTCGCACACGACCTCAGTCCCCACTTGAGCTCGCGCACGCCGCAGTATTATGACTATTCAATCTCTCCCAGCGTGAATAGCTCGCATCCTCACGAGGCTTTTGGCGGGTCGCGTTTGGCGCGCACGCTCGGCAGCAACGAGCGGGAATATCAGAGGATGATCGTGAACAGAGAGAACCTCATTAAATGGGTTGGAGGAAGACAGATCGCCTCGTGAGTTCTCCCCGCTCAGTCACAGCACTTGGCGAGCCTCGCTCACACGTCAATGCGTTCAGATTCCCTTCCAAACAGACCCAGGTAAACGCAATATCTTCAGACCGCGTTGTGCATATTGACGGAATTGCGCTCCTAGTTCTACGTCCTGTGGGACTTTTACATTCCCGCCTTCTCGTGTCCCTTTCCGATGTACCGCGTCGGTGCGCTTTGTCCCATGACTTCATTCCCTGAGTGTAAGACCGAAGACCGACCCTGCAGGCACACTCGCCGATGGCGGGAAGTGGGTCTGCGGCCTCGAGCGTATCATCACTAACAACCCCCGCTGCATCGTCTACTCGCTCAACAACAACACGCAATCCTACTCCTCATTCGAACAGGACATCCTCGAGAGGTCTTCCAAGTGCCAGGTGTTCGGTAAGTCCGCCCTGGCTCTGCAGATGCCGAGACGATTTACCTTGGCTAGGATTCGATGTGAGCTCGCAGGGCACGGCGCCTAATTGGCCATGGGGCAAAGAAAAGCACCGAGTCGACTCGCGACTGCATGTGCACAATTTCGGGATCGGCGACAAGGCTCGCTCACTACGCAGCGTCATGAAACAGCTCGGACACAAATTCATTGACATTCTCAAGGTTCACGAGGCCAACCATCTATCTGACAAAGCTGAAGAAGTTCCAGGTTGATCTTGAGGGTGGCGAGTTCGCCGCACTTCCCTCGATCCTGGCAGAGTGGGGCGATCAGCCGCTGCCGTTTGGCCAGTTGCTGGTCGAGGTCCACGTCGGTTGGACGAAAGGTGCACCGCTTACTTTCACATATTTCGGGATGGTATTGAGATATCCAGATATGACGACGGTCGGCGATTTCGGAGCCTGGTTCGAGAGGCTGGAGCGAGCAGGACTGCGGCCCTTTTATTTTGAGATCAGCATGACGGATGTGAATACGATGCGTGCGGAGCCGGCGGTGGGATACGTGAGTACATTGGCGTTGTGTCTTATTCACTTCCTCATCGCCCTCTGCAGTGGTCATTTATGAACATCAGAGGCAGTCATGCGCTTTTAGACGACAGCTTACCAGAGTATCCTTGATTTTCTTTGGAAATTACATCAGCCCGAGTTGCAAATGAACGTTCCAAAACATTTGATGAAACTCAGGTCCCAATCAAGTTCGGTCCCGATTGGAAGTTTAATTCATTGAAATCAAGATTGCAGTAAATAGCTCGACCATCTAGAAAAGCGAATGCTATTCTTCAGTATAGTACTCGAATTAGCCTCGTTGACCTGTTTCAGAGCCTAGGCATCCTGACAACCGAAACAAGTTTCATACCAAAATGGGATTGTTGGATGGACATCCGGAGATATTCTCTCATGTTCAGATTTGTTGCCGTAGATCTCATGCACGTAAGCCAACTCGGAGCCGAGAGCATGGATTCTCTGCACGAAACCACTATCGTTCCAAACTTAAGTCGGGCGATGATCAGCATGTGGATTTGAGCCATGTTGTACTTACTCTTAGTTGTAGGCTGAGTAATAGACATGAGCTTCCGCTGACAAAATTAGGGAACTCGCCTCATTTGGAGCTAAATACGCCGAAGATTTGAGCCTTTGTAGAAAACCGGAATGGTTTAACCGCTCTCACTCACTGAGGTAAGGGTAGCTTATGTCTGCGAATTGGCACAAGGGAGAGCTGCCTGCACTGCTCGCCTGCACAAAGCCCAGGCCCCAGAGCGAACAAAGGATGGCCTCACCCTGATTCGAACGGCGGACACCTTTCTCTGTTGGGAAACATGATTCCCCAAAACGTCAACAGACTCCGAGCCTCCTCTGGTTGATGTAACCATATGATCCGCGCCCATTTTGATCTGCCGAAACCCGACTCCTGAGTCTCGCTTCAAGCTCAAACCATCGCGCAGCATGTTGTCAGCATCACATGCCCGCTCAACGTCAGTATATTGGAATTGACCCACCGCTATGCGCGGCCCGGCGCTGATGTGGCGAGCACCGTGTGACCTTCTGGGACCTATAACGCAAAATGCAGCCGGACCGCCAGGGAATATTTTGGTACAAGAGGCGGGAGGGAGACGCTTGGCCGGGTCAACCACGATGCAACTCCTCCTGAATCTGTGCTTGTTTGTGCTTGCCCTGGGCGCCGGTGCGCGTGCGCGCGGGGAGAAGGGGGAGGCGGTGGAGGAGCTGAAAGGCAAGTGCACGCTGAAGGCGTCGGGGGGAGACGACGCCCCGCAGTTCCTGAAGGCGGTGCACTCGTGCTCGGAGGTCATCATTCCCAAGTCGGCGACGCTGAACATCGCGACGCGCCTCAACATGACGGGGGTGTCGAATAAACACATCGTGCGTTCTATTCTCTAACGAGTTGAGTGAGCGTCCTCACATTCTGGCATAGCGAGTGAAAGGCACGATACGATTCAATCCAGACATCCCGTACTGGAGCAACGTATGTCGTTTTCCCAAGGCCAAGCTACCCATCTGCTGACATTGGCATATCATCAGAACGCCTTCCCTTTCGCGTACCAGACCCAAATCACTTTTTGGATCCTCGGCGGAGAGAACATTCGCATCGACGGTGGCGGGACGATCGACGGGGCCGGTCAGGTGCGGACTTGCGAATTCATCTAAAAGCGTTGACTAATTCCAGCCAGCCTTGGTACAACGCATTTGCGACCAACAAGACCTTGGCCCGGCCTATCATGCTGACAATCTTCGGCGCCAAGCACGTCGTAATCGAGGACCTCAAGATGATCAACTCCCCCGAGTGGTTCCACTTCGTGAACAACGCGCAGGACGTCACGTACAACAAGCTCAATATCAGCGCCGTGAATGCGCTTGGCACGGAGGCCAAGAACACTGACGGATGGGATATCTACCGCTCGTCTGATGGTGAGCCGCTCAGCATCGCGGCTATCTTCCGCTCACCGAGCATTCCAGTGACCATCAAGAACTCTATCATCAATAACGGAGATGACTGTGTCTCGTTGAAGGTCTGTTTTCTATTTCGCTGTGTGCGAGACCGACTATTGATTCGAATCTCAACAGCCAAGTAAGTGGTCAAATGCTTTTCGTCTCGCGCTCGTTTCTTGAATCTCCCAGATGTCACGAACGTCCTTGTTTCGAATCTGAAGTGCAATGGAAGCCAGTACGTTTACCACCTTTCCTCACCTTCCTGTCTCTCAACACTTTGGTAGCGGAATATCCATCGGGTAATGCCTGCAAGCGCCGCCACATTCATGTCTCGTGCTGATGAACGCAGGTCGCTGGGGCAGTATCCAGGCGTCTTCGACTTCATCGAGAACTTCGTAGCGACGTAAGCATCATTCTAAGCTCCAGATTTCACGTTCCATTGCTCACACGACGGCCGTTTGCAGCGACGTTGTGATGTCGAACGGTCAAAACGGCGCGCGCATCAAAGCATTTGCGGGGCCGAACGTGGGCAGCGGCATCGTCCGCAACATCACGTTCAACCATTTCTCCGAGTCGCTCGTGAATAACCCCGTCGTTGTCGATCAGGTCAGTCAAATTCCGCATTGACATCCCATTTCAACATGATGACCGCTCTGCAGTGTTATATGACAAATGCGACCGCTGTGAGTGCATTCGGAATCTCAAGAAAACTTCCTCCTCACCGTGTTACAGTGCGCTGCGTTCCCATCCAATGTTCTCATCCAAGATGTCTGGTTCAACAAGTGAGCCAAAGCTCCTGTCTTGCAAACAGACCTCTGATTGCTTTCCAGTATCTCTGGGACCGGCAGTGGCTCCTTGGTCGCCAAAATAGCCTGCTCTCCCGGCAGCCGCTGCTCTGACATCAACGTCAACAACTTCACACTCAGGTCCGTCGCCATTCTGACAGCCTCTTGCTTCTGGCTTTGATGCTCACGTGCCTGGACACCAGTGCCGCACCAGGGCAAGGATCCGCTGTATACCAGTGCCAAAACACGCATCTGAACGGGAATGCGGCGGGGCTCTTCCCGACATGCACCGTGACGTAGCTGATCATCACGATTCTGAGAACGGCAGGCATGGCCGGACGATAGCTTAATCACTCTGTTTGTTTGCGATTACAGCCAGTACGATCACCAGGGCGTCAATTCTTGAATCCACGACAGCTTTATACCATCGACCAACGTCTCCTGCGAGAGGAGATTGAGGGTGGATCCGAAGCTGGGATAGAGCTTCACGGAGCGCAGCTTTCCACACCTGCTTCGGAGCATGTCGTTCAGATAGAACTCGGGACACAGGAACACTCCCGAGAGCGACAGCGACTCCAGATTGGGTAAGAGTCCGCACGTGGTCGACTCCGGATCGTAAGCGAGAGACTCCATGTCGGATTCGGTGATGTCGAGAATCTCGTCACTGATGCACAGGTGCTCCAGCGTCGGAACGCACGCGAGAATGTCCAGGATGAAGTCCATAGGGATCTCCAGACCATAGAGGGTGAGGTATTTGAGAGGACACTGGGACCTGAGTAAGAACCCGCACAGCGCATCGCCTGGCGTGCTGTCCCATAGCGTAAGTCTCTCAAGTGATGGAGCGGAAAAGGAATCCAGCATGTTCTGCGGCTGCGCACGCCAGAAGACCGATGTCATGGAGAATGACGTGAGTGTCTGGGAGACGACCATGGAAGTCGGGCCCAAAGTGTCGGGATCCCGAGCGGTGCCATCGACCTGCAATTCTAGCAGATTCGTCGCCCGTCGGATGACCTCGGACAGGCCGTTCGCGTTGAAGTGGTGCAAAGTGCACTTTCTGAGGCGGTGCCACGGTATACGCGCGAGGGCCGGAAACAGTGCGGCCGGGAACTCAAGCTGCTCCAGGGCCGGACACCTGACGAACAGGCTTTCCGCGAACTCCTCGTACGTCTCCGTCTCCAGCTTCAGAGTCCGGAGCCGCGGAAATGACATGTCCTCGACGCCGCTCCACATCCGCAGATCCTCGGACAAGACCGTCAAATCCGCGCGCTCCCATCTGTGCGCAGCCGAGAACAGCAGCTTCAGCACAAACTGCCGCAGATCCGGCGGGAACTGGCTCGTCTCCGTCCAACGGAGGTCGAGGGGGTGCTGCCCCGACCACCGCAGCTGTTGCGTCAGCAGCAGCTCGAAGCACGCGGCGCTCGTGAACGCGGGACTGCCATACGACAGGTGTATGCGCGCCCACAGCTTCGGCGTGCCGACGGCCGCGTCGCGCCACCGCCTGCACACGCGCGTGAGCAGCCACTTCGGGTCGGAACGCAGCGGGCCGGAGAACGTCGTCGGCGCGAGCGCAACGAATATTTCGCCGAGGATCTCGATGGGCAGTTGGCGGAACGGGGAGATGATCGACCGGTGTTGGTGCGCGAACGACTTGAGCGCAGCGTGCCGCGCGGAGAGATCGGAGAGGTACAGCTTTGTGCGCTCGATCTCGGCTTCGATGGCGAGTGCACTCGCGGCTGCGGAGGAGATGGCGTCCCGAATCGCTTCAGTCTGGAAATCGGAGGAGGGGATGCCAGATTGGATAAATTCAGGGCATGGGGACGGCGGGACGGGTGTCGCGTCGAGTATAGAATGTCCGCAGTGAGTACAGGCGTGTGCCATTGTAGAATGCTCCGTCAGCGGTGACAAGCAGTCACTGGTAGCAATTGTCGGGTATGAGCCGATACTTTGCACGTGAAGGTCAGCTGACTTGCTCATCACGTATTCCCACTCACGTCACTCTCACCAGCGGCACCGCATTGAAAGTCTGTTCTAGTTTAGAGCCTATAGCCTAAGCTTGAAGATCGATAGAACATCATGTCTTCTGTTAGTTTTTCATAAGTACATGTATGCCACATCTCACAAAGGTCAATAGTCAGACGTGGTAGATGATGGCACATTTGCACTTCAAATTCGAGACGAGGACGTTCATGAGATCTGTGAAAGTTGAGAGAGAATCATCGGAGAACATGCATAATCTGAGTGGGCTGTTGTGATTCAGTGCGATATCAAAGAAAACCTATTCTGCACAAGTTCTTTTCTTCATATTCCTTACTGGGCGAGCTCCGGTTCACTTTGAGTCTGGGTCGGAGCAGGCTGTAAGGGCAACTCCTGCCAGCCCGAAGGAAGAGAGCACACAGCACACAACAACCTCACATGAGTCTGAGCACAGAGGGGGATCCTTAGAGAACGGTTCAAGGATCCATGTGCCCAGGTGTCACCACCTCAGTTACCACCGCCATCACGCGGTTCTCCCCCCGCGGGGTACCTACTGGGTACCCTCAGACGTCTTGCTGAGGGTACCCAGTAGGTACCCCCTGGCGGGGGGTGGGGGGGCCATTTAGTCGATTTAGTAGCGGGGGCATATGCGGGGGTCAGGAGGAGGGGGGGTGTATGTAGCATGTGACTTGTCCATAAGAGCGGGTAGCTGGGCGGGAAAAAAAAATCCAATCACATGACGCGCTGCATGGGCGGGATGGCGGGATAAAAAAATCACGTGATGCGCTGCACCAAATATTACCAAAATGCTGGCAGGGGTTGGCGGCGTCATTGGCGGGGTCACTACCACCCCCCCGCACACCATGGCGGGCAGTGGGCGCATTATCACGTGACTTTTTGGGCGCCTTTTTTGCAGCATTTGGCATGATTTTGGAAATGCTGCTTGATACATTGCATGCTGTGGCAGACAATGGGCGCAAAATCACGTGATTTTCCGCCAAAAAAATGGAAGACTCCCCAAATCATCCCAGTATAATTTCCATAGGTAAATAGGCTAGTTAAACATGAACTTGAGCTTAGAAAAACCAAAATGCACCCTGCACAATGGGATTGGTGACACACTTGATCCCATCATTTGGCAGGGCCTGCCGCAGGGGCTGCCGCGGGGGGTGCCGCGGGGGGTGCCGCGGGGGGTGCCGCAGGGGGTGCCGCAGGGGGTGATGCGGGGGCTGCCCCAGGGTTGGTCTGTTATGATCCATTTTTGTTCATTGAAGATCTTGTAGAGGTGAGCAGGGCAACAGGCCAACTGGGAATTTATAGGAAGACATTGAAATTGATGCAGGGGTCAGATGCGGGGCCCACTGCAAGGTCTACTGCAGGGGCAGGGGTGCATTATATCAAATTTCGATGTATCTATTCTGGCCATGGCCATAGAATGTCACATAATTATCCTTCAATTTGGCAGGGGTTTCTTGGTATGGTCTGCAGCTAAAGATATTTGATTCCCTTGTGCTTTAGCAGAGCCTGGGATATTGAAAACATGCAATAGCACCTGTATAATCTGTTTATGTAGGGTCAAATACAAGTTATGATTTGTTCATGTGTTGACCGGCAGGGTGGGTAGGTTGGCTGCACTGGGTCCACTGTCATCTCATTGATTTTTTGGTGCGCTCATTCTACATACATGGCTATTAGTCAATTGTTCACACTGTTAGCACAGTGTAATCTTACCCTGCGGCACATTGTACCACATGTCAAGTACACATTGAATGTCTCACTTCCTGACTGGGACTCATTGAAAATCAGAAGTTCTGTGATGCTTTGCAAATGATTTTCTCAAGCTGCAACATGAACAGATGGAACATAGCGGATTTGACATGCCCTCAATTCATTCCTGGGTCGTATATAAGAGGATGAACTAACTCACTAATAAGTTGTCTCACAATAGCCAGAGATTGAGCATGAATTCAGATTTCATATACAAAATTCTTTCCACTTAGAGCTTGGATACTTGCAAGACAAACTGCAGAAACATACATGATTGCTTTTGCTACTGGGACTGTATACGTTCTTGCCATAACTCACTGCCTGCAACTCTACCTGCACCCCCACTGGCACCCCTGCAGGCACCCCCCGCCAAACTGGCACCCCCCACTGCACCCCCGCATGCACCCCCGCCAGGCTGACACCCCCTGCCACACCCCCCGCTGCACCGGTGCCTTGCCCCTGCCATCTTCTCATATGTAAGATTACATAATCTGACAGCTCGGAACACGTCAAGTCACCAGCCAATCAGAACCTGTATAAACGTCGTACCTAAGTGTTTCCTGCTCTTCTGACACTGTTTCTACAGTTATGCAGCTGAAAACCATCGGAATAAGGTCTCCCTATGCTGTTCTTGTTGAATATGTAGGTATTTCATATTGTTTGTCCATCCAAAATTCGAAACATGAAAACAGTTCACAGTTGCTCAAGGTTCCTACATAGATAATGGTTCAACATAGTTCACTTTGGGTATTGCAAAAAATATATTTTCTACAAATGAACAACTCAATACAGCTGAATGATATACCCCTTGGCAGTGTCTGAAACAAATTCTGAGAGCCCTGGACCCTGGAACCATTCAAAAACTTGAAATGGGTCCGAAAAATAGGGTCTTGATAAACATGAGATAGGGGCCAGTTTGAAGAGATGTAAGCCACTGGTCATGTTTAATGTGGTATTTGACAATGTTTCGGTGCCCTGCCCCTCACCAAATGGCCTCCTTTCCCACCAAAAAGTGCACATACACACTCAAGCTTATAAAATCAATTGTCGGCCAGAAACAAGAGCAGGCAAGTTGTGTCACTGGAATTGGGTAAAGGTAACCTGGAAGTCACTCGGGTTGCAGTACAGAAGCTTTGGAAAGTGATCCTGTAGTTGATCCACATTGGGTAGGCTGGCAGAGGCTTGGGCACCCCCCGCGGCACCCCCCGCAGCAGCCCCCGCGGCAGCCCCCACCATCAACCCTGCCCCAGCCCCTGCAAGGATTGGATGGACAAAAGTGCTGCCTAATCAATTGTTAGTGTTCACAGTATTATCACATCCATTAAAGTGTCTAAATGGTGTGTAGACAAGGAATATGAAATCCATCAATCAACAATCCTAACACCTGTATCAGATATCCTGAAAATGGAGAGGAAGATTTGGGAGCAGACAGACTATTGGAAGCAAACAGACAGGGACAAGGAGCAGTAGCTATTCCTGGCGATCAATTTGGCTGCACATGGAAAACTCCCTTGGGGGATTTGCCAAACAAATCAAGTTGCGCATTTTTCAAACATTAAATTCGACCTAATAGCTTGAGCAGACCATGCCCAAATGTACCAAGTTATAACTTGTATTTGACCCTACATAAACAGATTATACAGGTGCTATTGCATGTTTTCAATATCCCAGGCTCTGCTAAAGCACAAGGGAATCAAATATCTTTAGCTGCAGACCATACCAAGAAACCCCTGCCAAATTGAAGGATAATTATGTGACATTCTATGGCCATGGCCAGAATAGATACATCGAAATTTGATATAATGCACCCCTGCCCCTGCAGTAGACCTTGCAGTGGGCCCCGCATCTGACCCCTGCATCAATTTCAATGTCTTCCTATAAATTCCCAGTTGGCCTGTTGCCCTGCTCACCTCTACAAGATCTTCAATGAACAAAAATGGATCATAACAGACCAACCCTGGGGCAGCCCCCGCATCACCCCCTGCGGCACCCCCTGCGGCACCCCCCGCGGCACCCCCCGCGGCACCCCCCGCGGCAGCCCCTGCGGCAGGCCCTGCCAAATGATGGGATCAAGTGTGTCACCAATCCCATTGTGCAGGGTGCATTTTGGTTTTTCTAAGCTCAAGTTCATGTTTAACTAGCCTATTTACCTATGGAAATTATACTGGGATGATTTGGGGAGTCTTCCATTTTTTTGGCGGAAAATCACGTGATTTTGCGCCCATTGTCTGCCACAGCATGCAATGTATCAAGCAGCATTTCCAAAATCATGCCAAATGCTGCAAAAAAGGCGCCCAAAAAGTCACGTGATAATGCGCCCACTGCCCGCCATGGTGTGCGGGGGGGTGGTAGTGACCCCGCCAATGACGCCGCCAACCCCTGCCAGCATTTTGGTAATATTTGGTGCAGCGCATCACGTGATTTTTTTATCCCGCCATCCCGCCCATGCAGCGCGTCATGTGATTGGATTTTTTTTTCCCGCCCAGCTACCCGCTCTTATGGACAAGTCACATGCTACATACACCCCCCCTCCTCCTGACCCCCGCATATGCCCCCGCTACTAAATCGACTAAATGGCCCCCCCACCCCCCGCCAGGGGGTACCTACTGGGTACCCTCAGCAAGACGTCTGAGGGTACCCAGTAGGTACCCCGCGGGGGGAGAACCGCGTGATGGCGGTGGTAACTGAGGTGGGTGTCACACTATATAGTCAGCTGTGACAAGTGACTGATGATGATGGGATATCACTGCCATGGAACAATGGCAGATGACAAGTAGATAATGACAAACCCAGATAAGATAGTGAGTGGCTCAGAGGGGCCAGTGATGGCCAGCTCCTGAGACACCAACAGTGGAAGGCCACACTGGAGGAGCCCAGCGGCCAGGCCAGTGCCGGGCCGGCCAGTGGAGACATTGGAGGCGAGGACCAATGCCCAACTGGGAAGAGGGGTGGTGCGGATGAGCGCAAGGGCATCTGGTACGAGCCTGTACGGCAGTAGACCACATCCGCGGGGAGAAGGCCGAAGTGAAGGGGGAGGAGTGCATACGGCAGTAGCACTCCCTGGTGCAAGGAATCGGGCTTGGCTAGACCGCTTGCGGGGATTCGAGGGAGATGGCCAGGGGAAGAAGGGAGAGGGCGGATGTCGGCATGGATGGAGATGAGGATCGGAGGAGGAGGAGGAGGCTGGGTGATCGACAGGTGAGCAGGCACGGGTCGGCAGAGAGGGTGCAGTGGGTCACGTGCATGGTCACGTGCCCAAGGAGCACGGCGTCCCCTGACATCATCCCCCCTTCAAGCTACGGCGTCCCGACGTAGGCAGCGCAAAGCAGATGGAAGAAAAGGGAGGGTGGGTGGGGGAAAAAGAAGGACGCACTACTCCGGTGGTATGCTGCGCGTCCCACTCTGTCGTCCGGTGCGTCGTCACTGAGCTGCGTGTCAGCTCCCTATGACCTAGTGGTCGGTCGCTGTCCCGCTCTTAGGTCCAGCCCCACAGCTATGCATGTGTGGCTGTACCACGACCTTCCCTATGGTCAGGGTGGTCGTCACTCTGCTCCTCCCAGAAGCTCAGGTGCCTGTAAGGGCAACCAGGACTCCTGAAGTCGTCCCACTTGTAGAGAGAAGCTCCCTTGCAGTCGCTTCCCTCCACTGCCCCTTCATCCCCCCTTCAAGGTGCGGCGCCCTCGACGCACCAATCGGTTGTCCTAGCTGCACAGCAGCAATAGAGGCAACCGAAAAAAAAGGCACGTGTCGGATGTGGAAGGGAGGGATGTTGCGTGCACCAGCCACCTAATAGATGGGGTCGGCGGGTGATGCACGGGTCTACCACCTGCCGTGGATGTCTGGAGCCAAGGTGTAACAGGCCGGCCACAACAGCAAGCCAGCCATCACATGGTTAGTGCAAGGCCTCGCACAACAGCAGAGGCACGTAGCAGATGTTCCGCCGGCCGAAGCCGGGGGTATACGCCCATGGAGACACACGTAGGGGGGACAGAGCCAACAGAAGGACCGACTGCTCTGACGCTCAAGACGTAACAAGCCAGCCAAGGGGGCCAGCCATCACACGGTTAGCGCAAGGCCTCGCACAACAGCGGAGGCACGTAGCGGATGTTCCACTGGCCGAAGCCAGGGGTATATGCCCGTGGAGACGTGCGTAGAGGCGAGACAGTGGGGGGAGAGGTCATGGACCAAGGCGGAGACGATGGGAACAGAGGGAGGAGTGCAGAGGAGATGGGACGGAGGGAGAGGGTCTGCTGCGCCAGGTGCAACATCACAATCAGCTAAGGATAGAGCAAGGGATGCTCCATCCGAACCAATCCTGCAGAGAAGCAGGTGCCAAGTGACCAATGGACGGTCACGGGGGACAATAGACAATCCCCCCTTCAAGGTTGCAGCCCACCTGCAATAATGCACGATGAGCGTGGGCAGCAACCAAGAAGTAGGCCTGGATGCGCAGGGAGAGCCTGGCGGCATAGGAGCGCGGACCCAAGGACACGAGGAAGCAGCAGAAGAGAGGAGGCCAGACGGCCCAGCGCACGATGAGAAAAGACCCAGACCCAGCAGAGAGCGGCAGCCATGGGCAAGCAATGCCAGATCCATCACATCACAGAGGAACCCAAGCCTAGGGTCCCATCACAGCCACAAAAAAGCGCAGCAGAAATGGTGCCTGGGGCGCAGCCACGGATCACGTGACATGTTGGTCACATGACTGAAAGGACGGTCACGTGATATGCATGTGACATAGCGCAGCCACACATCACATGACTCCCTGCACATGACACAGCACACAGCAGCAGCTCACAGAGTGGCAGACTGCCCTAGAGGCAGAACACCAACAGTGTGGCTACACAAGACAGCAGACTGCCTCAAAGGCAATGGGCTGTCACTGTGGCTATGCCAGTGCACTGCCACTGGAGACAGGTGGCAGTGTGGGGATCCAGAGCACAGCCATGAGGTCACATGAGCAGAGAGCGGACCAAACTCTGCCAAAGGGGAGAGGCAGGTGGCTGTGCAGAGGGCGGGGAGCGGGGTGGCTGCGCAGAGGGCGGGGCGCGGTGGCTGCGCAAGGAGCGGGGCACTGCCACGGAGGGCGGGGGTGATGGGGGTCACCTGAGAGAACAGCCAGGTGACTAGACACTGCCACTGCCAGCAAGCCCGAGGATGGCCGGGTTTTTGACAGCGTGGGAAACTCGAGCACTGCCACTGCCCCCAAAACTCGAAAATGCTCTGGGGGAGTGGGGCTGGCAGGGGGCAGGGGGAGGGGAGTCCATGGGAGAGATGGAGAGAGGGCACACAGAGGGCAGCTGGGCAGAGCAGGGCTGCAGCCAGCTAGGAGGTGGAGAGGGGTAGAGGCAGGTGGGAAGGCAGGGAACACAAGACCAGGGGGTCCAGCTTCACAGAGGTGCCCATGGGGGAGGGGGAGTAGAGCAGGTTGGGTAGAATGTGTTCAGCAGCATAGGAGAGGAGCAGAATCACATATCTAGGGCACAAGGACCCAACCAGAGACCAGAGCACATATGACAGTCATCCCACCACCAACTCATCCAACCCAGCTCAGCCATCCAAATCCACCAAGCCACAGAACCAACATCCAGCCAGGAGGGGGGAGAGAGAGGGAGGCCAAGTCCCAAATCCAGGAGGGGAACGAAGGGGGAGGAGGTCAGAGTCGGATGGCACGAGCCTCAACGGCAGTAGGCCAGGGAGATGAGGGGGGAGGAAGAGGAGGGGAGGGATGACCGGGGGTTCGTGGGTGATGCGTATGCAATGTATGGAGTGGACCAGTTAACACTACCAGGGACTCGACAGGGACACACCAATTACAAAACCACTAGCCGCCAGCCGGCTTGGAGGCCACACCAGTGCGCAGCAACAGGGCGCCATAGACTGCCACTGTCCTGACGCTCAGCTGGGTGGAGTCCAATGGGGTGGAACCGTTCTGCTGTAAGGGCAACTCCTGCCAGCCCGAAGGAAGAGAGCACACAGCACACAACAACCTCACATGAGTCTGAGCACAGAGGGGGATCCTTAGAGACTATCAAATACAAGGGAGGTATACTACTCACCTGAGCACAGAGGGGGATCCTTAGAGAACGGTTCAAGGATCCATGTGCCCAGGTGTCACACTATATAGTCAGCTGTGACAAGTGACTGATGATGATGGGATATCACTGCCATGGAACAATGGCAGATGACAAGTAGATAATGACAAACCCAGATAAGATAGTGAGTGGCTCAGAGGGGCCAGTGATGGCCAGCTCCTGAGACACCAACAGTGGAAGGCCACACTGGAGGAGCCCAGTGGCCAGGCCAGTGCCGGGCCGGCCAGTGGAGGCATCGGAGGCGAGGACCAATGCCCGACTGGGAAGAGGGGTGGTGCGGATGAGCGCAAGGCATCTGGTACGAGCCTGTACGGCAGTAGACCACATCCGCGGGAAGAAGGCCGAAGTAGAGGGGGAGGAGTGCGTACGGCAGTAGCACTCCCTGGTGCAAGGAATCGGGCTTGGCTAGACCGCTTGCGGGGATTCGAGGGAGATGGCCAGGGGAAGAAGGGAGAGGGCGGATGTCGGCATGGATGGAGGTGAGGATCGGAGGAGGAGGAGGAGGCTGGGTGATCGACAGGTGAGCAGGCACGGGTCGGCAGAGAGGGCGCAGCGGGTCACGTGCATGGTCACGTGCCCAAGGAGCGCGGCGTCCCCTGACAATATGGCAGATATCGTACCATACAAAAATGTCGCAAATAGTGTAATTGAAATCTAATCTATAATGTCATCATAAAGAGTTCCCATTTTGTCAACTATTGGAGCATAAAATGCACTTCCAGATACTCGACATATTGTAGCCCATTTTATTCAACTTATTCATATAAAACATTTGTTGAATATCAGAGCCGCTTATGGGGTAGCAAAAAGTGGCAATATAATCAGCCACGTTTTGGACTGCAATATGAGCTAAAAAAAGTTCGCAATAGGCAGCTATAATATTAGTACTATTGCGGCCCATATTCGGGCCGCACTGATATCACAGATATCGCGGTTAGGAAAATGTATCGGCGGATGATCCACTGATGATCCGCCGCTGGTCTGACGCTCATCCATTCAAAGTGCAACAAGAGTTAGGAATCTAACTTATACATATCTAACTGGCAGAAAGATTTAGAATTACACAACGATTATTAGAGAAGTTGAATCGAGCACAGTGGGATATCACATCGTCTATCGGTACAGTATCAATGATATCACTCATGGACGACGAGTACGTATGAGCTGGAAAGAATGGTCTGTATGAAGCAAACGGATCATGCATCCCGTGGGCTAGAGGTGTTTGCCGTCTGATCTCAAAGACAACTTGTTCCCCACGCTGAACAATCTTCTGGATGCTTCCTGCAATCATCTTGCGTGAGCTAGGAGGATAATACATGACAAGACTGTTGCCTAGGTGCGTCCTAGCTCGAGCAAAGTTAACACTGTTTCGTTTGTACTGGGCTCGTTCACCATCCTTGGCAAGTGGAGGAGAATCAGTGGGTAAATTGTAAGACGGAAATGTTTTGTCGAAGAGGAGTTTCAGCTCAAAGAAAACAGGAGGGCAGTCAGGCCGTCGCAACCATCGGCGGATACTGGCTCCCCGCATGAAAGACTTGGACAAAGTGGCTTCAAGTTCGCCACCGATATGATCATTGGTGTTGATCTTTTGGAGAAACCCGATTAGACGTTCAAAAGGGAAAGTCCACCAAGAGATAACGGGACCAAAGAGTATGAGGAAGTCATAGATGTGGAAGGCCATGTGGACATTGGGCCGCATAGCATGAGCCCGAGTATGGGGATGATTTGCTGCGAGACCATCCACCCATTGCCTCAGAAATGATCGATATTTGGAAGCCCGGGAAGGAGTCATAGTGTATCGGCAGACTAGGATGACTGCCGAGAACAGCGCCATTGTATGATCCAGTATTGGGAGCATGCGTGGCGACTGATCCTGGTCACCCCAGAGGATGACCAGAGCAATCGGCAGATAGATCGTTGCCAAGATCCGCCATTCCGCTGCCTTGATTGTCCCCGCATGGCTATCACCGTAGTTCAACGGAACGGAATCCACCCAAGCAGGAGTGGTAGTGTCTTTAATGACGCGCTGGATGAAATGGATGTTGGCAAGGTTAATGGACCGGGGGATAAATGTGTTGCTGGTGAGTGGCTTGGTGCGGCGCTAGATAGATCGTCAGTGACTGCTTGTGATACAAAGACAGTAAGTACACACCCATGCGAGCAGTTGATCACAACATGCCTGCTTCGACGCAATGCAGTTGGTGCTTGTGTTCAGCCCAAGTGAGAAGACGACCCAGCGAAGCGGCTGGAGATTAGCCCTCATGAGCTGCTGGCGCAACTCATCAATGCTTATTGCCGGGATAAACTGAGGATCGAGGACATGAGCCATTTCGACATTGTTATCCATGGCCTCTGGATCATCCGCGGTGTCATCTTCATCTGCAAGTAATGGCTGAACAAGCTTTTGCTGGATGACGCGGATCATGGGCAATTCTCTTGCCTCAGTTCGCAATAAGCAGATCGGAAGGCATACTGCAGCATCATAATCTGGCCAATCATGCTCAAAAGCTGCGCCCATCGTCTCTTTGCGCTTGGCTAACTTGGTATCTATCCGTAGGACTCGACGACAGTGGTAATGAACAAGACCCTCGAGAATACAGTGCATAGCATCCACAACAGCCATGCGAGTGGGGTCCCAGTACGGGAGACGCCAGAACTCAGACCAACGAACTCCATACTGGGAGAAGATGACATCTCTAGCCACCTGACTGGGTGCATCTCGCCATGCAAAGGCCTGGGCACGCAGGACCGTGATATCGCGTGGCTTCCACTTGTGATATTCCGTATCATACATGGAATGAACGCCCCAGCATTCGCAGATTGAACAGTAATGATTCGAGGTCGCAGCAGCCATGCCTTGCGCTTTTCGAGTTGCAGGTAAGTCATTGACGGTGTTGACAAGCGCGAGATCCAGACCGCGACCAGTCGGGTGGAGCACAGTGCGAGACAGTCGGATTCCTCGGTCCCATCCAACAACGAACATGTCAATGAGAGGGCGGATGTAATTGCCGATTTGGTCAGAATTGGGCTCATTGGGACCGAGGATGATGCTGAGCCACATGTTCTCTGGGCGATAGCGGATATTCTCGGGGAGGTTAAGATTGACGAGTGCCAGGATTCCAATGGAATTGTGGTTTCCACACTTCCTTGTCCCGTTCGGGTTGAAAAAGTCGAGCATAACTTGGAAGGCGAGCCTCAGACGACCTTCCCTCTCAACAAACAGTTTGTTGGGAATGGGGCCTTTGAAGCTGCGCATAAACGCTGCCTCGAAGACATTATTGACATGGTCTTCCATCACAGGTGCCTCGGGATTCTTTGAAAGAGCTTCGCGCACCGCCGCCAGTGCATCATCACAAGCCTCGTCGCACATCCTTTCAATCTCGGGGTCGGAAAGCATTGCAGCAATATAATCGATGAGGGAGGTGAAGACAAAAGGCTTGACGGGCCTCAACTTTCCTTGGCGACATTCGAGAATTGGGGTTCTACAAGCATGGCGCGCACCTCGCTGAGGATACACATAGCCTTGACAGACCTCTGAGTATGAAGCTTCCGCCATGATTCGAGTGTCCAGTGGCGCGTGTGTGTGATGACAGGACGGGCAAGTCGCATAGATGGTGGTGGTGGGGTCAATCTTGAACCTCCGAAGCGCAGATTCCAGGGATGTAGGGAGCTGGTTGAGCACATACTCCTGTGCCGGTTGTGCTTGCCCACCGTGGGCACTGAGCGCCATCGTCGCTTGTATGATTGCATTTACGAACGCGATGATAACGTCGACGGGGTCGGCACTGATCCCGATGATGACATGGCAGATGAGCGCTAGGAGGATGGAGAGTTGGGTGATAACATCATATTTCGCGATAGGGTTTTCATAATGGTGATCTGGGTAAGACTGTAAGCAAACTGAAGAATATATCACAAAGAAATGCATACCAGAACTGTGCTCGACCTCATGGGTTGGTGGAGGAAGAAGCCCGCCCACGACATCAATGAGCGAGTCGAGGCTCGCAGCCTCTGCTCGCACTTTTTCCGACAACGTCGCAATCTTCTCGTCTGCTCGAGTTTTCACCTTGGGCCGCTTCCTTGGGCTTATCTTATCTGAGGGCTTCAGACTTGAGAGAAGACGACCAGACTCAGTGACGAGGAGACTCGCAGAACGGACGGCGCTAGCTAGCGCATCAACCGTATCAGAACTCTCGTCAAAAGCGCGTTGGATATCGACTTCGGTATAAGCCGCGCGGATCCGCTGCAGCATCTCTTCCATGAGCTTTATATTTGTCTCTTGAGTCTCTATTTTCGCCGGGTATAGCGGAAGAGAGCGTGCTTTGAGCACAGCTTCCACGCCGCCGAGGGCTTGGTGGACGGAGATGGGCATGAATTCCGTTGGAACTTCGGGTATACTAGCTTGGAAATCGTCCCGAGAGCTGAAGAGCTTGGACTGAATCTCGGGATGAGACTGCTCGCCTTCGTCCAGAATGACCAAGCCAGTGAGGAGGCTTGCAAGCCTCTCAATTTCTACTACGGATGGGTCTGCTGGTGTCTCTGCAGAGCTCGCTCCAGCATCATCCTGTACATGGTTCGGGGCGTCGTCGTCGACGACTATCTCGCTTTCAGACGTAGCCACTTGCTCAGTCTGAGTTCCAGAAGAGGTCTGAAGGTGGTATATCTCTAGTTGGTGAGATACTCGCTCTAGCTTCCAGACTTTGTGATCGCGGAAGTTGTGTAGGGGGCATCGCTCGCAGGTATATAGTGGTGAGGGTGGCATTCGTCGATGGCAGACATCTGGCGAAGACACAAGAGTCACTCTGCTGACGGCAAACGTCTAGCAGAGTTACAGACAAGTGCACAAGTTCGGTGTCAACGGCAAACGTTTGACACCGGTGGTGGTGGCACTTGGGAGATGGGGACTTGAGTGAGGACGTGAAAAGTGATAGATGATGGCCCATCGCCGAGGATTGATTGATCGCCCATTGCTGAGGATTGATTGATCGCCCATCACCGAGAATTGATTGATCGCCCATCGCCGAGTGTGTAATCAACTTGGTCTTGACCCTCGCAGACGTTTGCCGTCGCGATGGATAGAGCTCAGACCAGCCTCAATTCTTCCTATGTCGACACCACCACCATCGCAGACGTTTGCCGTTGCGATGGATAGAGCTCAGGCCGACTTCAATTCCTCCTACGGCAAACGTCTGTGATGACTGGAGCGAGGACATAGTCCATCTGAGACGTTTACTGTCGAGATGAATACAACGCTTGAATCCCAAAAGCTTGTATTCACACTATCTACGCACTACCTCAAAATCTTAATGGCACCCATAACCTTCTCGTACATGAATGCCATGGCTGCCAGTATGACAACGAGCCAGACGATTCGCCTAACGGCGCTCCCAAGTCTCGACATGAAGTCGGGAGTTATTAGCGTCTTGCGGTATACGAAGATGTCGTTTTTTCCGCTCACTTCACCCGACTTGGCCGCAAAGATCGTTGGGACTCCTGCCACATCTGCCGTCTAAAATGCGTCAGCGCTGCATCAGCGGTGTGCAAATGGTATGCACTGCAACCGTCTGCATCCACACATTCGGGTCAACTTGCAATCTTGTGAGCACATTGTCCCGGCGATTGTACACGTAGATGACTCCATGATTGCTCCCGCTTGCAACGGCGCGGTTTGAGTCTAGCAAGGCCACTTGGCGGATGCGCCGCGTCTTTTTGATGGGCACGGAGAAGCTCTTCACCAATTCCCTCCCCGTCAGGCGATACAGATGAACGCCGCTGGACGGATCACCCAAGCACAGAATACCGTTTGCCTGGTCGACAGCAACATCGGAGCTTTGGCTCTTGTCAGTATACGAACCAGAGAGCTATGAACACGGACATGCGGCATCCCAGGTTCCATGCGGCATCCCAAGGGCAGACACTTGTCCCGCGGACAGAGTATCTTGAATTGGTAAGTTCTCTTTCTGTCAATGGTCTCGAACGCACTTACACAAGTCCACAGTACAGCCCAAATACAAGCAGGTCTCGCTCGTTTCCGCTCATCGCTCCGAAAGCCAAACTCCCGGGAACGCACTGCTCAATGACGACGGAGAAAACCTCGTTTTCAGCCATTGCCGAGTTCAGTGTGAAGACCTGAAGGGCTCCGCCACGGTGGGATGCGGCTAAGCGATTCGTAGCTGGGTCAAATGCAAGTCCGGTCACCTCGCACGGGGCGCTCATCTGGCGGCTCCATATCTCCTGGAAGCGAGGTGCCGCCTGCCCCTGATTACAAGTCAATGGTGCTACGCAACACAATGGATGCGAAACGTACCGTGCTCTCCAAGCGGCAGCAGACTATGAAGCCGTTCTGTGTGCCGTATATCAAAGCCTTGCCGATGTCGTCCTCGCGCTTGATCCACTGGAGTTTGGTGGTCGCGCCGCGGAGATCAGAAGTCACGGTTACCACCTCGACTTGCTGCATATCCTTCATGTCCCACACCTTGGGTCCATTCGAATTCAAGGCTAAAACCAGTCACTATGGCGAAACGCAGAACGCTTTTCAAAGCCTACCACCACTGGCAAGATATTTGCCGTCATCACGAGCTTTCAGGATCAGAACGGCGCCAGTCTTGCCGGAGAGCTTGCACTGCAGGCGATAGTCCGACTTGTCTCGCATTTCAAAGTTGTAGAGGATGGCTCACTCGCTTCGACACACCTCGCAACTTTAAGGCGCTTTAGACAATAGAAGCTTGTTACATAGACCTTTGCATTCTCTAAAAGGATATGGAATAGTCTTATCATCGAACGTAATCCAATCATCCTTTGTTCTTTTGTGCCTTGTGCACCTTTGTTCTCGGTGGAGTCATATACATAAAAGGGCATCGCCAAGCTTCCCGCCCGCAACACGAACCTCTATCCCGCAATGGCCTTTCGTGCTCAACCGCCACCTCCCCCCCCGCCTTTTGTTCTGATGCTTGCTTACACCGACATCCTGTCGCCGACCTTCTCTGCCCCCCTGCTTCACACCGACTTGAACACTGGGCCTCCACTCGCGTTCAGCGAAGATGCCATCAGGAAGCAGCCCAAGCCACAAACGAAGAAGGCAGTCACCTTCGCCGCGTCGGCTCAAGCACCGCCCTTCAAGTCGATGCCGAAGCTGAAGCCTGTGACAAGACAGTCAGTGAAAGTGGGCGAGCCTCAGGCTGGCGCTACGGTCAACATGAGCGATTCGGAGCCAGACCATGACGACGATTTTCTGACGCTCTCGCTCTTGGTTCCTCCTGGTGGCCCCTCTCATGTCACAGACTCTAAATTTCCACTCATGACTGGTTGGAGCAAGGAGTTTATCGCTGATAGGCTGGCTACCAGACGCGCTCTGCACCAGCTCTGTAAGGGCGTATTTTTGCGCTTTTTACAGAGTTTACTCTTGAACCATTCGGTGTATCGTGTCGCGGTTGACAGTGTTGCGCTCAGTAGGACTTATGGGTCTACTGCCCAGTCGACGACTGTGGATAGTGTCGACGATAGCAAGGCAGTCAGACCACTACTGTGGAACTGGTCTTATGAGTCTACACCAGGCTCAGGGCCATTAGTGACAAACGCTTGGACCGCGACCATTCCCCAAAAAGGGATATGTTGTTGCGTCGACTTCTCGAAAAGGGTCATTCTCTGCAGATGGGAACTTGGGCTGAAGGGCTGAGCAATGTGCGACGTTCTCAATAATAGAACTACTACTGGACAGGACTTGGCGTTACGAGACTTAAACCATCTTGTCGCGGCAACTCCCGGTTTTGAGTTAGACGTTTCCTCAGATCATGCCACGGCGACGACTTGTCACATGTCAGGATCCATTCGATCACGGGACATTGTGGACGCGTCGCGGTGACACTTCTAAGTGTCACGGCGAGTCGCGCCCATACCCAAACACACTAAAATCGACACGGCTAGATCCGTGAACCGAGCCATGTGGGGGACGACTGGCGCGCCTAGGGCCATACGGCTTCTTGGGGCGCCCACGTTGGTCTCACATGCCAAGACATACCCGTTGGCCAATCCAACACGTTGTATTCCAAAAGTATGACGCGGTGGGTTGACCCACATCAAAAGTATCATATGGACTATGGGGCGGGGTCCTGATCACTCAGGACCTGTCCGATCGTTCAACTTTTCAATTACCCTAAAAGGCAACCGATCTTAGATAGCGTAGCTACTATGCAGTTGTACAAGACTTTACTAAGCATCGTCGTAGACAGTATAAGTAGCACGTCGTTTCTTTGTATTAAAAAGCTTTCCCCCGGACTGTGAATCACTCTCATATCAGATTGTTTTGTACAATTTGCGTGCCGCGTGATTCCACCCTAAGAAGTTCTGCTACCCCTGCCCGGTCGCGACGAGTTGCTCCCTGAGCACTTGTAGCTACTGTGATTTGAGTTCGAGTTGAGACATCAGAAAGTCGGATTCGCCGCATCTGGTTTAGTCGTGGCATTTAGTGTCGTCGCCTTCGGGCTTTGTTGAGATCGTTCCACACCTCTAGCTTGGCAGTGCGTCGACTAGTTGTGCTCGGGTTGTTTTGGTCAGTTGGCAGTGCGTCAACTTGAGAACTTTGGTTCCACACTTCTTGGTTGGCAGTGCGTCGACAAGTTGTGCTCGGGTTTTGGACATTGGATATTGGCTGTTAGTTGGCAGTGCGTCGACGCAGCATTTTGGTTTACTAGTTGGCAGTGCGTCGACTCAGTACTTTTGGTTGTGTCAGTTGGCAGTGCGTCGACTTGACATTTTGGTTCTACTAGTTGGCAGTGTGTCGACTCAGTATATTGGTTGTATCAGTTGGCAGTGCGTCGACTTGATATTTGGGCTTTGCGTCACCATCTAGACGCTGTCGCTACAAGGGATCTTAATACTTCATATTAAGCTCTGACTTGTTATATCGTTGGTTGTGGATTGTATTAGTGTTGGTTGTGCTTGTATAGAAGATATTGGTCGAGATACCATTGTTTGCTATATATATATTCTTGTCGTTGACTCCGTCTCCGCGACTATTGGATCTGCGTCTATTGAGAGTTGTGATACTGGTGCTCTGTCCACCCCGAAGCCCTCGCATCTTTCACACACTGAGAAGCTGATTACAAGGAGTGTGAACGTGTTTATATTTGGGTTTACTTTCATAGTAGATTCACTTGTGAGCACGCCCTCAGCATTTCAACGAGTTGCCGACAAGTTCGCTGTTGATGCGATCAAAGACAGCATGCAGCGGCGTAAAGTAAGTTATTACACTCAGCTTCTGGCCATGGTTCTTATCATCGTTCAGTGAGCGAGTAATGATCCCATAGCTAGATCTATGTATTGTTCCTCCATGTACTTACCTTGAAATCTGTGTTTGACGCCATTGATGGATGACGACGGCCGATCATAGAATGGATTACATCAAGCAATCGGCACTTCTGCTTCGATCATCGCCGCCTAATTGTCACCGTACTTACTGCAGATGTAGAAACATCGTTTTCTATGTACTAGTTGAATATCTCTTGAATGGTGAATTCTTTACCTGAACGGATGCTTTGTTGTAAGTAACCAACCGGTAATTTCGTCTAAGCGCCACAATTGTCTCTTTATTCGAATACGGAAGTAGTTACATACGGAAGTAGTTACAATAGTCCTTCGTACCTAATCTTCCATGAGCCCATTCGGCAATCCTTGTTCTCAGATACCATGTGGCGCGGCGAAAAGAACAAAAGACGATGTATGTACTCGTTACAATGCCACAGCTACCTTTACATAAATTGCTCTCCGTTCCTGCAGCTCTTGTTCTCAACCCCCCCCTCCTGTTTCACGTGTTTGCCGCGGAAACAGCCATGCAGAACGACCAAGACAAGTCCATGAGCCATGAACCTTATACTCCTCCTCCGGTAAGCAATGGTATCACTACCAGTACCTGCCAGAAGCTGATGAGCCTTGGAGCAGCGCATTCGTATTCACTTGGATCGAGACAGCCACGGATCCAGCCAGCACAAACGGGCCGCAGCACCTGGCCCCACCCGCGAGAAATTGGACCAGGTGAGTCGATTTCTTCAAAGCGCCTTGGAAACCAAGACCAATGTCTGCAGGTTCGCCAAAGCGAGCAGTTTCACAAGCAGGTTGCAGTAGACGCAAGGAGCAACTTGACTCGCTGGTACGCCTCGAAGCAACCAAGTCGTCGTTCATTCATTGACGGATGTCTGATGCAGGTTGAATAGCGTAGCTACCGCGCAAAGCCAGATGGCGGCAGCATCAGCTGAGGTCCTCTGCCTGCAGGAGACTCTGGTGAGCTGATCATGCTGGTGGATTATCCAAAATATGACTTTTGGACAGCGCTCGCGAGATGTCCGACTTGACGAGCTAGTTGCTGAGGTCCATGAGCGAGAGGATGAAGTGGAGACTCTGCGCCTGCAGATCAAGCAGAATGCTCGAAGCAAAGCCCAGACTGGGCAAGCGAAACGACGAGGGGGGCGAGTCAGCAAAGACTTCTTCGACCCCGGAAAGCCTGATCTGCTAGATCTGGCGATGGATCCTGCTCCTCTGCCGGGTTCGTCCACTTCATCGCCTGCTGCTTCGTCGCCCGCTGCCCCTAATCCCGTAATAGAGGAAGTTGCGACCAAGTTGAACATGGACGTGGACTTGTTGACCCAGTTCTTCACGGCGATGAAGATGGTGAAGGAACAGACGGTCGACATCAACGTTAGTCCCGGCAAATCCACTCAACGCCGCAAGTCCAGCCGCAAGTCGGACGCGAAAGCGGCTGTTGCGCCAAAGTCTCAGGACCTAGTGAATCAGGCCCATGTAAGCCAAGAAACATACTGCTTGATGTAGAGAGAAACTCACCAGTTTCAGAGCATGATGCGCTCGACGACTTACGCCAAATTTGGAGTCCAACAAGCGACGGACTTCATCTTTCACGACCCCGCTACGAAAGACGAGGTCGAGGAATTTACTGAGGATGATCAAGCGACAATCCAAAAGTATCAATGGGATTTTGGTGCGGACTACAAATCTTCCGCCTGGAATGCTGCGGTGATGGAGAGGCTCGTCGCCGACGTTGTGAAGGAGGACTCGCACAATATGCATTACGTCCAAAAAGGGCTCATATCGCAGGACTTTCTCCGTCTTGTTGTGGAAGACCAGCTGGTGCGCTATCGCGCGGATTGGAATAAGTTCCAGCCGAAGTGGGACGAGGAGAACGGGCACATGGAGACGACAGAGGAAGCAATTGCTCGTGGCAAGATAATACTGTTTAATCGTCGTGTTTCCGCCCGTACCGTTAACGCTCAGCACATGGTACATGTCTGCTGTTAGCTGGTAATCCTCTAATCCTTTCCACCAGAAATACAAGCATTGCCGCACCACGGTCACGGCAACGATCACATTGAAAGAGTCTGAGGGAGCGGATGATCTGCCAACTTGGGAGAGATTGTTGGAGCTGTTGGATCTACTTGGGGCAGGTGGGATGTCTGAGGAGGAGGAGTCCTATTCGCTCGACAACGGGACCAAGGTCAAAAGCTACATCATCAAGATCTGTGTCTGGCGCGAACCACTCATTGTGGACTACATGCGCATAATTGACAAGCAGACTAGTCGCTTCCAGGCTCTCCACAGCGGCAACAAGCCGGCCCCTCGTGTACGAGTCGAGACGAAAGCCGTAAGACCTGCGCCTAAGGAGCTCCCGGCATGTCTGTACAGCTCTGAGTGGATCGCCTCGCTGTCCTCAGCGGACTTGAAGGAATTGAAGGTCTCCAAGAAGGTATTCGCTCTCTTCTTCGCAGCGACCGGTAGAATGGCAAAGTAGATACACATGAATGTATGTAGTCTTCACAAGAATGTACCGGGAATCCCTGCTTTCAATACAAGCTTTCGAGATTCAATGAATGTGTTCATCTCGACGGCAAACGTCTGAGATGAGCTATGTCCTCGTTCCAGTCATTGCGACGGAGAACATCAGAGATCAAGTGTGTCTTCGCTCCAGTCATTGCGACGGCAAACGTCTGTGATGGTGGTAGTGTCAACGTAGTAGAATTTTGGGCAAATGTGAAGGCGTGCCCATCACAACAACACACGTCCGAGATGAAGTCGGTCTGAGCTCTATCCATCGCGACGGCAAACGTCTGCGATGGTGGTGTTCATGACCAAGGAGGAATGATCGGGGATCACTGATCGCTTGACTCAGCAGTCTAGACTTGTTGACTTGATCAAGTCACAAGTCCCATCTTCCTACTCCCACATCCAGTGTCAGACGTTTGCCGTCGACACTACTAATCCTGTGCACCTACATACCGAGAGTCCCTTGTGTATTCGCCAGACGCCTGCCATCGCCGGATGCCACCCTCAAAACATGACCACGGAATCTCATCGTCCATTCTTTTGGCTACCATGGCTGGAGGAGATGAGCAGCAGGGACTCAGGCGTTTGCCGCCGGGTCCCACAGGGAAAGAACCGACACCTTTGCTGCGTGGTATTATCAACGGGGCGGCTTTTGTTTTCAATGGGGGGGCTTTTGCCGCCTGGTACTTCTTGGATGTTTTCAAACGCGTCATCTTACTCTTGCGCATCCCTCTTTCGGCTCTTATTTGCCTGTGGATCCTCGCATTTCTAGTCGGCTTGATGTCTCACACCGTCAGCGCTATGTTGAGTCCTTTTTGCTTTGTCCCAGGGCTCAGCGGCTCCTTTCTGTGCGCTCCTTCAGGTCCCATGTCACTGGGACAAGGGCCTCCCAAATGGGCTGACTTTCCGTCGCTGGTCAATATGCAGACTGCGACAATCGAGCAGCTTCTCGATGAATCAAGCTCGGGCTCTGCGCTGGCTCTGCAGATCAAGAAGGCCAAGATTGCAACGACGGACCTGGCGACGTTGGTACGAGTGAGTGAGCTGAAGAGTCGCGAGTCCTTGAGTGATGCACTTCGGGCATTTGTGGATGACGCTCGCAAGGCGGTCAGATCGTTGAATAAACTCAATGCCAAGGTGGCTGGAGCAGTTGACGGGTGAGTACACCTACGTTTCCTCCATCATTGTACTGTCTAACTCGAATCTTAGTATCACGGCAGTGAATGATTATGCACTTCACAGCATCCAAGCCGCTGGTGCATTGTCTTTACTGGATCGATTGAATCCCTGGATGAATTCCGACGCGAGGATCATTCTGGAGACTTTTGAAGACCTCCTGAACTATCTTTCCCCCACCCTCCAGCGTCTCGTGCTCGAATTCGAACTCAATGTACAAAACTTGTATAATCTCGAGTAACAGTTGTCTATTATACACGAGATTGCTACAAGAGAAGATGTTTCTTTGTCTTCTGCTAAATCCGAGCTCCTCGGTGAACTGTGGACCATCTTCGGAGGCAACCGAAAGAAGCTGCGGGGTTACGCAAATCATCTCGAGATCTTGAAGGGAGTCGGACAGTATCGTACTCAAGCTCTTGTGCGTGTTGTATCCGCTGAAATGCTGAGGGCGTGCTCACAAGTGAATCTACTATGAAAGTAAACCCAAATATAAACACGTTCACACTCCTTGTAATCAGCTTCTCAGTGTGTGAAAGATGCGAGGGCTTCGGGGTGGACAGAGCACCAGTATCACAACTCTCAATAGACGCAGATCCAATAGTCGCGGAGACGGAGTCGACGACAAGAATATATATATAGCAAACAATGGTATCTCGACCAATATCTTCTATACAAGCACAACCAACACTAATACAATCCACAACCAACGATATAACAAGTCAGAGCTTAATATGAAGTATTAAGATCCCTTGTAGCGACAGCGTCTAGATGGTGACGCAAAGCCCAAATATCAAGTCGACGCACTGCCAACTGATACAACCAATATACTGAGTCGACGCACTGCCAACTAGTAGAACCAAAATGTCAAGTCGACGCACTGCCAACTGACACAACCAAAAGTACTGAGTCGACGCACTGCCAACTAGTAAACCAAAATGCTGCGTCGACGCACTGCCAACTAACAGCCAATATCCAATGTCCAAAACCCGAGCACAACTTGTCGACGCACTGCCAACCAAGAAGTGTGGAACCAAAGTTCTCAAGTTGACGCACTGCCAACTGACCAAAACAACCCGAGCACAACTAGTCGACGCACTGCCAAGCTAGAGGTGTGGAACGATCTCAACAAAGCCCGAAGGCGACGACACTAAATGCCACGACTAAACCAGATGCGGCGAATCCGACTTTCTGATGTCTCAACTCGAACTCAAATCACAGTAGCTACAAGTGCTCAGGGAGCAACTCGTCGCGACCGGGCAGGGGTAGCAGAACTTCTTAGGGTGGAATCACGCGGCACGCAAATTGTACAAAACAATCTGATATGAGAGTGATTCACAGTCCGGGGGAAAGCTTTTTAATACAAAGAAACGACGTGCTACTTATACTGTCTACGACGATGCTTAGTAAAGTCTTGTACAACTGCATAGTAGCTACGCTATCTAAGATCGGTTGCCTTTTAGGGTAATTGAAAAGTTGAACGATCGGACAGGTCCTGAGTGATCAGGACCCCGCCCCATAGTCCATATGATACTTTTGATGTGGGTCAACCCACCGCGTCATACTTTTGGAATACAACGTGTTGGATTGGCCAACGGGTATGTCTTGGCATGTGAGACCAACGTGGGCGCCCCAAGAAGCCGTATGGCCCTAGGCGCGCCAGTCGTCCCCCACATGGCTCGGTTCACGGATCTAGCCGTGTCGATTTTAGTGTGTTTGGGTATGGGCGCGACTCGCCGTGACACTTAGAAGTGTCACCGCGACGCGTCCACAATGTCCCGTGATCGAATGGATCCTGACATGTGACAAGTCGTCGCCGTGGCATGATCTGAGGAAACGTCTAACTCAAAACCGGGAGTTGCCGCGACAAGATGGTTTAAGTCTCGTAACGCCAAGTCCTGTCCAGTAGTAGTTCTATTATTGAGAACGTCGCACATTGCTCAGCCCTTCAGCCCAAGTTCCCATCTGCAGAGAATGACCCTTTTCGAGAAGTCGACGCAACGACATATCCCTTTTTGGGGAATGGTCGCGGTCCAAGCGTTTGTCACTAATGGCCCTGAGCCTGGTGTAGACTCATAAGACCAGTTCCACAGTAGTGGTCTGACTGCCTTGCTATCGTCGACACTATCCACAGTCGTCGACTGGGCAGTAGACCCATAAGTCCTACTGAGCGCAACACTGTCAACCGCGACACGATACACCGAGTGATTCAAGAGTAAACTCTGTAAAAAGCGCAAAAATACGCCCTCACAGAGCTGGTGTCATAGTTCGGCCACTTTTTCATCTTATCATCGACGATCTTATCTTATCTTGGCACGACTTATCTTATCACGGATCACGGCATCAGACGGTCCGGACTAGGGGTTCCAGGGATTATCTTCATCGATTCGAGGCTGCGCGACATATGCTCCAGAAGGTTCTACTACGACCCATGACCAGCGTTCCATGCGGTACATAGCCCTATGACTCATTAGTTGTAGATATGACTCAGACTGGATTTGGGTATAAATACTGTAGCTACTTGGTTGTATTCTCCAGTCTTCGAATTCACTTCTCTTTTCGACTTTGTTTTTGGGTTGATTGTCACAGCTGGTGCAGAGCGCGTCTGGTAGCCAGCCTATCACCGCGCTGCAAACACTGATGCAGATGAGTGAGGACATCGAGAATCTGAGAGAACGAGTCGCCGCTCCCGAGCTGACAGGTTCTCGGATTCCCGTCCATATACATATTGAAAGCATCCAAGGCGGACTCGAACGAATCAAGGAGGGACGAGCGAGGGCCAAAGAAAAGGAGCGCAAAGCCGTTGGGAATCTTCGGAGAAACGGTGGATGTATGACTTGCTTGTTCTGTATTTGATTGCACATATCTACAATACAGTGGCGCCTAAGTACCGCACAGTATATACTGACTAGGTACCCAAATAGCAAATTGTAATATACAGAAAATTCATGATCTTAGCACTCGATCTTGGCCTGTCTCGAGTCCATGGCACTTGTGCGACGAGAACCACCGAAGTAAGTCGATCAATCACGTGAAATTCACCTGATCGTGTTTGACAGACAGGCCGATGGAATCAATCACTCGCGTCTGACCCGTCCTCATCATCCTCTTTCTTCCTTCCACCATGTGCGAAGTAGGGACTCGGGCGTTTGCCGCCGGGTCCCATAGAAATAGATACGATGTGTATGAGGCGTGGTTCTCCAGATAGCTACAGACACCTGAGAGCGGGCGACAGGCGACGGACAAGATGATATTGAAATTGTATGGTGGATTACTGAAATGGAGACTCCTAGAATATCGAATATCGAGGGAGCTGTCGGCGGCACATGCCTGGCAGCTGTAGTCGAGTGGACTCTCGAGGAAGTGGGAGACGATCAAGATCAAAGATCTCATCAATCAGCCACGTGCTGATCTAACGTCGTTTCTTCTCTCCACCCTACACTATGGCTCCCGGAGATCGCAAGCAGGGACTCAGGCGTTTGCCGCCGGGTCCCACAGCAACAGAATTGACGCGTTTGCCGCGCGATTCTTCATCTTTCCAGCTGACTGTCCAGCCCAGTGACAATGACGTCCACCGGCTCGTCCCGCTTGCAACGCTGGACGAATCTGAAAAGTCGACGCTTATTGTAAGCTTTATCTTGCATCACTGACTCTCCGTATATAACTCTGAAAAGCCTACAGCTCATTTTCATGGCCTTCTGCGTAACGAGCTAGGCATATTCGTTGTTTTTCATGCCAACCGCACCGCTCTCCTCCATGTTCCCCGTCCCAATCCTGGATACACGGTGTATCCATCTCTATACACCACGTCGTGGATGAGCATTCGACGAATCCACCTCGCCTGTGGCCCTCGCTACCCCATGTTTGACGGCGATTTACTGGGTGTTCTTGACGTCTCCATGCGCGCACTTCCTACGCAAAGGCAGGAGTGTGGCAGTTGGGTTCTTAATCCGGTCGTGGTCGAGAAATGGGCGAGTTTAGAGGGCTTCCTTTCCAATGTTGCTACGGCCTTACGGGGTGAAATTGCCCGACTTGTCCCAGCACCAAGTTGCGGGGCCATGAACTCACGACCGATCTCCTATGGCTATGCAAACCCATTCTCAACGCAGGAGATGCTCATCACTGCTGTTTCCCACTCCAAAGACGCGTTTTCCTTGCTGCTATCGGCTATCGCACTCTATTTCCTTGCGCTGGATGGTTCTGCCCGGAGCTCAGCCTGGCGCAGCAATGTCATGAAACTACTGGGGATCCACCCTCGGTCGATGGACTCGTTGGAGGATGTTGTTCAGCGTCTCCTCCGGCATCCGGCGGGAATGATTCTAGACTGCACATCAGAGAGCCCCCGCGAGCTCGACTGGCTCTTCTCCATGCTCATCAAAGCCACTACCCAGATCCATGTCCCAATCTACTTCTTCCTGGGTGAGGGCGACGAGGCTGTGACACGAGCCAGTCATCTGGAAGCGTTTCCGGCCATGCGCAATCTCAGTCTCGAGGTTGGCCATCGGATTCGCGCACTGAACCAGCTCCCTGCAGTCCCGGTCGCAACGGAGGAATTTGTCTTTGTTAAAGCAAATATGCGTCTGTTTGGGACGATCCCAAACCCTGAATACTACGCGGCTTTGAAGACTGAGCAACGACAATTCCCACCTGTCGAGCCTCACAGTGGCCAGAAGGAGGGGGAGAGCTACGAGGAGTTCTTTGCTCGTTGCAAGACGCTCAACAAGCGCAGACTTTCCCAAGAAACAGACAAGGACAGGCAGACACGCCTTCAGCGCGAACACAACGCTAAGTCACAGTCCTGTCCTGGGAAGAAGGGTGCTCGTGTATTCATATGGGAGGAGGTGGACAAATTCTGGGTTCGTCGTTTGGTCCAACGGAACGAGGTCGAGGAAGAATGGGTCAATTTTGCCCAGTCCCAGCGCATATACGACTCGTTCAGGAATGAGTGGGACCTCTGCAAACCGCTGGATCTCACAGCTCAAGCAATATACGACGACGACGACGACGACGACTTCTGCGGCGACGGCGATATCTATGGTGGATGTTTCGCAGGTTTTGACGCCGACTTCGAGGATGATCTTCCCGTGGGACTCACTGCTCGAGTGCAGTCAACTTTGAACGACCCTTCCTCCATTCTCCAACATGTCGACAGCTACTACGACGGCGTTGCAGACAAAGAGCAACTTTCCATCGCGCCTGAGATCAACAGTGCTGATCTCCATCCCACAAGGGCCATTCTCGAATATCGCGTCGGGCTCGTTGACAGCTCCGAGCAGTCTTTCACCGAGGCTGAGATGATTAGCCTCAACTTGGGCAATCGCTTCTTGGGCCACGGAGAGTCCTCCACACCAAAGCCGCTGAGGGATCCAGCCCGGGCGTTGCTGCTTTCACTGACCAAGGCTAAGCGTCTTCAAGAGATGCCCAGCGATCTTTTCGACCTCTGCAACGAGAAGATCGCCAAAGATATCCTATCGAAGAGCGGCATCTCGGTAACCTTGATTGAGGGTGTGAGGAGCAGCAAAGTCCATGGCACCACGGGATATGTGCTCAAGCCGGCCGACCAGGGGGCATCTGGGCGAGAAGTTCTTACTTTCAGCGGCACAACTGTCATGCAGCTCATGCGCCGTCGTTGCAGCACCTGGTCCGAGATCATCTCGAACTTGTACAATCTTGGTGCTACCTTCCACATTGTTGTCGAGGCTTCCACCTATACACCATCGTCATATCAGCCGAGCTATTTCCATTGTCGCGGTCTCGGAGTTCGCGCCGCAGGTTACATCCCGGATCAGCATGATCTCGACACCTACTGGGATCTCCTCAAGCGGTTCCTTCTCTCTCCTCGGGGATCACTGGCGCTTCAAGCTGGAGGTGTAGTTGCTCGCCTTGCCCGCCTGATCATCAACAACTCGCAGTTGGAGCTGAGATCAGATGATGTCGACATCAAGCTGGCTGAGCAGCGGCTACAGATCAACGACAGCTCCTTCTATTTTCACGCTTTGACGGAGGAGGAAGAAGACCTTGTTCTTGGTGTCTACAGCATTGAGATAAGTAAGTTTCCTCTCTTGTTTTCTGAAACAAAGTGACCGAGCCGTCTAGACCAGCTAAATCCCCGGACTGGCAAAACCAGCGGACATCAAGAACAACGGCTCTCATGGTGGCCGCAGGGGGGCGCGTTTTTCACATCGGGAATGAGTGTTGGTTGGTGGACGCCAGATTGCGAGCGTTGGTTTCAAGAGGTTCTACGGGACATGGCAGCTAACAAAGCGCTCGTTCTCAACAACTCGCGCTGGAAGCACAGAATCCGCGGATACAACTCCGTTGGGCGAATAGCCAAGAACCTCGACACTGTTTGTGACAACTATTTGACCAACGTGAAGTTAAAGTGCCCTGTAGCATAGCCTGTATCTATCTCCGTTGTAACTCAAGCGTATATACATCTTTGCTCTCGCGACTCATTGATGTCTCGGCCCGGTGGATGAGCGTCAGACCAGCGGCGGATCATCGGTGGATCATCCGCCGATACATTTTCCTAACTGCGATATCTGTGATATCAGTGCGGCCCGAATATGGGCCGCAATAGTACTAATATTATAGCTGCCTATTGCGAACTTTTTTTTAGCTCATATTGCGGTCCAAAACGTGGCTGATTATATTGCCACTTTTTGCTACCCCATAAGCGGCTCTGATATTCAACAAATGTTTTATATGAATAAGTTGAATAAAATGGGCTACAATATGTCAAGTATCTGGAAGTGCATTTTATGCTCCAATAGTTGACAAAATGGGAACTCTTTATGATGACATTATAGATTAGATTTCAATTACACTATTTACGACATTTTTGTATGGTACGATATCTGCCATATAAATCATTCTTTATGCCTCCTCATATTTGCGATCCGCCGGAGTGTGGTCAACTTCAGGTGCGGCCAAAGCGTCGAACCCGAGTTAAGGTCCGGTTCAAGGTTCGGAAATTTTGTTCAAAAGCCGGACCGAACCGAACCGCGGCAACACCCACTTCGATCGAGCACAACAATTTCTCGACTTGCTGCGGCATGGAAAAAACAGATAGATTCGTTCTAATGCAAACTCGCGATTGTTCAGGGGACAACCAATATTCATTTCGAATTTAAGCAATCATCCACTGATGGAGTGATCGCAGAATGTGAGAGCTTCGAGCGAAGACAGTTGAACTGTCCCGGTCTATCCCTTGAGTCAGACAAACAATTTCTGATAAGCGTCCTTCCCAGCCTGGAGCGCATCATAAGAAACGATCTTTTCACGTGCCTCTACCGCTTTGAGAGGGAGTCAAGATCTTTTTCAGGTCTGACTGAACCGAAAAACGTACAATGCGCACCGCCCTGATTTCCATCTATGATCGCCTGAATCTGCGCAACCGAAGTCCTGTTCATCCAGTCTGCCCTGGGTTTCCGGATATCAAGCCACGCAGCCAGTCGGGCGGGGATCTGCTCGCGCGTGGTCCCGAGAGGAATGAGGCCGGCAAGGACCCCAACGTCTTCGATAGCCATCGCGGCTCCTTGGGCCATGAAAGGCGGCATGGCGTGGGCTGCGTCACCGAGAATCGCCGTGCGACCGTTGATCCAGGTGGAGAGGACGGGCATTGTGCGGAGCCGCCACCGGTAGTGTTCGGCGTTGTAGTTCGGCAGGTCGAACAGACGAAGGAATTTCGGATCGGCGCCTGTGAATTTGGGGAGGACTTCAGCGGGAGTGATCGTGCGGCTGGTAACTGTGGTGCGGTCAGTGGTTCAGCACTGGATATGTTCTGTAGATCTGCTGCTCACGATTTTGTTTCTCTTCCTCGGATTCCTGGTAGAAGTGGACGCAGTTGAGCAGTTCCCCGTTTCGGCAGAGATAGCAGAATATCATGCGAAACGGTTCTCCCTTCCACGGCACGGCCCGAACACCCGATATGCCCTTCGTGATCCAGTCGAAGTCAGGGTTATTTTTCATTGAAGCAGCCTTGAATACGCTGCGACAGCAAGATAGACCTGTTGGCTCCGCATCCTGAGGGTGCCCCAGGACGTGTGATCGAATGACCGACTAGACGAAGGTTGGACGAAGAATGAAGTATCAGTGAACATATCACGAGCCTGCAGACCATCTGCCCCGATGACCAGGTCCGCGGCAATCGTCTCTCCCGAGTCGAGGACGACGATGCCGGCTTCCGGCTCACACGAGACGACCTTGCAGCCCAGTCTGATATGCACGGGAGGACCATTGCCGTCTGGAGACAGGGCAACCCGTTTGAGTTCCTCGTGCAAGTCGCTGCGGTGGACGAGTACAGTCTGCCAGTGCTGTCAGCGGAGCACGTGAAAGAACGAATATGCATCAGACATCAGTTGGAGCTGGTGCTGCATCCTGCGGCACAAGCAAAACCTCCCTGCTCTCTCCAGTGATAGGATTGAAACCCACAAGCTGATTAGAAGATGAGTGGGAGCAGGACGGGGGCAGAAGTTCCCACCCCGCGAGCATAGACGGGCTTCATGTTCTCGGGGTTGATCCCAAATCGGTTCAGAACACGCATCGCATTCTCTTGCACGCTTAGCGCTGCCCCGAGCTCGATGTCCGCCTCCAAACGTTCGAAAACCTGTGTGACATGCCCGCTGTGACGCAGGGCGATAGCAGCGGAGAGCCCACCGATTCCGGCCCCGACAATCGTAATCTTCAGTGGATTTTGTGTGGAGGACATTTGGATGTCACCTTGTGAGCTTGAACTCCTGCCATGTGCGCAGTTAAGTATCGGGGACCCGGCCACATATATCCCGCTGAGTAAGTCTTAATGATGTAGCTTGTGCGTTTACCCGGTGAGCTGTCGAAGGGAAGCAAGGTCAGCAGAGCACAGAAGAGTGTCACCGTTGACGGACTGGCCTATCTATCCGACAAGTCCTGACGTGTGGCAGTGCATGTCAATCAGCAATCAGTGGGCGCACGCTTCGCACACAACTGAGGGTCTCCTCAATATTCCTCAGCCCTGGCTATTCACTGGTTCGTCCAGCCCTGCATATATTTTTGATATTCACATCCCTGGACTGCTGTCTGCACATTTATCTCTACACCCCTGCCTTTCTTACTTCACCATCCACTTGTACCTGTTTTTCCCCTCTCACTTCCCTGGTTCCTCTGTTCACCGTCCCTTGCTCCATCCTGTCGATATTTCACCCACTCTGATGATTATTTCATTGTCTCACATACAAAAGCTTGTAGTTGGACAAAAGAAAAATAGATTTATTCTCCTCATAGTCTTGAGTTCAGTTCTCGTCTTCAGCTCGTTTCTACTTGGGTATTTCGACCCTCTGCTTCGTCGCATCCGTCCCACGCCGCCCTCGACTTCGTCCCACGTCTAAAATCATCATTTCTTACTGCCTGCCACAGCACTGAATCTTGTGGACCTCCTCGCACATCACACTTATTCCTGCACTGTTTTAGGTCGTAGCTGACCCCCATTTTGTGTTAGCTCGCGCCTATTCCGTCCGCAGGCACGTCATTTTGGAGCCCACCGCGAGGGGATTTCAACATAGATTCTGGTGCCTCTCGCAGTCTGCGACACAACAATCATTCTGAGCTACGTCGCACGCTCCGTGAAGAGCTAGCTGTTGCTCTCAACGACCCCACAACTCTCTCTTTCGACAACGAACACCTTTTTGACATTGTCCCCAGCGCCCTTGCACAACACAACAACCTCTCACCGCATTCCCCGAGCTCTCCAACGCTATCCTGGCTCTTTGATTCGCCTCCAACAACGCGTTCACCATCCCCCCTTCACAACACGAATATTCCTTCTCAAAATATGGCTACTCCCACTCCCATGCCAGCCAGAGGCGATCGAAACGCCCCAGTCTTTGATTCGTCCAAGCCCCACGAGTTGCGCCGTTATTTCCTCGATCTGGATTTCCTTCTAGCTCGATCTGCCGTCACTGACGCTGCCCAAATGAAGGGGCATGCGGTCAGATTCCTTTCCGTCAAAGATCAGGAGATTTGGGAAGGTCTACCGTCATTCTCAGACGCCAACAAATCGTACCACGACTTCAAATTGGACGCCCTCAGCCTCTACGCAGGGAACGACACAGATCGTCGTTTCAGCCTCGACGATTTGGACATGCTCGTTGGGCAGACATCTCGCATGGGAATCCACACAAAGGACGACCTCACACAATTTTATCGACGATTCCTACACATCACAACATTCCTGATTAGCAAACAACGACTCTCTGTGGCAGAACAGAGCCGATTTTTCCTTCGAGCTATGAATCCAGCCTCGTTGTCCGTCTCAGTTCGCCAGAGACTTCAGATCAAGAAGCCAGACGTTCACCCTGAGGATCCATATGATTTGTCAGATCTGTACGACGCTGCTAAATTCGTCCTTTCAGGATCATCGACCTTACTTCCTGGAATGCCCACGTCTCAGCCCGGAACCGAGCTCACAATCAAATCAGACCCTGGAATTACTGCACTAGTTTCATCCGTCTCAGATCTAGTTCGAATAATCGCTGCTCAACACGCCAATCCTGGTGCCCCAGCACAATCACAGTCCGCCAACGCCCTGCCCCGCCGTCGCCGTCCTGATGGCTGCAGTTATTGCAGTGATCTCGAGCATTTTATCAGCCAATGTCCCCACGTTTCGACGGATATTCGAGACGGAAAATGCCGCCGCAATGTGGATGGGAAAGTCGTCCTCCCCTCAGGCGCATATGTGCCAAATATTGTCCAAGGAAAGGATCTTCGAGAGCGCATTCAGAAGTGGCATGAAGCGAACCCAGGTCAGGCAGCAGCTCCGCAGATGATTTTGGAAGTTTCTCACCAGAATTTGCTGTCTTCTGCGGCGCCTGGGCTCGTTCAAACGTTCAAACTCACGGACGAAGAACGAATGGCAGTTCTGACGGCTGAAATTAATCAACTACGCACACGGGCCCAAGCTAAACGCGCTATGGAAGTTGCTCATCAACCAGAAGTCCCTGAACGCACTATTCCACCGGCGGTAGCGCGAAATCCAGTCGTTCCACCTGTTCCAATCGAAACCGTCCCTCCTGCGACCGCCCCTGCTGCTCCAGTTGCCCCGCCTCAACCCCCAATCCATCCGTACGCCGCAGCTCGTGATGGCGCTTACGCACCGCCCAAAGAACGAAATGTTGGGATTCCAGCGCAGAAATCACAACCCCCACGCTCTTCGGCTCCGATCTACAACCCCAAAGATGCTGCAGCTGTTTTCGACGCCATTTTGGACATCCCTGTCACCCAGACGCTTCGCCAGACCCTGTCGATTGCCCCAGAAGTCCGTGCTCAATTCCGCGAAGCCACTAGTTTCCGTCGTCCCCCTGCCAAGACTGGCGAGGCAGTGCCTCAATTCCTGCATCCTGTCACTGATAGCACGCCCTACGACCTTCCATATGCTCAGGACGACTCAGATTTGGTCGAAAAAGTGCTTCAGCAGCAACGAAACGAAGATGCACGCCTTGCTTTGGCTGCGGAGCATTTTCCAGTCGCCTACAGCCAGACGTTGCCCCCAGACGCTTGGGTGGTCCCAGATAAATTCGCCGTCTACTACGATCAGACTGGAAGGTTGCCAGACAATCTAGTTGTGGCTGCCGAGTCCCTGGCCATCCGCTCGATCCTCCCAGTGATTGACAACCAGCAACAAGTGGAATGCATCGTCGACAGTGGTTCTCAGATTATTTCGATGTCCCAGGCAACCTGTCACGAGTTGGGACTTGCGTATGACCCTCGAATCGTTCTACAAATGCAATCTGCCAATGGAACAATCACACCGTCGCTTGGACTAGCCTGAAACGTCCCGGTTCGCATTGGGGACATCACATTGTACCTACAGATGCACATTCTGCGTGACGCTGCCTACGACGTGCTCCTGGGACGACCATTTGACGTTCTGACGGAAAGCGTCATTCGAAACTTTTCCAACACGGATCAAACACTCACAATCACCGATCCCAACACTGGAAAGACGGCTACTGTGCCTACTGTGCCCCGCGGATCTCCCCGTGCCCGTTCAGAGGGTTTTCGCAGCTCGAGGATTTGATTCCTGATCAAGGAGAGTACGCCTTTGTGATCGAGGCCAGCCCAGATCAACCAGAACGCTACGTATTTTCGTCCTATGCCCCCATTTCTCTCACAGACTCTCTTGCGCACATACAACATACTTATCTCTCTGCCTGTAGCAATTTATCCGCACACAGTTCGACTATTTCTCTTGCACATACAGTCGTTCAACCGGCGTTTTCCTCAGCGACCCAGGATTCAACTCCTGGTTCAAAATTCGTTCCCATATTTTCTTTGAACTCGTCTCGTACCTATCCTACTGCTACGTCTCCTTCATCTCAATTCTACCCGTCCACGTCACAATTTGCTAACAAAAAGTACAAGCCAGTGGCCAGGAAAATTCGGCCTGTTCTTGGATCTGTCCCAGACGAATTCCGCATCGAGCGCCAGATCCTGGGCGACCCACTCGCAGATCTACCATATCTGGATCCTATTCCGCCTCCTTTTGTGCCGACTGGACGCTACACCGCCGAACGCAAGGCTGCTCTTGACGACGCACACCGCGGTGACTTCCTGTGGCCTGCTGAGAGAGATTTAATGCACCAGTTCATGTGCCTTCACCAAGGAGCCTTTGCATGGCAAGAATCAGAACGAGGACGTTTTCGAACCGATTTCTTTCCCCCTGTCAATATCCCAGTCATGCCGCACACACCGTGGGTCCAGCGCAATGTCCCCATTCCCCCTGGGATCTACGATCAAGTCTGCGACCTCATACGCTCGAAAATCGCTGCTGGAGTGTACGAACCGTCCAATTCATCCTATCGATCCCGTTGGTTCTGTGTGGTGAAGAAAGATGGCACCAGCCTTCGTTTGGTTCATTCCCTGGAGCCACTCAACGCCGTCACAATTCAGCACTCAGGCGTCACGCCGTTCACTGAGCAGCTGGCTGAGCATTTTGCAGGACGAGCCTGTGGTGCCATGCTGGATTTATATGTTGGATATGACGAACGGTTGCTTGCGCCAGCCTCCCGCGACTATACAACGTTCCAGACGCCCTATGGAGCTCTCAGACTTGTTACCCTGCCCATGGGATGGACGAATTCAGTCCCCATCTTCCACGACGACGTCACCTACATCCTCCAGCCCGAAATCCCGGAATTTACTTGGCCATACATCGACGACGTCCCGGGCCGTGGCCCCAAATCGAGATATCAGCTAGAAGATGGATCATTTGAGACGATCCCTGAGAATCCAGGGATTCGCCGGTTCGTTTGGGAACATTTTGGAAATCTGAATCGAATCGTTCAGAGGATGAAGTACTGCGGAGGGACATTCTCTGGCCTCAAGCTCACACTCTGCGCCGAAACCATCACAGTTGTTGGACATGTCTGCACACCGGCTGGACGAATCCCTGATGAGAAGAGAGTCGACAAAATCGCAAATTGGGGACCCTGCAAGACGCTCTCAGAAGTCCGTGCATTTCTGGGCACCATAGGAGTCTGCCGTGCATTTATTTCGAATTTTGCGCATCGTGCCCACGCCCTGACACTTCTAACACGAAAGGATATGCCATTCCACTTCGGTACTGCACAGATCGCTGCCCAAGACGACCTGAAGCACGCATTATTGAGCTGCCCTGCGCTCCGGCCAATCGACTATTCATCTGGGGACCCAGTTATCTTATCCGTGGACACCTCTCAGATCGCCGTTGGTTTCCTGCTTGCCCAGTGCGATCCAAACACTCCCAGTCGACGTTTCTATGCCCGGTTTGGCTCAATCACGCTTAACGATCGAGAAGCTCGATTTTCACAGCCCAAGCTAGAGCTGTATGGATTATTCCGCGCCCTTCGTTCATGGAAGCTCCACCTGATCGGTCTACGAAATCTAGTGGTTGAAGTCGATGCTAGGTACATCAAGGGTATGCTACGGAACCCCGATCTTTCGCCCTCAGCCAGTATCAACCGCTGGATCCTGGCGATCTTAACCTTCCATTTCGAGCTAGTACATGTCCCTGGCGTCAAACACGGCCCGGATGGATTGTCCAGACGACCCGCACAGCCTGGAGACGAGTTAGAGCATGAGGACGACGGTTTTGATGACTGGATCGACGAGGTGCACGGTTTTATGCACATAATCAATGACTTACCCTTCGTTTCACGACGCCAATCCACGATCCACTCATTTTCCGCCGAAATTGCACCCACCGAGTCCACAACACCGCCTACACTGAGCTACGATCAGGTACCTCGCTCAGAAGCAGCTCGACTCGCCGATCATCGTGTAGATCTGGTTCAGGGATGGCTTGAGACGCTACGACGCCCACGGGACATGTCTGAACAGCAATATCAGGCATTTATTCGGTTTAGCATGGAATTCTACCTCGAAAATCGAAAGCTTTGGCGCAAGGACGCACACGGATGCCACAAGCTAGTCGTTCCCTCCCACCGTCGAATATTCATCCTGCGATCTGCCCACGACGACGTTGGTCACAAGGGATTCCACGCAACGAAGGCTTTACTCACGGAACGATTCTGGTGGCCATTCCTTGCACACGACGTCACCTGGTACCTACGCACCTGCCACCTATGTCAGATTCGACAGACAAAGAAGCTCCTTATCCCCCCTACCGTCGCGGTCCCGGCCCCACTGTTTTCGAAAATTCATATGGACACTATGCACATGCCGCCAAGCGCTGGATTCCGCTACATTGTGCAAGGACGATGCTCGATTTCGCTTTTTCCTGAGTTCCGCATGCTGCGCCGTGAGACAGCGACCACCCTGGGCGAATGGATCTTCCAGGACTTGATCTGCAGATGGGGGACGCTCACAGAAATCGTGTCAGACAACGGCGCACCGTTTGTGAAGGCATTGGCGTACCTGGAAGCTAAGTATCACGTCCGTCATGTGCGCATTTCGGGATACAACTCACGCGCAAATGGGCTGATTGAAAATCCACATTTCGACATCCGCGAGGCGCTCTTCAAGGCTGTAGATGGGGAGCAGAAGAACTGGAGTTCTGCTGCTTATTCGGTCTTCTGGGCGGACCGTGTCACTGTCCGTCGTCGCATGGGCTGCTCACCCTATTTTGCGGTCACTGGAACGCATCCATTAATTCCCCTCGATTTATCAGAAGCCACATACCTGCTCCCGCCGCCCGAAACCGTCCTTTCGACCACGGATCTCATTGCACGACGCGCCATTGCGCTCCAGAAACGCCGAAGCGATCTAGAAGCCCTACACTCTCGAGTTTATCAAGCACGACTGCGTGACGCTGCACGCTTCGAGATCGAGCACGCCGCCACGATCTGCGACTTCAACTTCAAGCAGGGCGACCTGGTTTTGATGAGGAACACGGCCATCGAGAAGTCCCTCAATATGAAGATGCGCAAACGCTATTTGGGCCCATTAGTCGTCATTTCGCGCAACAAGGGAGGCGCCTACATCCTGTGTGAGCTAGACGGCTCAGTTTTCCATCGTCCCATCGCCGCTTTTCGTGTTATACCTTATTTTGCACGCACAACGATCCCCCTCCCTCCCCTGGACGATTTCCTCGATATCTCAACCGAGAAACTGCGCGAGCTCGAGCAGTCAACATTGGTGGACCCAGAAACAGATCAGGAAGAGGAGGAGAGCTGTGAAGAGTTGTAGAAGAGTTAGAGAACGCGTTTCAGTCAGGAGGATGCACCTGCACAGCTGAGCACCCTCTCCTTTCGACTTTGCTGCCCATTCCTTTCCCCCCAAGTCGCATCCTTTGATTCATCATTGTCTTGCGCAGCTCCGAGGAGCTAAGGCTATGATGATCTACTGAGCCTTTATCTTCACATTTCTATTCCTCAAGACACTTGTCCGCTATTCTATGACCGAGGACGGTCATTTTTTCAGTCAGGAGGAGATGACGGACTGGCCTATCTATCCGACAAGTCCTGACGTGTGGCAGTGCATGTCAATCAGCAATCAGTGGGCGCACGCTTCGCACACAACTGAGGGTCTCCTCAATATTCCTCAGCCCTGGCTATTCACTGGTTCGTCCAGCCCTGCATATATTTTTGATATTCACATCCCTGGACTGCTGTCTGCACATTTATCTCTACACCCCTGCCTTTCTTACTTCACCATCCACTTGTACCTGTTTTTCCCCTCTCACTTCCCTGGTTCCTCTGTTCACCGTCCCTTGCTCCATCCTGTCGATATTTCACCCACTCTGATGATTATTTCATTGTCTCACATACAAAAGCTTGTAGTTGGACAAAAGAAAAATAGATTTATTCTCCTCATAGTCTTGAGTTCAGTTCTCGTCTTCAGCTCGTTTCTACTTGGGTATTTCGACCCTCTGCTTCGTCGCATCCGTCCCACGCCGCCCTCGACTTCGTCCCACGTCTAAAATCATCATTTCTTACTGCCTGCCACGGCACTGAATCTTGTGGACCTCCTCGCACATCACACTTATTCCTGCACTGTTTTAGGTCGTAGCTGACCCCCATTTTGTGTTAGCTCGCGCCTATTCCGTCCGCAGGCACGTCACCGTCCGTTTGATTGAGTTGACAAGGCTAGGGCCGACGATACAAATCAACATCCCTGGCGAACATGTCAATCTGGGTGATGAGGCTTCAAACGCAGGCAGCAACACAAGTGGGGAGAGAAACAGCCTGAGGTAAGATGGCGGTATAAGCAATGAGCAGTCTTGGGAATCGGTCTGACCGCTACAATCAATCTAAGGGCCTGATGGGCATCCAGAATTTGCCGCGTTACTCCGCAGAGCTGATCCAGCTGAACTCCAGCAGAGTCCAAGTCACGCTCTGGACGACGACGGTGTGTTGCTTTCAGTGTCAGTGATTGGACAAATGTAGTAGCCATACATGCTGGAGTGGTCCGGCTCGTCGTCGTAGGGTAGATTAATCTAGGATGTCTATGTACGCATGTATTGCTATGCTCTGGGCACGTGACCCCTACTCCAATACGCACGACTTTCTGCATCGGCTGCACAGTTGTTATTGTGGACGACAGCGAGGTCAAAGGTTCGAGTCCCGGCAATCTTCCTCAAGCGGGACACTGTTTGTCCTTCATTGACGTCGAGCATCATAACCAGGATTTTGGGCCAACACACAGACCTGCCTTTTTGGGAAGCCTGCCGAATGACGGCCGAAACAAGGCAAGGACGGCAAGACCTGCACCGCAGTAGAAGTCTGTTCGACAGAGCCTGTAGCCCGAATATCGATCGAACAACACATATTCCGTTATTTTGTCATAAATATAATTATTAGAGTCTACGTCACGGTACATGTCGGGAACAGCTCCACGGCATTGCCCGTCAGATTCGTGTTCTGGCACTGGTACACTGCGGATCCGTGCCCTGGCGCGGCGCTTGAGAAATAAAAGTGAGCATCAAGCACCCGAGCACGGGATTTACTCATCCTCATACCTGAGTGTGAAGTTGTTGACGTTGATGTCGGAGCAGCGGTTGCCCGGAGAACAGCCGATGCTGGCAACCAAGGAACCGCTCCCTGTGCCCGAGATACTGGAGAAGATCAGGAATCTGGTGGGGAAAGGTGGTATTTGCGCACTTGTTGAACCAAACGTCCTCAATTATCACGTTCGAAGGGAATGCAGCACACTAGAAGATTGTCCGTCAAGATGCGTACAAGACCTGAACAGGGGACACCCACAGCCGTCGCGTTCGTCATATAGCACTTGAAAAGCATTAAATTCGATTTTTCTTTCTGCACCAACAGCACTCGACTCACCTGGTCAACGACAACCGGGTTGTCCACCAGCGATTCCGTGAAATGCGCGAACGTGATATTGCGGACGATGCCGCTGCCCACGTTCGGCCCGGCAAAGGCTTTGATACGGGCGCCGTTCTGAGCGTTAGACATCACCACGTCGCTGTAAAATCATCAGATGAACTCCGGGTCCCTTCGCTATCGGACGTTCTCACGTGGCTACCACGTTCTCGATGTAGTCGAAGATGCCCGGGTACTGTCCCAGCGACCTGAATTGATCAGCCAAGGTTCGTCTTATCAGGATCAGTGGATTACCCCATAGATATGCCACTTGTCACAAAGGTCAACAGACAGAACGTGGGAGAAGATGGCGCACGTACTGGCTTCCGTTGCACTTCAAATTCGAGACGAGGACATTCGTGACATCTGTGAAAGTTGAGAAAGATGCGTCCGAGGACACGAATAATCCGACTTGGCTGTTGCGATTCAGTGTGATATCAAAAAAAAAAACATATTCTGAAATTCACCTTCAACGAAACACAATCGTCTCCGTTGTTGATGACGGAGTTTTTGATGACGACTGGAAGGCTCCGTGAGAACACGATAGGCATAACGCGGAGCAACTCGCCATCAGAAGAGCGGTAGATATCCCACCCGTCGGTGTTCTTGGCCTCCGTGCCGGCAGCGTTCACGGCACTGATATTCAGCTTGTTGTAGGTGACGTTTTGCCCGTTGCTGAGGAAGTGGAACCACTCGGGCGAGTCGATCATCTTGATGTCTTCGACGAGCACATTCTTGGCTTCGAAGATCGTGAGCATGATCGGCCGCGCCAAAGTCTTGTTCAGCGCGAATGCGTCGTACCACGGCTGGCTCGAGATCAGCCCACGGCTTCGACTTCGGGTGATTCGACATGATATGTCCGCACCTGACCGGCGCCGTCGATCGTTCCTCCCCCGTCGAGAATGATGTTTTCTCCGCCGAGAATCCAGAAAGTGATCTGAGTTTGGAAGGCGAATGGGAAGCCGTTCTGTCATGTGATGATGGTTGACATCGGCAGAGAAATGGGCTGCTGGCCAATGGAGAAACGACGTACGCTGCTCCAGTACGGGATGTCCGGACTAAATCGTATCGTCCCTTTCACTCTCTGCCCAAGCGACGTAAGCTTCGGACAACTGACCGCCCAGACACGCGATAATCCACGCACGATGTGTTTGTCCGACAACCCCGTCATGTTGAGGCGCGTCGCGATGTTGAGCGTCGTCGCCTTCGGGATGATAACCTCCGAGCACGACTGGACGGCCTTCAGGAACTGCGGGGCGTCGTCCCCTCCAGACGCCTTGAGCGTGCACTTCCCCTTCAGTTCCTCCGACCTTTCGCCGGTGGCGAGCGCACCGGCGGCCAGAGAGAGCAGACCCAGACACTTGAGGAGGGAACCGGAGAGCTGCATTTTTCTATGGGGAGAGCGCTCAATGTAACCGATAGCAGTCTTTTATAGCACAATGCACTCGGCGGTCCGAAGCGACCGCGGAAAGGTTCGAACTCCCGGCCCGCCCGCGGCGTGGTAATTCGATGCCAGCATGTGACCCCTGGAAACGCAGTCGGGGACGTGTGGAATGATTCAATGGGGAGATGGGCGCGGGCCACACTTGAGAAGCAAGAGCAATGAAAGAGCCCGAGGCAGGATGATGGTGGGACGTAAGCAGTCAATCATCCCAATCGGATGCTAACAGGTCTGCTCACCTCTCACTCAGCTTGAAAATCGACGTCCCAGATTTTCAACACCACATACCTCAAGTCAATCTTGAACTAGGACGAGCAATCTCAAAGCTGCTGTAGAACCGAAGAAAAAAGATAGAATGGGAACAACTGTCCAATCGGCTTGAATTTCCTGCCGAGCGGATCATCAGATGATGTCACGATAGTGATCGCAAAGTTGGAGGCTAACTTGAAGCGAAAGTTGGAGGCGAGAATTGAGCGGACCTATTTCAAGAAACATGCCGTCGCCTGACAAGATAATGACAGGAAACGCACCCGGGGAACAGGGTCGCACGAGACAGTCCGCCAGATCGGACAAAGTTCAAATTCGGAGTCTATGTGCTATGGCCGTAGGCTCGTATGTTTTCCAAGTTGCTGCGGCACGAAAAAGACAGATAGATTCATTTCCGTGAAAGCTTGCAGACTGTTTAGGAAACAACGGATATTCATTTTGTAGTTAAGCAATCATCAAGTGAGAAGATCGCAAAATTTGAGACTGAAAGCGAAGGCAATTAAACTTCCCAAATCTATTCCTCCATTCAGGCAAACAATTTCTGATAAGCGTCCTTCCCGGTCTGGAGCGCATCATAAGACATGAGATTCACACGTGCCTCTTCAACTGCGAAAAACCAGTCAAGATCTCCTTCCAGTTGGGTTTGAAATAGAACGCACAATGCACACTGGCGTGATTGCCATCTATGGTGGCTTGGATCTGCGCAAACGAAGTCTTGCTCATCAATTCCGCCCTGGGTTTCCGGATATCCAGCCACGCAGCCAGCCGGGCTGGAATTTGCTCGGGTGTGGTCCCGAGAGGAAGGAGGCCGGCAAGGACCGCTCCGTCCTCGATGGCCATTGCGGCGCCCTGGGCCATAAAAGGGACCATGGCGTGGGCCGCATCGCCGAGAATGGCTGTGCGGCCGTCGAACCAGGTGGGGAGAACGGGCATGGCGCGGAGCCGCCACCGATAGTGTTCACCGTTGTGGTTGGGCAGGTCGAATAGACGGAGGAATTTCGGATCAGCGCCGGCGAACTTGGGAAGGACCTCGGCGGGAGTGATCGTGCGGCTGGTAACTGCGGTGTGGTCAGTGATTGAATACTGAACATGTTCTCCATTGGCACGGCTCTTGCTTACGATTTTGCTTGTCTTCGTCAGATTCCTGGAAAAAGTGGGCACAATTGAGCAGTTCCCCGTTCCGGCAGAGATAACAGAATATCATGCGGAACGGTGCTCCCTTCCACGGCACGGCTCGTGCCCCGGGAACACCCTTGGTGATCCAGTCAAAATCAGGGTTGTCCTTCATTGGAGCAGCATCGAAAACACTTCGGCAGCAAGCGTATCCGGTGGGCTCCGCGTCTTGGACATAACCAAGGACGTGAGACCGAATGACCGACTAGAACAAAGGTTGGAGGACAGAATGAAGTGTCAGAAAATATTTCACGAACTTGCAGACCATCTGCCCCGATGACCAGATCCGCGGATATCGTCTCGCCCGAGTCCAGGACGACGACGCCTGCTTCGGGCTCACACGAGACGACTTTGGAGCCCAGTCTGATGAGCACGGGAGGCCCGTTTCCGTCTGGAGCAAGGGCAATTCGCTTGAGTTCTTCGTGCAGGTCACTGCGGTGGACGAGTGCGATCTGCGAGCATTGTCAATCGAGCACATAATAGGATAACTTTGCTACAGACGTCAGTCGATCCTGGCGCTGCATCCTTCGGCACGAGCAGCAGCTCCCTGCTCTCTCCAGTGATGGCATTGAAGCCCACAAGCTATACAATAGATGAGCGAGTGCAAGATGAAAGCCCAAGTTCCTACCCCGCGAGCATAAACCGGTCTCAGGCTCTCGCGGTTGACTCCGATTTTGCGCAGAACACGCATGGCGTTCTCCTGCAAGCTCAGCGCTGCCCCGAGTTCGATGTCCGACTCCAAACGCTCAAACACCTGGACGATGTGCCCATTCTGACGCAGAGCGACAGCGGCGGAGAGTCCGCCAACGCCGCCGCCGACGATCGTAACCTTCAGTGGACTGGGTGTAGAGGACATTCGAGAGTCTGCTTGTGGCTCTAACCTCTGGGTCCGTGGGCACGTTAAGTACCAGATCCCCGGCGCATCGGCACAGCTGAGTAAGTGTTTTTATGTAGATTCTGCGTTTACCCGTCGAGATGTCGAAGCGAAGCAAGGTCACCAGTGCACAGAAGACAACCAGAAGACCTGAGTTCTTCGAATGACCGTCGAGTGTCACCTTCTCTACTTGAGTCAGAAAGGAAAGTCCTTAAGATGATCCCAGTTTATGTCCATCGCGCGAAAAGGTGAATCCAATTTACGACAGCTAAGATTGCAGTCGGAAGCACAAGCGAGGCAAGAAAACAGTGAAATGAAGGTGGAAGAAATGAGTAGTTTGCGGGAAATCGGCACACGGCCTGATCGGGTATCAACCCTTGGCGATCCGTTTCAAAGCGGATCACGGCTACTCTCAGTGTTGCTTCAAGCTGAATTCACGCGAGGTCAAGCGGATGTGATTTCAAATTCACCGAGGCGCCACAAGTTTGTGTCGAGGCGGCTCGAGATGATTATGAAATATTTGTCATTTGGAGAAATTGGGCTTTCACATGTCCTGTTCTCATCGCTGTTTGCTTTGTTTTGACCTCTGTCACTTGCAGGAGGGCACATATTCTGTGAAGAATGACCCTGTGTATGAAGAAAGACAGGAAGCTATCACTACCGACTCGACATCCCATAAGTATTTAAAAATACACACCTGATTCAATAGTGTCATTCGAAGAAGACATGCAATATGATGATCACTTACTCATTGCGTGCCTTCTTCGAATGGCACTATTGGATCAGGTGTGTATTTTCATATACTTATGGGACGTTTAGGAAGAAAGACTCAAATGGGGCATAAAGTGAAAAACTGATGTATTTTTAGAACCTGTAGGAATGAAGACCATAAGGTGATAAGTAAGCAGGAGATTATTCTTCAGCTTGCTCACTTTTTCCATCCGCTGGACCGGAACGCTCCCAGATTTGCCGGATTCATCATCGGGGTTGTCCATGCCTATTGTTCTCATGTCTGAGTAGCGTTCTCTATCTGATCATGGCAGAGCATTCTAAGGTCTGGGCCTTCTGGTGTGCTTGGCTTTGGGTGAATGGGCTCAGTTCAGACTGGGATTCTGGGTCGCACGTTGTCCTCAGTCCAAATCCAAGTCAGATCATCTTGTTACATTCTGTCTAAGTCTATCATCCGTGCATCCAACTCAGATCAACGTTTAAAAGTTAGTTCTGAGCCATCTTTGCTTCTCTGAGCTCCAGCCAACGCTCTGCCGCGCTCTCGGCATCATAGCTGAATTGGACCTCGCTCTTCTCCCTGTCAGCCCAGACGTTTGCGTTACCCACTGAATGTCCCACGTCCATTTGCGAGTCTTCTCGGGCTGCGTTCATTCTTGCTCCATGCAGACTCTGCTTCATGGATCTGTCCCGCGCCTCTTGCTCTAGACCGTCCGCAAGGTGGAATAGCTTCTGATTCCACCGCGAGGCGAGCTGAGTGTCTGTCGTTCGCGAGTGGCGGAGGTCTTGGTAACCTTTCAAAAGGGCCGGGATGTCCTCCCTCGAGCGGACTCCAGCAAACAGTACGCCGAGAACTGCAGCATCTTCTATCTGTGAATGTTTGAACATGGGCTGCAAAAGGTTCGAAAGCTTGTCGCACCGCCATGGCAGAGCCTTGCGCGCGGTAAGGCTGGAGAAGGATGAGTATCACGGTATTAGCACATAAAGAACGATTACGGACAAGCATTGGATGACAGGCATCTCCCAATAGCACTACGTTGCCCTCGGAATGAACCCAAGTTTCTAAAGGATCGCGATCGAATAAGGGCCAGATCAAAGCGTCAGAGACAAGTTCCAGCAGTTTCTGGACGCTGAATGGAGCTCAATACGCCATTTACATGCGAGAACGCGCAAACAGACCGAGGATCCCATCCCGCGTACTCGGCCCTCATGTTCCTGACAGACCCCGGCATGTCGTACGCCTCCATGCCATGTTCGTCATCTGCGGGATGGATTAGAACAAGATTGAACTCCCGCTTGGCGCGCTACGGAACGAAAAATGAATGAGCGAGAGCCATTCAGGGCAAGCCCGCAGGCGGCGTACAATGCAGTAGGCCATGATATGCCGGCCGGGCCCGAGCCAGCCGGTCATCTCCGGATACTCAACCAATGATGCCAAATCGGGATCCGCCATCATTCTGGCTGTCGGGATCACCACCCGGTAGGCTGCGTCGCCGGTGGGGAGCGGCTTGTCCGGGCGCCCGACGATGACCTCGCGCACCATGCTCTTCAGGCCGTCCGCGCCGAGCACCACGTCGCCGCGGACCGTCTCGCCGGACTGGAGCGTGATCTGGCCCTGCGCGGGATCGACCGCAACCACGCGGCTGTTCGTGAAGAGCGTCATGTGCGGGGCCGCGAGCTTGAAGAGCATGTCGAGCAAGTCCGCGCGCTGATGCGGTGGGCTGTGAGCGACTGACGTAAGCGCGGGGCGCGAACAGATTGTGACTGACGTGGATGTGATAGTACGGAGCGCCATAGTTACTGTCCATCGTGTCTCCCCATCTCGTGTATCCAATACGCTCGCCGCTGTTGTCTGATGGAGTTTTGTCAGCGAATATATCCTCATTCTAACAATGAGACTCGGACAGCGTCGGAAAGTGATCGATTCAGGCTTGACGGAAGCCTTCCTCAGCTCCTCGCCCAATCCCCATCGAATGAGCAGCCGACTGGAGTTGGGACTAATCTGCAAGCAGCGACATCAGCTCTGGGGCTGGATGCGAAGGTGAAGCCCAAATACCTGGATTCCAGCTCCGACTTGCTGGAGCCGTGTGGCGCTCTCGAACACCGATACCGAATGTCCCGCGCGGCCGAGACAGTAAGCTGCAGCAAGGCCGCCCAATCCACATCCCACAATGAGGAAATGCAAGCGAACGGGTGGTGGCTTAAGTACTAGGCGACGGCTGTCGCAGTCCTGCGGGCAGCTCAAACGTTCTCGCCGGTCGATGTTGCTCACATGGGACATGTTGGAAAGATAGCGGAAGGAAAGTCTGGCGCAAAGCGTCCATTTAACAGCTCTAACTCACTCCCACGGATCCGAACAGGTTTCCGAATATCAAGCCGCGGTTGAGGACGAGGCTCAGTTGCGATATGAAATCTTGCTTGAGAGCGGTCACTTAAACGGGTTATAAAATGCAAAATCTGATAGTCTGGGAAGGTGAGACCATGGCAGTAATACTCAAACGCTGGAGACAATTGGACTATCTCCGTCTGTCCCTCTCCATTCAAGCAAACAGTCTCTGATAAGCGTCCTTCCCGGCCTGCAAGGCATCATACGACATGAGATCTTCACGTGCTTCTGCGGCTGCGGAAAAGAATCAAGATGTCTCCTTCCCGTTGGGCTTGAAATAGAACGTACAATGCGCAGCGCCTTGGTTTCCATCCATGATAGCCTGGATCTGGGCCACAGATGTTCTGTTCACAAAGTCTGCCCTCGGTTTCCGGATATCCAGCCACGCAGCCAGCCGGGCGGGGATCTGCTCGCGCGTGGTCCCGAGGGGAAGGAGTCCGGCGAGGACTGCTCCGTCCTCGATAGCCATCGCGGCTCCCTGGGCCATGAAAGGTAGAATGGCATGGGCTGCGTCGCCGATTATCGCGGTGCGGCCGTTGAACCAGGTGGGCAGAATGGGCATTGCGCGGAGCCGCCACCGGTAGTGCTCGGCGTTGTGATTTGGCAAGTCGAACAGACGGAGGAATTTCGGATCAGCGCCTGCAAACTTAGGAAGGACCTCAGCTGGAGTGATTGTGCGGCTCGTAACTGTGGTGCGTTCAGTGGTTGAAGACTGAATATGTTCTGCAGATATTCAGCCCTACGTTTTTGTTTGTCTTCGTCAGATTCCTGGTAGAAGTGGACACAGTTGAGCAATTCCCCGTTTCGACAGGGATAGCAGAATATCATGCGAAATGGTGCTCCTTTCCACGGTACGGACCGGACACCCGCAACACCCTTCGTGACCCAGTCAAAGTCAGGGTCGTCCTTCATCGGAGCGGCATCGAAAACACTGCGGCAGCAAGCGTAGCCTGTTGGTTCCGCATCTTGGGTATAGCCCAGGACGTGTGATCGAATGACAGACTAGACGAAAGGTTGGAGGACAGAATGAAGTGTCAGAAAACATATCACGAACCTGCAGACCATCTGCCCCGATGACCAGATCCGCGGATACCGTCTCGCCCGAGTCGAGGACGACGACGCCTGCTTCGGGCTCACACGAGACGACTTTGCAGCCCAGTCTAATAAGCACGGGAGGCCCATTCCCATCTGGGGACAGGGCAATTCGCTTGAGCTCCTCGTGCAAGTCACTGCGATGGACTAGTAGATGCTGTCTGCGTTGTCAGCGGGGAACGTCACAGAGAAAGTTGGCAACTCACGTCAGTTGGAGATGGAGCTGCATCTTCCGGCACAAATCGAAGCTCCCGGCTCTCCCCAGTGATGGGATTGAACCCCACGAGCTAATGAGGAGACTCAGTCGTAAGCAGAGATAGCAGTCGAAATTCCCACCCCACGAAGATAAGCCGGCTTCAAGCTCTCCCGGCTTATCCCGAATTGGTTCAAAACACGCATGGCATTCGCCTGCACGCCTAGCGCTGCTCCGAGCTCGGCGTCCGTCTCCGAGCGTTCGAACACCTGAGTGATGTGCCCATTCTGACGAAAGGCAATGGCAGCGGAGAGTCCTCCGATCCCGGCGCCGACGATGGAGATTCTCAATGGACTTGGTGGGTTAGACATTCAGATGACGATTGGTGGGTTCCGATCTCTGCCTGCGCGGTCGCGTTAAGTACTGGGTCCCCACCGCATCGAAACCGCTGAGTAAGAGGAGATGATGAAAAAGTGTGAGTTTAGCCGTTCGAGTGCTGGATTGGGAGTCTCAGTTACCAGAGCACACGGAAGAATTCCCGAATTCCCCGTCGAAGTATCAACTTAGCAAACTTCTTGACCTGAGTTCAGATGGAATGCACCCACGATACATACAGGCTTATATCCGCATTGATGAAATCAGTTTGATTCGTTGAGCTTCAATGCAGTCGGCAACTCAAGCGGCGAAGTATTCCTCTGAGAAGAAGTGCCAGTGCAAAGATGAGCGATCTTCGGAGTCAGTCGGATCGCCGCAATCAACAATTCACGTGATCTGCCGTAGCCAGTGGCAGTGCTCGATATGCCGGAGTTCCGACTGACGTCCTGCTTCCTCCCCTCATGCTCAGATCAAGGACCCGAAGTGCCAGCATTCTGAATGTGCCGCCTTTTGACCCTCTGACACACAAGCCGCCTAAAATTACCGAGGTCAAATCGCCAACCTCCCACTCATATCCACCATTCCGCCGGACCTCAAGAATACGCAAGCGCACTTTTTTCTGTCTACTGGGTCTCCTCGCCGTGCTGTATCTCTTCCGTCCCACTTCTCCCACTGCTTCAAGCTCCCGGGATATAACGAAGCGCCTCAAGAGCCTCCGCAAGAGCCCCTACGTCGATCGTGCAATTCTGGACGTCCTGGCCGACCTCGAAACCGAACGAGATCCAGACGAACGGGCGACCTACTACGCACGAGACCACAGCAAGCCGGGTCCCTGGCCCCCCCTCGTGACGCGCATACCCGAAGTCAAGCCTGTGCACCTCGCCCCTCAAGATTTGCGCTGTGTCGACTGCGACCAGTTCCTCTTTGTGCTGCGCGTGGCCGAGCAAGAGTCCAAGGCGCACATCCATCTGGAGCAGATCTTGGAGCTTGGGCGGGCGTTGAACAGGACGGTCGTGCTGCCAAACGTTGGTAAAAGCCGCGTGGGGGCATGCTTCCGGTGGAACTTTGAAGTGTACTATGAGCTGCCTGCGGAAGGTGTGATCAAGCCCGATATGTTCAAAAGATGGCTGGAGATAGAGAATCCAACTGGGCGAGTCGTCTCGCTTGCGCAAGCGGAGGGAAGGGATCAAGCCACGGTTGAAGTCGTGCATGAGAGCTCGACAGAGCATGGCTTTCCTCCTTGCTTCGAGCGGACTCGCCGTTTACTGCGTCTCGAGGATGATTCAGCCCTGCAAGTCATCATCAAAGCGTCTGCCGACCCAACTGAAGTCATTCAAGCCCTTTCATTGGACGCACGTGTCCTCGTGCTTTCCTGGGATCTGCGGCATCCAATATTCCCTCAAGTCGCACATCCGCTCACATATGCCTCTCACCTGCATGAGCTTGCTGCAGCTCTCGCGCCTCCGTCGCCCTATGTCATGATGCACTGGCGCATGGAAGGTGTCCCACCTGCAGGTCTCGTCCATTGCGCTCACGCTGCTGTCGACCTCCTCGCTGGCCTTCCGATGCAGACTGTCTGGCTCGCTAGCGACTATCCCTTTCCCATCCGCTCTACTCTGGAGGAGCAAGATCACGATTCTATGGCTCTCGTCTCAAAGTCCGGAACGTTCCGCGACGTCGGTCGCCTCCACGCAGCGGCCATGGGTATTCTCGGGGACGCTTTCGCTGAGGGTGGCCTGCTCGAGGACTGGACCGTGGCCGAGTTGACGCAGGCGCGACTGGATGGCTTGCGCGTCGACCATGTGATGTGGGAACCGGACGTCTTGGACGATCCGGGTGTGAGAGCCATCGTCGATAAGCTCGTTGGCATCGGAGCGTCTGCATTTGTGAGTGGTGCGGCTCGTTGTGCGAGAGTCAGGTACGTCCTGTCTTTCTCTGTCTTTTGTTGATCCAGCTTAGTTACTGTCCCCTTAGCTCGTTCACAAGACAGATCGTTCAGGCACGGAACAATCGTACGGATGCAGTCTACAATGTCGTCGACTACTTTGAATGAACTCGTCTCCCATCCTGTGCTGCGTCAGATTTCAGGGCCGGTCATGACAGTTCCCCCAGTGTGTAATTGGACCAGGCGGTCGATGGACACTCGCTTTGGTCCATTGAACATGGAATGGAACCGCCGATGTCGCTAAAAAATCTTCACAATTGAGTTTACAAGTGGATTCAGGGCTGTGAAAGTGTAGGCGGCGCGACATTGGGCAAGCCGAAGTCAATGCGACGTGTGACCTCCGAGCGGAGGATGTACACGTGATGAGCGGAGGGTTCGCACGTGACTAGGAGAAAACGACATTCGTGGGGTATTCTACGCAAAGCAGCATTAGGTATAATTCAAAGCTAGTAGGTAGCAAAGATCGAGAGAGATGCGAGAGAGGTATATCGATACAGAAATTGGATTCGGGATGACGACGGAGTGATGGTCTACAAGACAGATCTGGGCAGAGGATCGATACAAGTCGACGAGGCGAAAGAAAGGAAACTCACTAATACAATATAGCGAAGGATCAGTGGCGGCATTTCTTGACGTGACGATTCATGACTCCCTGTGTGGTGAAGGAGAACGAGCATCCAGGACACACGAACGGGCGGTTGTTCTGGTGAGAATTCATGTGGTTCTTGAGATTGTGACGAGCTGTGAAGGTCGAGGGGCAGCCTGGCACTGTGCAGTTGAAGACAGCCTTGTTCATGCGACGGGCGGCAGAGGCGCTCCGGATCTTTGTCGAGGCGACCTCCTTCTTGAATTTCCTGCCTGGTGACGGTGGGGCGGTCACGACTTGGAACTCGGACTGGGATCCGCCGACAGTTTGGCCATCAATACTCTCGGAGGCCGTGGAAGATGATGCAGCCCGGAAGACACCGAGGGAGGAGTCCCTGTTCCGGGAGCGCGTGGTCCCGTGCTGTACCAGATGGGGGTCCACAGAAAGAACTTCGCTGGGGTTGCGGATCGTGGTGAAGGTCTTGCGTCGTGCGAGTGAGGACACATTCCCGACTGTCTCGCATTCATTGTCGGTATGTGGGTCCGAAAAGTCAAACGAAAGACCGGGGACAAGTGCCTCGCTGGGAGAGGGGTAATCAAAGGAAACTGGCGAGGGGTCGCGAGAGCTCGCATAGGAGCTGACACTGCTCGCACTGCTCGCACTGCGATGTGGCCCGGAGACGCTCTGAGTAACACGATGTATGCCTCGTCCTCGGCCGAAACCGGCGTCCACTTCCGGTACCCCTAAGGAAGTGGTGTCCGAATGCCTTCGGTTGTGTCGGTTCGAAGATCGCCGGTGCATACCGGGGACGGCGAGGAATTGAGTCTGCGCGGATCGTTCACCCGGGGGAAACATCCATTCTGACAGCGGACTGCTAGACCCCGGGCTGAATCCACCATCGCTGCTCTCGGATGGCGAAAAGGACGGGGATCCCCACGCAACGGATGTGCCCAGCTCCTGGGAAGGGTCCATGCTCGAAATCTCAATGGAAAGACTGGGGGGAAACTGTTCGACGTGGACAGGGTACGACTCCGAGGAAGTTCCAGGTGAAACGAACAGCCCACTGAACGATGCCGCACGCCCGCGAGCCAGACCATTGTCAGCGCCCCAGGTCTCGCCGGGGGCGACAGCGTTCCCCGACGAGCTGTAGCTTCGTGCGCGGCCATGATCGGCGAGATCGTCCTGGATGATCACTTGGTCGCCCGTATAGGATTGGTTCAACTCGAGGTCCCTGAAGCCGGATAGTAAGAGGGATGGCGTAACAGGCGACGGGGGATAGCTTGAAAAACCCTGTTTGTACCGCGATTCGTTGTCGGAAGGAAAGTCCTCAGGAAACACTGCATCGATTGAGCGTAGTGCACATCCAAGAGAGCAGGTGCTTCTAACCTGAAGAGTAGGTGGACGCAGGACTCATTGGACTGATGGGTGAGCTAGCGCCTGACGAAGGATTTCGAAAGCAGTACTTGTTGAAGTTCGAATACTCTGGCTCCGCGTTCGTAATGCTGAGCGTCGGGGCCGTCCTCCATGCATCCTCCATATTGATCGACAAGTGCTTATCGCATGAACCTTGCACACGGGAATGAGAATGCATTGAGAACACAGCCACACAAGCATGACTGACTGTTCTCTGCGTGCGCAAACGATTGCTCAGACGACAACCTTTGAGAGTGGGTCAATCCAGGAATCACGAGAAAAGATGCGCCCGACGGACTCGAACGGCTGTGGATCATCCTGAGCTTGGAACCAGAGGTCGCTTTCGAGAGGGTCATCCTCGGTTACTCTGATGCACCCGGAGGAAGGGAGTGGGAGAGCCATGGAGTAGGAGAGTCACGACCGGCTGCGTCAGTTGGGCTGTGCTTATAAGCATTGCCCCCGCCTCGCTTCGACACGCGGCACGGGCTGTGCGGCCTTCCAAAAAGAAACGCGCCAGCCGTTTGATGCACTGCCTTGACTCATCAGCTTGGCATAAAGCTGTAGACCCTAATACTCCGACACGAGGGACCAGGCCGTCGGCAGCACCCGTTGCTGTAAGGGCGCGCCCGCAACATGAAGTACACGCACGACACAGCGGCAGATGGTGTAACAGGACGGACTGTGCAACAGCTCAGGATCAGACCACGCATCCCTCGGCCCACGTCCAGCCCCCCGCCTCGCATGAGATCGCGCTAATGTGTTTCTCGTCCGCCCGCCTGCGTCCAATTACCCTGGACGCATTGTGTCCCCTCACGCTTGCATCAATGACTTTATCCCCCTCATCTCCCATCGACAGGCCAACCGCCACTGCATAGCCCGACCCTCAATAGGCGCCCGTCCGATGGCCCCCACTTCCAATTGTCCCAGGGAGGGGCGTGATATCCCTTACGCTTGCTCCAATGCCTTTCTTCCCCTCATCCCTCACCTCCCATCGATAGGTCAACAGCCCTCGCACAGCCCGACCTTGCACAGACGCCCGTCCGACGACACTATCAAGCGATCGCACGAGCTGTGGGACAGCTGTATCGATTCCTTCTGTGCTCTTGCAGATCCAACGATCGTGCCGTTTGTTCTGGCTGGTATACTGCATGTGCAACACAAGTCATTGCGGGAGCTGTGCGAGCGGGATTTCTATCGGTGCGGCGAACAGATGGCAGTTGCTCGATGGGGTAGAAAAAGAAGACGTTTCGAGTGACTCGTTCACCAGCCATGCGACGGAAATGAATGTGTGCAGCACTTGTCAGAGTAGCATATTTTTAAGAAATTTGAAACCAGCCGTCCGAAGGCTCAGATCCGGCCCACGACAGGACCAGAGAACCGCTGCCTCAGTTATGTATCGGGTGAAATCGATCATTTGAGAGAGTAGGTGCTTTCGGCAAGTTCGAACTCGATACACGACTGCCTTTGAGATGAACTTTCGCGTGAGCACCAGGTCAAGCTCAGCTCCACGGCCGTGCCAGGTGCCACGACTTGACAAGCCGCGCCCGCCGGCCACTTTCCTGGCGATGGTCATCATGGAACGCACTCCAGACCATGATCATCCTCCATCGATAGCCAAAGATAGCGAGCGCCTGGCGGGCCCAAATCCGGAACGTTTCGACAACACGTGTAGTGTGCGTGGTGTGGTGCAACGCAGCGAACAAAACCGCAAAAACCAGCGCAGGAGCGTTCCTAGACATTCGCAACGAAGACATGGCCCCACCTGCCTCCCCGAGTACTCCGAGTCATCCCGAAACTCCTGATGACTCGGGTGGTCTTTGCGAAAGGCCTGCTATGTGAGCAAGCGCGTTCGATCTGCAACATGCACTGGCTAATGTGCCCCCAGGTCTACGGTCGGAACCCTGTTCGCCTATACGTCCGACGGTGGTTATGAACTGTCGCCATACTCCATCGCGTCATGTACGCCATTCTCATCTTTCGTGATCCTTCTTCTCAAATTGACGGTATTTCCTCCAGCAAGCTATCTTTCTCTAGACTTATCAGAGGATACTTCGGGTGTCGAATACTCTCCTTTTGAATACGGGCTCCTCGATCCCGCTCGGGAATCGCCCAGATCGATTTGGCTTCAAACCCACTATGCTTTCCTTCCTGAAGACGAACCGCCCTACGACGCTCAAAGTCCCCCGCCTGCGACTGAACTGTCTCCGATCATGCAGGGGCTCTGTCTCAAGGACACGCCAATCGAGTCAGATTGTCAAAATGATGGTGCTGTATGCGCGACCTTCGGCATGTTTGACTCCTTCGGCGTGGCGGAACATAGTCTGCTGTTCGAAACCCCTCCACCGCTGTCTGGCACCCAGAAGCTGTGTCTTCGCGCGGGAAGCCAACCAGATCTGTTGCACCCCAACACAGCTTTGGGTACGGATCGTTCTGGAGACCATCGTCGCTGGTCGGATGTAGGCCGGAGGCCCACATATGACTATCGCTTCCTGCAACCTCAAGCAAGTCCTTCCGGCTCTTTCTCCGACTACGCGCTCTCCTCTGGCCTCCCGAGCCCGAGTGCCAGTCCCGTCTTTGGAGCCTCCACCTCGAGCATTCCGTTGCCGGCTCCTGTGTCCCGAGCAAACACGCTCGCCTCGGAAAAACGTCGCAAGCACGAGCGCAGGTTCCAATGCTCCATGTGTACGCTGAGATTTACCACAAAGAGCGGTGTCCGCAGTACGTCCTGTTTCGTTCCATTTTCTTCGATTACGAGGATCTGACCGTCGCCCAGATCACGAGGATCGGCATTATGGCATATATAGATTTGCTTGTTCGTGTGAAAACAAATTCCGTACAAGCCATGATCTGAAGAGACACTTGTCGAAGAAGTCCGATGGTCACGTGCGTCCTGTCCCCTTACAAAGCATGCAACGACTGATGTGCTCCCCAGTGGCCGGTCGCCGTGTGAAGGATGCGGCCACCTCACCGTGACTGAACATCTGTCTATGTAATAACATTTATTGCTCACTTGCTACGTCCGATTCCAGTTGCACATACGTTATCTTTCTGTTATGTTCTCGACCGTCTCTTTTTCTCGCTATATTACTGTCCTAGTAGTGTTATCGAATAATTCTCATGTCGTTGTATTAGTTAGTCAGCTAGGATGAGTTCTACCATCACGTTGGGACTACTTTCGCCAAGTCGACATTGCTCATTCTAAATATATTCCACCTTGCTGTTGTACAGGGTTCTCATGAGCGCTTATATTTGATAGATCATCAGCAAAACCGGGACAACCATGTGTGGGCCGGCGGTACCCACAAGGCGGTGCCTGTAATATACAGGCTGACAAATCCTGACGTGGGTGACGTGGCATCTGCCTGCCCGTCATCTGGCATATTCGTGCTCTGCAACTCCTCGACGGCCATGCCCGCGCTCGACTGGGCCTTTCACGTTCGGCAGCATCAACAACTACCTGGCTTCTTCTCCGTCGACTGCGCACCGGGCTGCTGTTCTCTCTGTCGAAATGTCACCAAGGCGGCTGTTTTTCGTTGCATGCTTTCTGTTGCGGCCACCTTTGGAATGGTATCACTCAAGACTGTAGTATCACCAGCGGGTAGGCGTGTACTTTGCGGCGATCGGCCTCACATGTACGTCATTACAGCTCACTGTATCCCAGCCGTGCTGCTTCCTCATCCAGTGGCAAGTGCCCATCCTCGCCGTCCTCTGGGCCCAACTCATCTTCATCAGGCTCATCATCTCCGTCTTCAGAACCATACAACTCGGCGTCTTCACCCTCACTTTCCACATCGCTCTTGTCGCCTGGAGGGTCCTCCTCGCTGTCTGAGTCACGGTCAGGGCTGACATCATCCTCTGAGTCGTGGTCTTGCTGAGCTAAGTCTGTCACGGTGCGGCTGGTATCTGCAGCATCGGTATCTTCTTCGTCCTCGAGCTCCATGTCATCAACATTGTTTCTCACACTGTTGTCAGCCTCGGCGTCTGGGACTGCCACATGGTAATGACCGACACCTCCACCAAGGTAGCGCATCATCATGTCGCGATCACAGAAGCTGTCTCAGCGGCAGGATGGTCAGTACACGCATGCACTGTATCAGACCAACAGACTGACAAGTTGACATAGTGATATCGCCAGTCATTGAACTCGTCAGGTCGGCGTGCCAGGGTTGTATATGGTACTCTATCTGTTGGCCCATGTGCAAACGCCGGGATGAGATGGGATGCCCGGATGATCTCATCAGGATCTACAAACCCGTATGTGCGAGGATCTGAATCTGGCATGAACTGAACACGATGCAGCCGTTTCCGCTTGAATCCCCCACGGAAGGTTAGGTCAATCTCGAATCGACGAACCCAAACAAATGCGACAGGCACCGCAGGAGCAAGATAGCCATCAAGTCGCCGACGAACTTCGCAGTGGAAGATCCCAATGATACGTGCATATTCGAAGGGGTGAGCGTTTCGGTTTCCGTCCACTGCCTCTGGCTGGGATGATAACATCATGATGTCAGCATTCCCTCGTGGATTCATCGAATCTTGACCTCGTCGGACATCGCTAGTGGTGTAGTTGACTCGCAGTACTTTGTGAATGTAGAGTCGCTCATCAGCAATTATGATGTTGTTCCGTTGTTCTGTCGTGAACTCATCACCGTTGCCAGAGTACATGGGATGCTCCAGCCGAGCAAGCAGATGTTCATGAAGCTTGGGTCTGAAATCCTGTCACCGTAACGGTAACATCTTCAAGTTAAGCAACAGTTTGTGGCTGGTGACAGTTCACTTACCTTGACAGCAGGGTCGGCACTGTGTTGATATAACCACGAGCCAAGATTAAGATGGTAGTCCCGCCGAAGAGAGATATGATGGTGAGCTTCTGGAGCGGTGTACGGAAGTGATTCAGACTCGGCAAAGGCTAGTGTGGGGAGCCGTTGTGGTGGACTAGGTGTTTTGAAAGCTGTTCCAGTGGCTGCTTTCCGTTTCTTTGAGGACACTACTGGCTGCTGCATTGTCTCTGAGTCCTGGTGTGGCCCTGCTGTCACAGGAGGTATGACTGGGAGAAGTGAAGCTTGTTGATGTTGCATTATCTTGTCCAGCTCTGTCTCCCGCCTTTCCAGCTGGGTGATCTGCTTCTCAGCTTCATTCTTATTAGTCCGAGCATAGTAGCTCTTCACACGCTTGTGCTCAAGCTCGCCCTTGCCCACAATTCAGTCAAAGAGTGGTTCTAGCTGAATAGATTGACATACCGTCTGAGTAGAATAGGAATCAACTGTGCCAAAAAATGAGATTGTGCGAACATAGTCACCCAGTGCATGAGCCTTGTAAGTCTGAAAGTTGAACTCCTTCTGTTTTTTGCTGGTGGCCTTGGGGTTTGGTGTGGTGTTGCCTGCTTTTCTGGCAGCTTCAGCCTTCCGTGCATTTCGTCGGCCTCGAGCTGCCTCTTCCTTGGGCAGTTCAAATGTGACAAAGTGCTGACAAACAGTGTTCTTGAATTTGCGAAGCAGTGTGCCAAGTTCACGAGTGGTCTGCTTCAAAAGGGCCAGAGTGGAATCAGTGTGTAATCGGAGTTTAGCCAACCCATGCCACAGCGCAAGTGTGAAGAGAAGGTCTTGCACAATATCATCCATCACATCTTCACCTAGCAGGCCCTCAAATGCAGGCATGGCACACTGCAGATGAACTATTAGAGATTGTGATAGTATGTCCAGTATAGTACGCACCTGAAGTAGATCCTCAAAGTTGCGAGCAGCCAGCTTCTTCATTGCTGACACATTTTCATGAAAATGTCGTATTGTTCCTCGGCCAAAGGCTGGTACTTGACGATATCTACCTCAAAATCAGCCAACAGTTGTGTGTATGAGGGATGGAATACAACAAACCGATCATTCAAAGAGTGGACAGCATCACCACCAACTGCAACAAGAATGCGTATGAGATGGGTAAACACTGCTTTCCAAACACCAAGTTCGAATTCGTGCATGAAATCAACCACAAGCATTGTGAAAATTCCAAAGCTGTATGAAGCTGCCTTTGTGAATGCATTCTGCATTGCCATGTCAGTAACAATGTAAGAAAACAAGAGTGACACTTACAATTGTTGGACACCAAGACTGGCCAGAAAGCAGCCCTTCAACTCGTTTGCTCTTGACTTTCAGGGCCTGGCGATAGATCCAAGTCCGCGCCCTAGAGATCCATGTCTGGCGGACCTCAGAGTCAATGCGTTCAGACTGTGTCCGTGCCTTCTCATCATGGACAGTGCCAAGTTGATCAAGCTTGCTTTTAGATATCAAGCATCGAGGACATGGGCAAGAGCCAAGATTGCGGATTGTTGCAAGGAGCACCCTGGAATGGTTATCAGAAACAATGCAATAGTAATAATCTGAGACTCACTTCTCAGGATAATCTGCTGAATAGGTGAATAGGCGAGGGTAGAACCGGCGCTCAATTCCATCAGCACATGTGATCACAATACCATGCTCGCAGGCTGCAAGGAAATCATCATCAAGGATGTGCTTCCAAACTGCATGCATGAGTTCTCGACGACAGTGGGTGAGAAGATCGGCCGAAGGAGCATTCCCTGTGAGGTCATAGAACCAATCAGCAAAATCTGGTGGTAGCTAACAAGTCAAATTAGCTAAGCAAGTATTCTGACTATGCTAGAATGCTTACCTTGGGTATGTACGCAATGTGATGGCTACATCCCGCCCGCGGCTTGCCCCGAATCCATTTTGACTGATTCCCAAAGAAGAGGTACACTGGCCATAGCGCAGCAGTGCCAAAGTTTGCCAGATGTGTCGAATCCGACCAGAGCATGATTGAAAGGACGACCCGCTCAAGATCACAGCCAGGCTCGCCCACTTGTTGTTGAAGCTTCTCGTGCACTTCAATATACGCATCAGATGTGTAAATCTCATCATATAGCCGCTCAGCCGGGGAGTCTGGATCACGCTGCCAGAATTTCTTGAAAGGAGTGTAGTGGAAAAGTCGGGATGATTTGTCCTGGATCACAGCCCTCAGCGTATGTGTGAGATTCCGGAAGTGGAGGCCAGGGACACTGAAAGACGCTAACGGAGCATCCGGACCACGTTTCCGACCATCCGGGACATCAATCTTGACAGCTGCCTCGCACCACCCATCTTTTGCTCCGCTACTCGCTTGCTGCACCTGGCTCACTCTCTCGACTCTCGAGCTGACCCCACCAAGCCCAATCTGCTCGTCGAATCGAGCTGTCTCGCGCTTCAAATCCAGGTCCATCAGGTCCTCTTTCTTGAACTCATCGGATTTGAGAAATCGTAGCAAGCGGGTGCATTCCGCAATCGACTTCATAGCCGACCCGGTCCACATCCAATGCATGAACCCAAGGACTGTCGAGTTTCGAAAAGGGCCCAAAGATGCTGCTTGAGTCGATATGAGGTCGGGTGGGACAGACAAGGGAGACATCCGACTCGATGAATGAGTCACGACTGTCTCGGCTGGGGGTGGAATGTCTGACTGGTCTGCCAGTGAGATATTGCGATCCGGATTGTGAGTTGGTCGCGCGGGATATTCCCGAAACACTCCAAAATCGTCCCTGACCGTTCTAATGCCCTCCCAGTGATATTCACTCGAACGCGGCTCAACCTGCTCCTGCCCGACACTTTCCGAATCTGCCGCAGCTGCCATGCCCGTTCTGCGCTCGTCCTCCATGCTGCGCTCGTCCTCCTCGAATCTTGGCGCGGTTGGCGGGAGTCGCTCCAAAATCTTCCACGTTGGTCGATGAATGCGCCGCGGTCGATTGCCAAACAAAGCAGGTGCCCCAGAAAGGGTTTGCGGTGGCTCGGGCGGTCGAGATGCGTCGGGTGGCAACAGAGATTGCTCAGGAGGGGGTGGAGATGGCCCAGGTGGGCTAAATGCCTCGGGAGGTGGCGAAAATTGCTCGGGAGGCGGCGGAGGCTGTTCGGGAGGCGGTGGGGGTTGTTCGGGAGGTGGCAGGGATCGCTCAGGTGGAGGAATTCGCTCGGGAGGCAGAGACAAGGGGCTGTGACTCAGAGGCGTTGGAGACGGAGGCAGAAATGGTCCTGCAGCACCAGCGGCCAGGATCGATACCGGAGATGCTGTCGGGGCATTGCCCATGGGTAAAATGGTCTGTGAATGCATCAGTGTTGTCCCGAGAATCTTCCTCCGCACACGTCACGGCGTCCTGCCTGAGACGGACTTGCCTCAGGTGGAACAGTACTCACAGCGCTTCGTGCAGCTCTCTGGTCTTGCCGGCGGGTTTCTAACCTCCGTCTCTTCCGTGCTGTTCGCTCGGCCAAAAGATCATCAAGCTCTGGAGCTTCTGCACTCCATATTGGACAGCGGGACTGATGCACAGACAGTCCTACACTGGTATCGAAGACGGACGTGCAAGGCGGAGGACAGACATAGCTCATGAGCAGGATGAGAACGATTTGGGCAATGAGGAGCCGTTTCATGAAAGCCTGTCTCAGAAAAAGCACAAGAACTTTGTATTTGCAATTATCTACTATGACCGGTATTCATATCTTAGGGGCTTTTGTATTGGATGCGGGAGTTCGGGCTGGTACCTGAATCGAGTGGCCACAATGTTTAGCCCCTATGGTCATGCGGACATGTCAGCATACATGTGTGGTCGGCAAAACAGTGAAAAATTGATCACCTCTCTGCTGCACCGCACATGCTCTTTCTCATCTACCCACACCATGCCCCGCCGCGCTCCTGTTCGTCTGTCGACCCCCACGCCTGAGGAGATGGCTGCAGTCGAGAAGATTAATCAGCAAATGGCGTGCACAGCCCAAAAAAAGGCCGGGTGCGTCCGACTTCACTTTTTACCGATTTTTACCGATTTCTGCCACCTGCGCTAAATAGCATGCCCCAGTGACGATAACAAGAACGCAAGTGTCGCGTCTCATGGTCGCAATCTCGCCCGCATTGTTGGTCCCGTGCCTTCGATTGCTGACGCTGTGGAGTTCGCAGTCGGACTGGACCTCAAGGATAATCTTGACGACGATCCAGACTGGACTCCAAAGCTCACCAGTGCCATGTAATCTAGTCTTATTGACGAACACCTCGAAACTCATGTACTTTCAGACAGCAACGTGACTGGGAAACCTGGCGCATTATATGCAAAGCAATGCCTACCTTTCGTGAGGACATGATTCAGCTCGGGAGTCAGGTCTCAGTCCGGAAGCAGTATTGTAACAAGGTACAAGCTATTCTTCAGCTGTTTTACTGTTTGTGACTGACGACGCCGTAACTTCAGCTGGCTATTGCTGCCAAAAAATGCAAAGGGGACGATGCACGCTCGCTCAAGGTGCACATCATCGACTACATCAATGGCCCTGGCAAGCCCAAGCCCATTATGGAGACACAGGGTGACAAATCAGATCGTGGCTTCTATAACCCTGACATTGCACCGCTCCTCTGTCCTGCTAAGTATGAACCGTCACCCAGGTGAGTTCTTCTTTTGGATGGACCCATAATGACGCTCAAAGCTATTCTGTATGCATAGCGTCATTCAGCGCATTCGTGACAACACGCTGAGAGTCAAGGAGGGGGACATCCCTCATTTCATGTATGGGCCTGATACCATCTACGACCCCGATGATCCGGAGAAGGGGCTATTGGAAGGTCCACCACCGGTCCTTGCTGCGGTACGTGTTGTGTCATACGCACCGCACAGAGCTGATGGTTCTCAATTATAGACAGCGAAGCACATCTATCAGGCTCCTTCGGTTGCACTGAAGGCGCCTGGAGCTCATCGCGGTCGGGCTGGAAATGCTGCAATCAACAATGTGACAGCGTTGACCCCGCGGGACGTTGCATATGTTGCTATGCAGGCACGTTTTTGCATTGCATTCACTGCCCGTTACTGAAACCCTGAATCTCAGCTTCGTTTTGCTCTTTCATCCGTGTCTTCGTTAGACAAAAGCGACTCTTTTGATCTAGTTAAGTTCTATTGGAACGTGATGAAGCTGCTGGATTGCGACGAGGGAGCTAAAGCGATCGAGTTGTTCAATCAGTACGTTTTGTCAAATACTTTGTCCGTTATGAGGTCTGGCTAATCTTCCTCAGTCAGGTCTTTGGTCACCGTGCTGAGAAGGATGTGTTCGACGACGAGGACACAGATTTGGATGACTTTTCGAGTATAGAGGCTCGCCGCGCCGCGAAACGACGTCGTTTGATGGAAGACACTGCCTCTCAGTCTTCTGAGTCATAGTTCACATTATAACCTTTATTCCATATGTATCAGACCATGCATATCTACAGTAATGACCATACAGCATGTAATGTGGCAGCTGAGGTGTGACCTCCCACAAACGATGACAGATTCTGCGAGCATGTAGGGATGTGTCGACAGACCAAGAACTGTGATCTTGCGATTTGCAGTTCCAGAACTACCGATTTATAATGCACCGCGTACGTAAATATCTACATTGCAGATGTGAAGACTACAGGCAAGTCCCGTCCTTTCACAATTCAATCTGGCATGTAGGTTCTTGCATGCGTGATCAGAGTTCACCGGGCAGATCAGAGTTCACCAGGCAGATCAGAGTTCACCGGGCAGGCCCGAAGAATGTACACTAGGAGGTTTGAGATATTCCCAGGTGCAGATCTAAATGCCCGATGTGCCACTATCTGGCATTTCGAAGAATCTGATGGACTGCAAAGGTCGCTGACGGACTGCAGTGGGTTTCCGGTTTTGCTGATGATTGAGGCTGTCAAATAGCTGTAGCAGCGGAGATGGAGCCTTTGCTGTGGGCCGCTGATGCCCCCCCAGTAAAAGATACAGTAGCGCGCGCCAATGTGTTCGAAATGGCGCGAGAGTTAAATACGCGGGAAATTCGCAGAGGCTGATTTACCGCATTCTCCCTTCCCGACTTGAGCACTCATGCGCCTTCCAGCTGACGACTGCATAGGATGGAACCCACTCCACTGGCAGACTGCCTGTGATCCCCCCACTCTACGGAGGACTGTGGAGAATGATGGCGATAGAAGTGCATATGGGCGGAGCACACCGTATTCGAAAGACACGAATCCACTCGTAGGAAGTTTCGATCAATACGCGCTGGCTCGATCGTGCTCGGCTTCCAGTGGCATCATCTCCCGGACGAGGAGGGGGGGATCATCAAGTGGACCTGATTTATCTCCGGATCCCCTTCGAGTCTTGAGTGCGGCCGATTTCGAGCCTCCAGAGATGAACAGACCGATAGGAAGCGGTCTTTTCTACGCTGCGGGACTCGATTGGCCTGGACACTGGATGGATTTTGGCGCACCAAGCCTGGGCATCGATCCGGAGGACTTTATGTTCTCTGGCTCGTTCTCTTCCGGGCTGCCACCTAGTCTGTTGCCGCAAAAACATCCGGTTGCGTTCATTCATTGGGCACATGTCTGAAACTGGCTCTCATACTCGTTGCTTTAGTCGAGAATGACTAGCTGGGCAGCTCAGCAGCCCGCCCACGAGTTTCGATTCCCCGACGCAGAAGCATCCGCATCTACCAGTGCTGCTTCCACTACCAATGAGAGTGACAATCACGACAACCGGTCAGCCGATGGCATAAACCTGGACGGGACATCGCGGGCAACGGAAAACACGCTGCACCATGCCAGCGACCCCCAGATGGGCCCTGTGCATCTCTCACAGGCGAGGGGAAAGCTATTCAAATGCCCTTGGCTCGGTTGCCCAAACTATGGAAGTTAGAGCTGTTTAGTACATAATTGTCAGGCTTACCGATGAATCTGATCCACAGGCACAGCATCAAGACACTTCAAGACGTTTGTACGCATCTCTTCGATGGAGGAAGTTGGCGGTGTCAAACGATATAGATATTTGACAGCTCCCCAATACTGCTCGATGAAATTGAGCTCGCAATGGAACTTAGGGTAGAAATCACATATGTGGCCGCGTTCTTCGCACCTCAGTTACCACCGCCATCACCCGGTTGCACCCCCGCGGGGGTCCTCCTGGGTACCCTCAGACGTAGCTCTGAGGGTACCTAAAAGGTACCCCCCTGCGGGGCCCGCGGGGGGGATTTGGTCCATTTGGGGGCGGGGGCATATGCGGGGGTCAGCAGGGGGGGGTCTGTACATGTCATGTGATTTATCATTGGGAGCGGGCAGGTGGGCGCGAAAAAAAAAATGAATCACATGACACATCCAATGGGCGGGATGGCGGCTGATGGCGGGGTAAAAAAATCACGTGATGCACCGCATGAAAATTATCAAAAATGGCTAGCAGGGGTTGGCGGGGGTTGGCGGGGGCGCTACTGGCCCCCCGCACACCATGGCGGGCAGTGGGCGCATTATCACGTGACTTTTGGGGCACCTTTTGTGCACCATTCGGCATGATTTCGGAGGTGTTGCTTGATCCATTGCATGCTGGGGCAGACAATGGGCGCATAATCACGTGATTTTCCGCCCAAAAAAATGGAAGCCTTCCCCAAATCATCCTGGTATCATTTCTATCGGTAAATACACTAGTTAAGCATGAATTTGAGCTTAGAAAGCCCAAAATGCACCCTGCACAATGGGACTGGTGATGCACTTGATCCCATCATTTGGCGGGGTCTGCTGCGGGGGGTGCCACGGGGGGTGCTGCGGGGGGTGCTGCGGGGGGTGCCGCAGGGGGTGCCGCAGGGCCCGCTGTGGGGTCAACCACAGGAGCAGGGGTAGGGGTGCATTGCATCATATTTTGATCTATCTATTCTCGCTGTGGTCATAGCATGCAGCATAATTATCCTTCATTTTGCCAGGAGTTTGGAGGCTGTGTCTGGGGTTGGTCTGCAGCTACAGCCATGTGACTCCCTGATGCTTCGGCAGGGGCTGGGATATCAAAACTGTGCAATATTGTCTGCATAATCCAGGCATGTAGGGTTAAAAAGAAAGTGTGATTTGTTCATTTTTTGGCTGGCAGGGTAGGTGGGCTGACATCATGGGCTGCATCGGGTCCACTGTCAACTCATTGATTGTTTCGTCTGCTCATTCTATACACATGCCCATTGGCAAACTGATCATGCTGTAGGCACAGTCTAATCTTACCCAGTGGATAATACCACACGTTAATTATGCACCTAATGTCACACTTCCTGTCTGGGACTCATTGAAGTTCATCTGTTCTGTGTTACTTTACAAGCAGTTTGCTTTAGTTGCAACATGAACAGATGTAATAGAGTGGATTTGACATGCCCTGAATTGATTCCTAGGTGGAATATGAGACAATGGATTCACCAGCAAGTTGCCTCACAATAGTCAGAGATTGGTAATATTTGAATTTCAAATTTCATATACAACACTCTGTGCACTCAGAGCTCGTATATTTGCAAGATAGACTGTAGAGACATAGATGGTTACTTTTACTACCTCTGGGGCTGCACACATCCTTGCCATGACCCACTGCCTGCACCCCTGCTGGTACCCCCATTGGCACCCCCGCCGGCACCCCTGTTGGCACCCCCGCCGGCACCCCCGCTGGCACCCCCGCCAGTCTAGCACCCCCCGCTGCACCGGTGCCTTGTCCCCGTGATTTTCTTATATGTAAGATTATGTAAACTGACAGCTCGGAACACGTCAAGTCACTAGCCAATCAGAACCTGTATAAACGTCGTACCTAAGTGTTTACTGCTCTTCTAACACTGTTCCTACAGTTATGCAGCTGAAAACCATCGGAATAAGGTCTCCTTCTGCTATTCTTATTGAATATGTAGATACTTCATATCATTTGTCCACCTAAAATTCGAAACATGAAAAGAGTTCACCATTGCTCAAGGTTCCTATGTAGACAATGGTTCAACATGGTTCACTTTGGGTATGGCAAAAAATATTTTTTCTACACACAAGCAATTCAATACAGCTGAATGATATACTCTTTGGCAGTGTCTGAAACAAATTCTGAGAGCCCTGGACCCTGGAACTATTCAAAAACTTGAAATGAGTCCGAAAAATAGGGTCTTCATAAACATGAGATATGGGCTGGTTTGAAGAGACATGGGCCACTGGTCATGTTGAATATAGTATTTTACAATGTTTCGGTGCCCTACCTCTCATCACATGGCCTCATTTCCGACTAAGAAGCGCACATACACATTCAAGCTCATAAAATCAATTGTCACCCAGAAACAAGAGCAGTGAAGCTGTTTCACTGGGATTGGGTAAAGGTTACCTAGAAGTCACTTGGGTTGCAGTACAGAAGCTTTGGAAAGTGATTTTGTAGTTGATCCACATTTGGTAGGCTGGCAGATGCTTGTGCACCCCCACAGCACCCCCCGCGGCACCCCCTGCGGTTGACCCCCCCCCCCCCCAACCCCTGCAAGGATTTAATTGACAAATGTCCTGCTCAATCCATTGTAAGAGTCTACAGTATTATTGGATTCAGTAAAGGGCCCAAATGGTGTATAGACAAGAAGTATGAAATCCGGAAATCAACAATTATGACACCTCCACGGAATATGCTGCAAATGGAGAGGAAAATTTGAGCGCAGACAGACTACCTGAAGCAAACAGACAGAGAAAAGAAACATTAGCCATTTCTTGTTGATGATGTTGGCTGTCCCTGGAGCATGTACTTGGGAGATTTGCCTAACAAATCAAGTTGCACATTTTTCAAATTTTTAGTTTGACCTGACAGCTTGAGCAGACCATGCTAAAATGAACCAAGTCATATATATCAGTGCCCCAAGCCAAGCCAAAAGATTTAGGTAAATTTGCACAGTTTTGATATCCCAGCCCCTGCCGAAGCATCAGGGAGTCACATGGCTGTAGCTGCAGACCAACCCCAGACACAGCCTCCAAACTCCTGGCAAAATGAAGGATAATTATGCTGCATGCTATGACCACAGCGAGAATAGATAGATCAAAATATGATGCAATGCACCCCTACCCCTGCTCCTGTGGTTGACCCCACAGCGGGCCCTGCGGCACCCCCTGCGGCACCCCTTGTGGCACCCCCTGCGGCACCCCCCGCAGCACCCCCCGCAGCACCCCCCGTGGCACCCCCCGCAGCAGACCCCGCCAAATGATGGGATCAAGTGCATCACCAGTCCCATTGTGCAGGGTGCATTTTGGGCTTTCTAAGCTCAAATTCATGCTTAACTAGTGTATTTACCGATAGAAATGATACCAGGATGATTTGGGGAAGGCTTCCATTTTTTTGGGCGGAAAATCACGTGATTATGCGCCCATTGTCTGCCCCAGCATGCAATGGATCAAGCAACACCTCCGAAATCATGCCGAATGGTGCACAAAAGGTGCCCCAAAAGTCACGTGATAATGCGCCCACTGCCCGCCATGGTGTGCGGGGGGCCAGTAGCGCCCCCGCCAACCCCCGCCAACCCCTGCTAGCCATTTTTGATAATTTTCATGCGGTGCATCACGTGATTTTTTTACCCCGCCATCAGCCGCCATCCCGCCCATTGGATGTGTCATGTGATTCATTTTTTTTTCGCGCCCACCTGCCCGCTCCCAATGATAAATCACATGACATGTACAGACCCCCCCCTGCTGACCCCCGCATATGCCCCCGCCCCCAAATGGACCAAATCCCCCCCGCGGGCCCCGCAGGGGGGTACCTTTTAGGTACCCTCAGAGCTACGTCTGAGGGTACCCAGGAGGACCCCCGCGGGGGTGCAACCGGGTGATGGCGGTGGTAACTGAGGTGGTTCTTCGACAAGCTCTTGAAGTGCTGACTTCTGATTGACAAAGTCAGGCTGGCAGAAGAGAATCTTCCGACAGCAGCAGTCCTGGTTTTTGCTCTTGAAACATGCCTCCTTGCATGCACCACGGAGACTGTCCTGCAAGAGCCCCCGCTCCTTCAAAATGACCTCCGAGCCTTTGAACCAGCCAGGCATGGTCGGGTGATTCGACGGAAAGTAGAAATTGTGGACACGGCCATCAGCAAAGTGCCCATTCCGCATCCGGGGCCCGTTTGCATGTGGTGTCCAGGTGGCTGATGGTCGTTTTGGGATTGATCGAGCAGTGAGGGCATCAGGTGCACGCTTTTGATGACTAGGAGCGTTGTCGAAAAGAAACAGTCCTGTACATCTGCCATTATACTTTGATTCAAAGACATCAATTGCACGGGTGGTTTGCTCAAGAAGGTGTTCATTTGCAAAGTAGCCATCCTGGTTCTTCCCTGCCTCAAAGACAAGACGGCAATCACTGTTGACAGGCAATTAGCAAGGAGCACCCATTGGAGACCAGACAATGAACATACTCGTCGTCATCTACAAGCCGGCCTTTGGGGGTCAGAAAGTCCGATATCATGATGGACTCTCCCTCTCCTTTCCGCTCCGGTTCAGGACCAACTTCATCATTCTGCCAAAAGACCTTGCGACAGTCACGACTGAAAAATGTAGATTCGTCATGCGTGACAGGGATCAAGAGGAAGCGTGGCCACTGTGGGACAGGAAAACCATTCGGTTGGCTGATGGTTTCCCCGTCGGCTCCACGCAGAATCATTCTTGTCTCATATTTCTTCCAGCGCTGGCAGAAACCCTCACGGTACTCAACCACATCCTCCCGCTTGTGCCCGTTGACGTACATCCCCTTCTTCTTTGTCCGGAAACGCCAGTTAAGTTTCTCAAGCCAATGATGAGCAGTGCGAATGTGGATTGAAGGCTTGATCTTGCCCTCGAATCGTTTCTGCACCTCGTCGCTAGCAACAAAGTCAACAATGTCCTGGGCAGAGAAGTAACCGTTCAAAGCCTTCTCAAGGAGATAAGCTTGAAGGTCTACGGAGAAGTCTTCGTCGTCAAGCATGGAGGGGTGGAACTCGCCATAGTGATGCACAGGAAGCTCGCCCGAGCTCAGGAAACGGCGGATCCAGCTGTGAATTTTGCGTGCATAGTATTTGCCACGACCCTGGCCTTTCGCCGCAATCACTGACGCTTCTCACCAGGTGCAGGCAAGATTTTTGTCGAGATACATATTGAGAGTGGCAACCATTGCGACAATGCGAGCTCGGAAGAAGACATCAATCTGCTTGTCCTTCACCTTCAAGGACAGTCCGGCAAGGGCCTTTCTCAAAGCCGGAAGATTGTGCCAAGTCAATGCACTCAATGCACGTTCTGACTGATCGAGCTCGACCGCTTCTTGGTGGAGCTTCTCGGCATCCTCGCAAAGCTTGTTCAGTGCTGTGCGCGCTTTGTACGGTGTTGGACTGTTGTTGAGATGGGAACACGGTTGTTGAGGCTCGAAGGCCTCCGAGCCGGTGAGAGATCCCTCCTCTATCGAGTCCGCATCCATCGTCATCTCACAACCCGATCCAGTCCGCGTCTCGGGCTGTGGACTACCCACAATCTCGATTTCGTCGTCCATCTCCATCTCCGAATCGACCTGAGGTGTGTCCTGCTGGGCAGATGGCTTCGGAATGATCTCGAGGGGCTGACCCGATCCAGTCCGCGTCTTGGGCTGTGGACTACCCACAATCTCGATTTCGTCGTCCATCTCCATCTCCGAATCGACCTGAGGTGTGTCCTGCTGGGCAGATGGCTTCGGAACGATCTTGAAGAGCTCCGAGATGAATTGGTTGCCTCCCGCTTTCCAAGTGGCACGCTTCTTCACGTTGCGTCGTTGAGTGGTCTTTGATCTCCCATTGTAGCCCCTGCTGCGGTCGTTCAGAGAGCGGTGTTGTTTTTCATGAACAGGTTCTTCAGCGTGCAATTGCTGAAGAAAATCAGCAGAGCTCTCAAGGTGTGCCTCTGTCATCACACTGTGCGCATTCTCTGACTCCTCTCTTTTCCCCTCCTCAGAGTCACAGCCTGGGTCCCAATTGGATGCGATCCCATCCCTCTCTATCTCCGTGAACCGGTGCGCGACATCAGCCGCTTCGCAGACTAACAGGTGATCTTTATCTTGCAGATCCAGCCCTGTGCCTCTCGAAGGCTTCTTGCCTGTAGAATGGGGATGTCTTTGAGCGTCTAGTAGACGCTGTCTGGGAGCTCTGTCTCTTCGTTTAGTGCCTGCCATGAGGGTACAATTTTTTCGCTTCGAGATTAGATGTCCAAAAAAGGCAGCGATCAGTCACGTGTTTGATTAGTAAGCGAGCCAAATCTGCAGGTCGCCCAAACGCATATTGGCGGAAACGCGTTCTTACAATGTGCTGTATCGAAAAAATCTCATGTGCATAAAACAAAGAATCACTTGGCTTCAACGGCTTAATCGAAAATTTTGCTTGCATAGCGTCCTAGTACAATGTATACACCATGACTGTATGCGAGCAAACCATCCAATTTTCAATCGTGGTGAGCGGGATGTGCAGCGGGAGTCGGGTGTGATTTGGTCACATCAAAGCTTAGTCACCCGTGCTGAAATCAAATGCCGCATACCTTACTGCCAAGAACCCCGGCGCGCTTCCTTGCCAGGAATGACTGACACATCTGCGTGAGTTCTTTGATCAAGTTGATGACCCTGCAAAATCAACGCTCATTGTTTTGGCACATGTGGAAACTGTTTTGCCCCACCAGCAATAGTTGGGCAACACGTCACTTAAAGAAATGGCCCTTAGTGCCGAACGTCTATGGTCGGCAGAATGATATCTGGACAATTTTGCCACCATCTATGTAATGTGCTGCATTGTCAGTGGGTGACTTTCCATAACATATTTACATAGACATAGATAATAAATGGGGTGCCAAATGATCTTGCTTACATTTATGGGATATGTCTATGTGTTGGGGAAAATGGGTCGAGGGGTTGATTAGATAATTGTAGTGTAGGTTTGCAATAGCAATGAGGAATAAACTTGGATTGCTTTAGGGCAAACTGATGCCCGTACACTACATACAAGCTTAGTTATATAGTAGTAATACTAGTAATCTAGAATATTCTTCTATTTACCGGTATATGACTAAAGACAATTATCTAATGATCTGGAACGTTCCGGGACAGCCGAGCTGCATCCCGGGAATACTACTGAAATTCAACACTATGTAAGGTGCCTTTTCCACATTGCATTTCCGCATAACAGCACAAATTGTGTGATGCCATGATGCATTGATGCACTGTCACATTCTGCGCGTCATTGATCTTCGACACTGCGATCTATCTTATCACTCAACTATGGAGGACGAGCAGCGCGCCGTCTGGAGATATAAGCGCGCTGCGCTGGTGAGAGGACGAACGCAGTGTAAGAAAGAGACATGGTAGGAGAGGAGGAGCGGAGGAGTGACGTGGGAACGCTGCGGGCATAAGCTGCGTAGACAGCGGAGATGTGATGGCTCCTGCCTTTTTTGGTTTTTTTTCGTGGGACGTTTATTAAAGCTTAGAGTACCTAACATAGTTATCTACTCGTAGCCCGTCGGATTTGAGGCCAAGGATTTGCACCTAGCCAGACCAGATAGAGAGATTTACCACGCGAGGAAATGCGCTTTGTAACCGTTTGTCACTCGCACGATGCACCCGGTGATCCGGGTGCCTTGGGTGGGGATTTGGTTTCTTTGCATTATTCGCTTTACATGGAGCCGGCTATTCCGGCTCTTTCTTCCTTTTAACCGATACCCACTAAAACCCTGCCTCTCTTGGTCCAGTCTTCTGGGAGCCGCTCCTTGTTTTGGAGTGTTTTAGCCCATGTCTTCCTGACTAGTGAGGGCTTTATTGCCTTTGCGCCGTATTTTGTTTTGTTTGTCATTTTGCAATCAATGAGCAGTCTCGTGTTGAGTGTTCTCAACCACCTGTTACTAATTTTGTTTTCTGTTGCTTCATCTTTCTCTTGTATGACTTGTTTGCACCTCATTCTCCAGATTAGGTGGGCCGACTCGGATACAAGTATTCTGAAGAATCTTGATAGCCCGGCGTCTCCAGTATCAATTGCACCGCAGGCCATGATCTTCCCCATATCGATGTTGAGTTCTTTCCCAGATTTTGTTTGCCATATTGTATCTGCCAGTTGCCATACTTTCCGCTGTCCGGCTGCATTGCATTCCAGCAGGATGTGCCTCATTGTTTCGATGGTCTCCCCTCCGCAGTGGTGGCACTTCGCTCTCTCCTCGTGTCCTGGGATCTTTGTCCAGTGCTTTCCGACTTTATATCCTTCGTGTATGATCATCCATAGGAAGTATCTCACACTTCTGGAGAAGTCCTTGTGCCTCGTTGCCGTCCATATTCTTGCTTTCGTTGCCGGGCCTTCTGACTCTTTGTTTAGGTCTTTGGTTGCTTCTTGTGCAGTTTCTATGTTGGTGTTCGTCGCTTTGCGGTCTAGTGCATCTTGGTAGCGGTCGCTCTGCATCTTGAGCTTGCGTATTATCTTATATGCAACTGATTGTGTCATGGCTTGGATCTTTGCTCCTGGGAGGATTAGTCCATCGTCGACTGTTGTATCGATGATGTCGGGCTTGTCTTTTCTGCGTCCTTTGTCTGCTAATCTGTCTGCCTCCTCGTTTCCATGTATTCCGGAGTGTCCTTTGACCCAGGTGAGTCTTGTGCATGCTCTGCGGTTCCGGATCTTAGTTATTGTTAGTTTCATTGTTTTGCCGTTGGCAGCAAGGAGGAATCCTTGGTCCTCATTCTTTTTGAGGTCTTTGGTTAGTCCGTTGATTGTGTACATCGAGTCTGACTTAATGTGTATAGGTGCACCTGGCGGGCACATTTCCACGGTCTCTTTTACTGCTAGTAGTTCTGCTACCTGGTTAGATGGTTTGAATTCGTCTGGAATCTTTATCGCTGTGTTCAGTGCATTGTCTCCTTCAAAGAATATGCCGGATCCAGCTTCTGTTCCGTCGTTACCATTGTTGGTGGCTGATCCATCTGTGAATACTTCCCATTCAATTGTTTCTTCTTCTGGGTTTTCAGCTGGTTTGCGTTCTGGCGCGGTTTTGCTCTTGTTCCGTTCTCCTTCCGTGAAGATATGGAAGAGGTCTTCTATTCCTCCCGTGGTGGTTAGTCTTTGGTCTACTTCTCTCGATACGTTTCCGTCTTCCTCTTCTTTGGGGGTCATCTGGTGTTCATAGTCTTCCAGTTGGTTCTTCCTGGGGTCCCATTTCGGGTTGAGGGTGTCCAGCATTGACTTTGCTTTCTCGTAGCATAGTCTGGGGTTGTTACATCCGGTTACTGTTCTTGTCAGTGTGCATGCGTTACAGCGGCAGTTCCTGGTTGCTTTGTGCCTTGCCATTCCTATCTTTCGTGCGAGGAGTACCGCGTCCCCTACCGTTTTCATTCGGTGTTTCTCTTTGAGGCATCTGATGACGTGTATGTTTGTTGTCCACATTTTATTTACGGCGTTTGATTTCTTGTGATACCAGATTATCATTTTTTCTTGGATTTCTCTTGCGACCGCAATGGCTTCGATTCCTACTCCGAATTTCTTGCCCGTGGATGTCATCTTTGCGAGGTCTTGGCCGATTTCTTTTTGTGATACTTTGTGTTTCCATTCTTGTAGGTACGAGTTTAGGCGTATTGAGGGTTCGACTTTGTTTCTGGATGATGATATCTTGTGTGCTAACATTTCGTCTGCCACAAAGCACCAAAGTGTCCTGCATTCACCCGAGCTCAGGTATGTCTTCAGCCACATGATGGCGATGGCCTCATTGCGTGCTACTATATCAAATAGGTTGCGTCCTCCTTCTTCGGCGGGTGCGTATATAGTTTGTTGATTAATGGTGACCCTTTTTTTTTGCCCATAGAAATTTTCTGACTCTTTTTTCTAGGTGTTCTTCCACTTCTTTTGGCATCCCTTGGACAGTTGCGAGGTACTGTGTCATTCACCTGATGACCATTAGGATGATGAGTCTCCTTCCTTCCATCAAGGGGTTTCCTTGGTCCCAGTGTTTGAGTGCTTTATCGATTTTTTCCAGAGTTTGTGTCCAGGAGTCCACTTGTCCCACGTTGTTTCTGACCCAGGCTCCCAGGCATCTTACGGGTTCGCCCTCCTTGGCTATCTTCACTTGTCCAGAGATCATTGTGCTGTTTATCCCATTCACAAACATGTTTGCTCTAACCTTATCACGGTGTTCCAGTGTCCCTATTGGGATCATTTCCGTCTTGTTTATATTGAATCTGGCGCCAGACGCTATGCACCATTCATCTATGATGTCTAGTAGAGTGCCAAAGTCGTCTTCCGCTGATAGGCTGGCTACCAGACACGCTCTGCACCGGCTCTGTAAGGGCGTATTTTTGCGCTTTTTACAGAGTTTACTCTTGAACCATCCGGTGTATCGTGTCGCGGTTGACAGTGTTGCGCTCAGTAGGACTAAAGGGTCTACTGCCCAGTCGACGACTGTGGATAGTGTCGGCGATAGCAAGGCAGTCAGACCACTACTGTGGAATTGGTCTTATGAGTCTATACCAGGCTCAGGGCTATTAGTGACGAACGCTTGGACCGCGACAATTCCCCAAAAAGGGATCTTTCGTTGCATCGACTTCTCAAAAGGGTCATTCTCTGCAGATGGGAACTTGGGCTGAAGGGCTGAGCAATGTGCGACGTTCTCAATAATACAACTACTACTGGACAGGACTTGGCATTACGAGGTTGAACCAATCTTGTCGTGGCAACTCCCGGTTTTGAGTTGGACGTTTCCTCAGATCATGCCACGACGATGACTTGTCACATGTCAGGATCCATTTGATCACGGCACATTGTGGACGCGTCGCGGTGACACTTCCAGGTGTCACGGCGAGTCGCGTCCATACCCAAATACACTAAGAACAACATGGCTAGATCCGTGAACCGAGCCATGTGGGGAACGACTGGTGTGCCTAGGGCCATACGGCTTCTTGAGGCGCCCACGTTGGGCTCACTTGCCAAGACATACCCGTTGGCCAATCCAACACGTCGTATTCCAAAAGTATGACGTGGTGGGTTGACCCACATCAAAAGTATCATATGGACTATGGGGCGGGGTCCTGATCACTCAGGACCTGTTCGATTGTTCAACTTTTCATTACTCTAAAAGGCAACCGATCTTAGATAGCGTAGCTACTATGCAGTTGTACAGGACTTTACTAAGCATTGTCGTAGACAGTATAAGTAGCACATCGTTTCTTTGTATTAGGAAGCTTTCCCCCGGACTGTGAATCACTCTCATTTCAGATTGTTTTGTACAATTTGCGTGCCGCGTGATTCCACCCTAAGAAGTTCTGCCACCCCTGCCCGGTTGCGACGAGTTGCTCCCTGAGCACTTGTAGCTACTGTGATTTGAGTTGAGATATCAGAAAGTCGGATTCGCCGCATCTGGTTTAGTCGCGGCACTTAGTGTCGTCGCCTTCGGGCTTTGTTGAGATCGTTCCACACCTCTAGCTTGGCAGTGCGTCAACTAGTTGTGCTCGGGTTGTTTTGGTCAGTTGGCAGTGCGTCGACTTGAGAACTTTGGTTCCACACTTCTTGCTTGGCAGTGCATCAACAAGTTGTGCTTGGGTTTTGGACATTGGATATTGGCCGTTAGTTGGCAGTGCGTTGACGCGGCATTTTTGGTTTACTAGTTGGCAGTGCGTCAACTCAGTACTTTTGGTTGTGTCAGTTGGCAGTGCGTCGATTTGACATTTTGGTTCTACTAGTGTCATAGTTCGGCCACTTTTTCATCTTATCATCGACGATCTTATCTTATCTTGGCACGACTTATCTTATCACGGATCACAGCATCAGACGGTCCGGACTAGGAGTTCCAGGGATTATCTTCATCGATTCGAGGCTGCGCGACATATGCTCCGGAAGGTTCTACTACGACCCATGAGCAGCGTTCCATGCGGTACATAGCCCTATGACTCATTAGTTGTAGATATGACTCAGACTGGAATTGGGTATAAATACTGTAGCTACTTGGTTGTATTCTCCAGTCTTGGAATTCACTTCTCTTTTCGACTTTGTTTTTGGGTTGATCGTCACACAATTCCAAGACTCCCCTCATACCCTCCTACCTCATACCTCTTACCCTGCATCCTGCACCGCTACGCCCGCTATATCCTCTTAACCCTTATCACCCCACTCACCCTTTTACCGAATCATCTAGTCGTCCTCCACTATTGCAGTGAAGGGTTCATATCAAGCAAACAGCACCAGGCCACGGGTAACGTTGAGCCCGACCCAAGCCTTACGGTAGCTACAAGGAGCGCTGCGGAGACCTTTGGGAAAACGCACCTCGGGATCATCGGGCACGTGAAGAGCTAGGCCCGGGATCTTTTTGCTAGCAAAAGAACCCTCCCTCGAGTGCTTGTACAGCACACGAATCCACCATTTCGTACCGATTCCCATCTTCGTCTGGGAGTCCGTCCCCTCCCCCCATCGTACCATCGTCGCCCGATCTGGCGCATCAAAACCAACCCGGGCCCTCCAACCCCTACCTCGCCCTCCCTCCGCCTGAAGACGAGATCCCCGACCTCGACGAACTGCCCTCCGAACAACCACCCTCGCCCCCACCTCACACGCCTGCCCCTACCATGTCAGGGCATCACCGCATCACCCTCGCCGCCAACCCCCCCTACTTCGATGGCGACAAGTCCAAGTACCTGGGCTTTGTGGACGCGTGCACCACTTACATTGATGCCTATCGATCGGAGTTCTCACTGGACGAAACAAAAATCCTCTTCGTTCTCTCCTACCTCCGTAATGAGACCGGCACAAGCTGCGCCGCCTCGAGATGGGCAATGAACTGGAAGCAGCACAACTTCGAGGGCTTCCAAAGACTAAAAACGGGAGTCACCACGAAGAACTTCCTGGAGGAGCTTCAGAGGGCGTTCGGGGACTCCAATGCGGAACAAGTCGCCGCTGCTCGGCTTATGGCCCTGCGCCAAAACAAACAGTCCTTCGCGGACTACATCTCCGACTTTGAGATGTTGGCCACGGAGGCAGGCTACAATGTGGTCGACACCACCGACGACAAAGGCGAATACAAGAAGGGGGACCAGGATAATATCCTCATCGAGTTCCTGGAGCGCGGACTCAGCAGCGAGATCGCCAGCCGTCTCTACAACACCGGTGTCCCTCTGCCCAAGGCCTATGGAGCGTTCAAAGCCTGGTGCATCAACATCGAAGCCAATGCTCTGCGTGACCAGCTGCGTAAAGCGTCGTATGGGCACCCCACACAACGACCACCTCCCCAGTTCCGTCCCCAAGCGGCACCAGTGGCGCCCACACCCGCTCCGGCCCGACCTGCTGCCAACGAACCGGTTCCGATGGAAATTGATCGTACCCACGCCCACAGCCGCAATATCATCTGCTACAACTGTCAGCAGCCTGGGCACATTGCGCGGAACTGTCCAGAGCCAAGAAAGAAGCGCACATTTTTCAATCGGGCCACGATGCTTGAAGAGATCGAGAACGGGGACAAGGACAACGAGTTCCTCAAGGAGATCGCCGAGAAGCTGCGCGAGAAGGGTTTTTGAAACGCTCCACTCCTCTAGCCAAGGAGGTGGAGCGTCCGAACTATGGACGATTTTCTGTACTTGTTTCGATTAAGGATATGAACGATTCTACACATACATACACAATCTCGGACTCACTACGTACGAATATTCACGATTTTCTCATTGCCGATATGGAAAAAGAACGTCAAAGAAAAATAGCTTTAAATAGAGAGTATTTACAGAGTAAAAAGGATCAGAAAGCTGCAGATAAATTATTTTTGGACTCCTACGTATTTATGGCTTGTGGAGAAGGAACCACGTCAACAAAGACCGAAAAGGGGAGCATTGCTCCGGAGGCTCGATCCTTGGAAAAGGAGGAAGCGCCCAAGGAATCTGCCGAAATCAAGGTTCCAGAAGCACCCAAACGCACCAGGGTGCCAGATGCCGTCCAGAGGAAATTGGCGGCCGAGAAACAGAAGGGTCCCCAGCCCAGCAGATTGGCGCAGGAATTGCGCAGTTACCAGGCCGAAAGGAAGAGGCATTTGATGGACGTATACGTCCAGATCACGGGTCTGGACTCAGGGAAAACGCGCGGAGTCAAGGCGCTACTCGATAGTGGTTGCAGTACCTGCTGCATCGATACCAACTACGCCTGGGCAGAAAAGCTGGACATCCAAGAGCTTCCGCAGCCCATCGTGGCTCGTAACGCCGACAACACCGAGAACATCAGCGGTCGGATCACGCATTACGTTGACCTAAGGATGAGAATCGGCCCTCACGTGGAGACACGCACGTTCCTTCTGACGTGTTTAGGGAAAGCTCGGATCTTCATTGGTCTTGATTGGCTGACGGAACACAACCCCGAGGTGGATTGGCAGGAGCAAACCATGAGATTCAGCCGATGCCCAGAGCGGTGTCACATGAGGGGTCACGAGGAACATCAAGCAATGATCGACATGGATGCAATCGACCTGGACACGGGCACGCCGGATCTGGAAGAGGGAGAATCGATCCTGTTGGTCGATTTTGGGAAGGAAGTGGATCTACGGCTGAAGGAAACACCGGCGCAGAAATTCGCAGAAGAAGCGGAAAAAGAGAAGAAGAGGATGACCGAGGGGAAGATTCCGGATCAATATCGGGAATTTGTCAAAGTATTCGCCAAGGAATCGTTCGACTCGCTGCCAGACCGACGGTCATGGGATCACGCAATCGAACTCAAACCCGGTTCCAAGGCAGTGGATTGCAAGGTGTACCCATTATCACGAAGCGAACAGGACAAGTTGTACCTGAAACCCGAAAAGTGCGAGTTCGAACGCACGGAGATCGAATATTTGGGTGTAATTATTGGACACAATTCGATGCGGATGGACCCAGTCAAGATCAAGGTCGTGATGGAATGGCCCGAACCAAAGAGCGTCAAACAGGTCCAAGCTTTCCTCGGATTCACAAACTTCTATCGGCGCTTTGTCCGGGGATACGCAGAGGTTGCCAAGCCATTGACAAGGCTGACAGGGAAGGCAGGATGGTCATGGGGTGCAGATGAGCATGCGGCATTCGAGGGATTGAAGAAGAGAATTGCGGAGGATGCGGTCCTAGCACTGCCAAATGACACCGGCCAATATCTTCTGGAAGCCGATGCTTTGGAAGGGGCAACAGGATCCGTTTTGAGCCAAAACCAAAGCGGCATTTGGCGCCCAATCGCATTTATTTCGCACGCATTGACCGAAACCGAGCGAAATTACGAGATCTACGACAAGGAAATGCTCGCAATCATGCTATCATTGGACGAATGGAGGCAACTACTGATGGGAGCCACGGAAACATTTGAGATCTTCACCGATCATCAGAACCTCGAGTACTTCCGGAAGCCGCAGAAACTCAACCGACGGCAGGCACGATGGATCACGGAGTTGGCGGAGTTTGATTTCACCTTACGACACCGGCCCGGCGCACTCAACCGCAAGGCGGATCTCTTGTCTCGACAAGCAGATCATGATCAGGGCAAGAACGACAACAAGGACATCACGTTGCTGAAGCCCGAGTTCTTCCGATCACAAGAAGTCACATTCGAGGGACAGGATCAGCAGCTAATCGATGAAATCAAGGCCATCCGATCAATGGATGGAAGCGTCAAGGCGGCCTTAGAGAAGTCACTCGCTGGATGGAAAAAGGAAGACGGACTCATCACGTACCATGGGAAACTCTATGTACCGAGGGACGAGGAGCTGCGAGACAAGATTATCGGGCTACACCATGACACACCTTTGGTCGTACATGCTGGGATCAACCGAACGCAGGAGATGGTGGAAAGGAACTACTGGTGGCCAAGGATGGGAAACCAAATTCGGAAATACATCCAGACGTGCGAGGCGTGTCAGCGGACCAAGACCAGAAGAGCCAGGACAGGGAGTTTGCACCCGCATGCAGTTCCAAACGCGCCATGGGAAATCATCTCCATGGATCAGATCGGACCCTTGCCGGTCAGTAATGGGTATGACGCAATTCATGTGTGGTGTGACACCTTCACCAAAATGATCCATGTCGAACCAATTAGTACTGACATCAGCAGCGAAGGAGTGGCACGATTAACCAGGGACCGAGTCTTCCGCTACCACGGGATCCCCCGCAAGATCATCACCGACAGGGATTCGCGTTACATCAAGGGCTTCATGAGGGAGACGAATCGGATGTTGGGCGTGGAAATGAACCCGGGGACCGCATATCACCCAATCACGGATGGGCAAACAGAACGCATGAATCAGGAGATCAAACACTATCTCTGCATCTCCGTCAATTACCATCAGATGGACTGGTTGGAGTGGCTGGGAATGGCGGAGTTCACATATAACAACAAAATGAACACGTCCACCAAAGTATCGCCATTCTACGCGAATCACGGATATCACCCATGGAAGGGAGTGGAGCAGCGGATGGAATCAAGGAACGAGTCAGCAGAGGAATTTGTAAAAAGAATCAAAGAAATACAAGACGAAGCAAAAGCAGCATTGGAAAAAGCAAATGAAAAAATGAAAAAATACTACGATAAACAAAGAAAAGAAGTTCCGGAGTTGAAGGTTGGGATGAAGGTATACATAGAAGGGGAAAATATCGAGACGGATCGACCATCAAAGAAGATGAGCGACAAGAGACTAGGACCATACAAGATACTGGAGAAGGTTGGAGCGGCCGCATGGAAGCTGGACTTGCCGGACACGGACCGAAGACACCCGGTGTTCAACGAGTCACTATTGACACCATATCACGAACCACCCCCCCATCGCCGAGAGAAGAGGCCCGTAGCCAAGATGATCGGAGGAGCAGAGGAGTGGGAAGTCGAAGAAATCGTGAAAGAGCGAAACGTCGGCCGAGGAAAGCAGTACTTGGTCAAATGGAAAGGATGGCCACATAGCGAGAACACCTGGGAACCATCACGTCACCTTACCCACGCGAAGAAGGTCCTGAGAGATTGGCAGAGGAAACAATCCAACCCAGACACACGCATTCGCCTCCTGCCAACTCTCGAAGCCGGACATTGGGATTATCTCATCCATTGCTACAAACCCAAAGATGAGCGCCTTCCATATCCCCAGCGACAACTCTTCGATCCCTACGAAAACGTCTTCATGCCCATCAGCCTAGTCGATGAGGACATCGACCCTAGAGCGGGGGTAATGTCATAATTCGACTCTTTTTCATCTTATCATCGGCGATCTTATCTTATCACGGATCACGGCATCAGACGGTCCGAGCTAGGGGTTCCAGGGGTTATCTCTATCGATTCGAGGCTGCGCGACATATGCTCCAGAAGGTTCTACTACGACCCATGAGCAGCGTTCCATGCGGTACATAGCCCTATGACTCATTAGTTGTAGATATGACTCAGACTGGAATTGGGTATAAATACTGTAGCTACTTGGTTGTATTCTCCAGTCTTGGAATTCACTTCTCTTTTCAACTTTGTTTTTGGGTTGATCGTCACAACTAGTTGGCAGTGCGTCGACTCAGTATATTGGTTGTATCAGTTGGCAGTGCGTCGACTTGATATTTGGGCTTTGCGTCACCATCTGGACGCTGTCGCTACAAGGGATCTTAATACTCCGTATTAAGCTCTGACTTGTTATATTGTTGGTTGTGATTGGATTAGCGTTGGTTGTGTGCATATAGAAGATATTGGTTGAGACACCACTGTTTGCTATATATAAATTCTTCTTGTCGACTTCATCTTCCACGACTATTGATCCGTGTCTATTGAGAGTTGTGATACTGGTGCTCTGTCCACCCCGAAGCCCTCACATCTTTCACACACTGAGAAGCTGATTACAAGGAGTGTGAACGTGTTTATATTTGGGTTTACTTTCATAGTAGATTCACTTGTGAGCGCGCCCTCAGCATTTCACTGCATCGAGGTATACTATTGTGTCGTCCGCAAATAGGGTTGCAATTAATCTTTCTACCTTGCTTTTTATTTTTATTCCTTTTAGGTTTGATTGACGTAGTGATTCCGCCAGTGGTTCTATGGCAAGATTGAAAAGTAAGCATGAAAGTGGGTTGCCTTGGCGTACTCCTTGAGTGACTTTGAATGGTTGTAGCGAGTTGAACGATTCCTTGGCGAATACCTTGACAAATTCCCGATATTGATCCGGAATCTTCCCCTTGGTCATCCTCTCCTTCTCTTTTTCCGCTTCTTCTGCGAATTTCTGCGCCGGCGTTTCCTTCAGCCGCAGATCCACTTCCTTCCCAAAATCGACCAACAGGATCGATTCTCCCTCTTCCAGATCCGGCGTGCCCGTGTCCAGGTCGATTGCATCCATGTCGATCATTGCTTGATGTTCCTCGTGACCCCTCATGTGACACCGCTCTGGGCATCGGCTGAATCTCATGGTTTGCTCCTGCCAATCCACCTCGGGGTTGTGTTCCGTCAGCCAATCAAGACCAATGAAGATCCGAGCTTTCCCTAAACACGTCAGAAGGAACGTGCGTGTCTCCACGTGAGGGCCGATTCTCATCCTTAGGTCAACGTAATGCGTGATCCGACCGCTGATGTTCTCGGTGTTGTCGGCGTTACGGGCCACAATGGGTTGTGGAAGCTCTTGAATATCCAACTTCTCCGCCCGTGCGTAGTCGGTATCGATGCAACAGGTACTGCAGCCGCTATCGAGCAGCGCCTTGACTCCGCGCGTTTTCCCTGAGTCTAGACCCGTGATCTGGACATATACGTCCATCGAATGTCTCTTCCTTTCGGCCTGGTAACTGCGCAATTCCTGCGCCAATCTGCTGGGCTGGGGACCCTTCTGTTTCTCGGCCGCCAATTTCCTCTGGACGGCATCTGGCACCCTGGTGCGTTTGGGTGCTTCTGGAACCTTGATTTCGGCAGATTCCTTGGGCGCTTCCTCCTTTTCCAAGGATTGAGCCTTCGGAGCGATGCTCCCCTTTTCGGTCTTTGTTGACGTGGTTCCTTCTCCACGAGCCATAAATACGTATGAATCCAAAATTAATTTATCTGCGGCTTTCTGATCCTTTTTACTCTGTAAATATTCCCTATTTAAAGCTATTTTTCTTTGACGTTCTTTTTCCATATCAGCAATGAGAAAATCGTGAATATTGGTACGTACTGAGTCCGAGATTGTGTATGTATGTGCAGAATCGTTCATGTCTTTAATCGAAACAAGTACAGAAAATCGTCCATAGTCTGGACGCTCCACCTCCTTGGCTAGAGGAGTGGAGCGCTTCAAAAACCCTTCTCGCGCAGCTTCTCGGCAATCTCCTTGAGGAACTCGTTGTCCTTGTCCCCATTCTCGATTTCTTCAAGCATCGTGGCCCGATTGAAAAATGTGCGCTTCTTTCTTGGCTCTGGACAGTTCCGCGCAATGTGCCCAGGCTGCTGACAGTTGTAGCAGATGATATTGCGGCCGCGGGCGTGGGTACGATCAATTTCCATTGGAACCAGTTCGTTGGCAGTGGGTCGGGCCGGGGCGGGTGCAGGCGTTGTTGGAGCTGCCTGAGGGCGGAATTGGGGAGGCGGTCGTGGTGCGGATTGCGCATGCGATGCTTTGCGCAGCTGATCGCGTAGAGCGTTTGCCTCGATGTTGACACACCAGTTCTTGAAGGCACCATATGCCTTGGGCAGGGGAACACCAGTGTTGTAGAGGCGGCTTGCAATCTCGCTGCTCAACCCGCGCTCGAGGAACTCGATGAGGATGTTGTCCTGATCCCCTTTCTTGTACTCGCCCTTGTCATCGGTCGAGGTGACCACGTTGTACCCCGCGTCCGCAGCCAGCATCTCAAAGTCAGAGATATAATCCGCGAAGGATCGTCTATTCTGGCGTAGAGCCATGAGTCGAGCAGCGGCAACTTGCTCCGCGTTGGAATCCCCAAAGGCCCTCTGAAGCTCCTCTAAGAAGGTCGCCGAGGTGACCCCAGCCTTCAGTCCATTGAGGCTTTCATCTCGAGGCAGCGCAGCTCGTGCCAGCCTCGTTGCGGAGGTACGAGAGGATGAAGAGGATTTTTGTCTTGTCCTGCGAGAATTCCGACCGATAGGCACCAATGTAGGTGGTGCACGAGTCCACAAAGCCCATATATCTGGACTTGTCCCCATCGAAGTAGGGGGGGTTGGCGGCGAGGGTGATGCGGTGATGTCCTGACATGGTAGGAGCAGGTGCGGTAGGTGGGGGCGAGGGTGGTTGTTCGGAGGGTAACTCGCCAAGGTCGGGGATCTCGTCTTCAGGCGGCGGGAGGGCGAGGTAGGGGTTGGAGGGCCCGGGTTGGTTTTGATGCGCCAGATCGGGCGACGATGGTATGATGGGGGGAGGGGATGGACTCCCAGATGACGATGGGAATCGGTACGAAATGGTGGATTCGTGTGCTGTACAAGCACTCGAGGGAGGGTTCTTTTGCTAGCAAAAAGATCCCGGGCCTAGCTCTTCACGTGCCCGATGATCCCAAGGTGCGTTTTCCCGAAGGTCTCCGCAGCGCTCCTTGTAGCTACCGTAAGGCTTGGGTCGGGCTCAACGTTACCCGTGGCCTGGTGCTGTTTGCTCGAGATGAACCCTTCACTGCGATCGCAGAGAACGACTAGATGATGTCATAATTCGACTCTTTTCCATCTTATCATCGGCGATCTTATCTTATCACGGATCACGGCATCAGACAGTCCGAGCTAGGGGTTCCAGGGGTTATCTCTATCGATTCGAGGCTGCGCGACATATGCTCCAGAAGGTTCTACTACAACCCATGACCAGCGTTCCATGCAGTACATAGCCCTATGACTCATTAGTTGTAGATATGACTCAGACTGGAATTGGGTATAAATACTGTAGCTATTTGGTTGTATTCTCCAGTCTTCGAATTCACTTCTCTTTCCGACTTTGTTTTTGGGTTGATTGTCACAGATGATTTGGTAAAAGGGTAAGTGGTTTGACAAGGGTGAAGAGGATGTAGCGGGTGTAGCGGTGAGAGGTGCAGGGTAGGAGGTAAGAGGTACGAGGGTATGAGGGGAGTCTTCGAATTATGTGACAATCAACAAGAAATAATGTCGAAAAGAGAAGTGAATTCGAAGACTGGAGAATACAACCAAATAGCTACAGTATTTATACCCAAATCCAGTCTGAGTCATATCTTCAACTAATGAGTCATAGGGCTATGTACCGCATGGAGCACTGGTCATGGGTTGTAGTAGAACCTTCTGGAGCATATGTCGCGCAGCCTTGAATCGATAAGGATAATCCCCTGGAACCCCTAGTCCGGACCGTCTGATGCCGTGATCCGTGATAAGATAAGTCGTGCCGAGATAAGATGAGATCGTCGAAGATAAGATAAAAAGTGGCCGAATTATGACAAGCGCGGAGATCTGGTCCGGTGGTCCCCACCATTTGGCCCGGGTGAACAGGCAGAGGTAGGAAGGGTGGTTATCCAGTTTGCATATGACACATTCCCGGATCTTCCCCGTGAACTTGTCGACAATGGGTTTGTATTGGATGGCATTGGTGACATAGACCTTCTTGCGGAGTAGTTCACCAAGGGTTTCCTGTTCAGGTTTGGACCCTTTGCGTCTGTCCATGTAGATGACAATGACTGACTTTGATTCATGGTCCAGGCACTGGGCGTCAACGCTAAGCGCAAGAGAGTCAATGCGTTCATCACGTGTGCCTGGCTCCATCTGGGTGATTTGGTCGATTACTTGGGCGATCTCTTCGTTGGTATGCATCACCTCCCGGACTGTTCCGAGGATTTGTCCTTTCATCTCTTCCTTGTTTTTTGTCGCTGAGAGCTCCATGTACATCACCATCCAGCTACGCCTTTCTGCCATGGATGATGGCCAGTAGGCAATTTCGGTGTTGACTGCAATGAACGGTTCTGCCAGGATCGCAGTGTGCATGGCCGGGTCGTCGCATCTGAGGAATGCCACCATTGGGTCCGAGTCAAGGATTGGGGTGTAGTAGTAGATGGGTACGTTCTTCGTTATTCCAGAGAGGGAGAGTTTGACGGTTTTTTCGATCTCGTCTTTCAGGGTGTCGAAGAGGTGTTGGCCGCCTATGGTGAATAAAAGTGCAATTGTCTTCCCTGCGCCCCACTTCTCGATTGTCTCTCTTTGTTCCTGGGATACTCCGCGTAGCAGCCTCTCTAAGCTGATATGGTGCTCCAGGAAGGTCCCGCCTTGAATCCTCTGGAACGGGTTCTCACCGTTGGTATTCGGTCTCGGGGCTGGACGCTCTGCGATGAGTTTCAGGTGTGGGTTTTTGTCGCGGCCTGTTGGTGTTTGGGTAGCAAACTCTTCTTTTGTCAGGTGCACATATGTGGGGGGTGTCAGGGGAACCCCCGCTTCGGACCGCTCTGCCTTTGATCGAGCATGTGATCGCGCTCACGTGACCTGTCAGCTGTCACATATCACGGCCCGGACTGCCGCGCCGAGCGTTTCTCTCTGATGGGCACATGGTCAGCTGCCCATTGTTCCTATTGTCTCTGCATCCCATCGTTCTGTCATGGCCATTGTACTTATTGTTCCCATTGTTCTTTGTTTGTTGCTGCGCGCTCTATTGTTCTTGTATCATATAAATAGTGGCGCCTGGCAAGGAGAATCCCCAACACGGTTTCTCGTCGGATTCTCCCTTGCCAGGTATGCCGGTCTTGTACCTAGCTACCACTATTAACACTTTGGATTCTCCCTTGCCAGAACTCTGAGATCGGGTCTCGAGGTTGCCCTTACAGGGGGGGGGCGTTTCGTCCGTCATCATTCTCATTTCGCTCTCAGTTTCGCTCGGTGTTGGCGTTAGTGTTCTGGTGGGGGGGTTGTAAGGGGTTTTAGAGCCGTTTCCAGTGGGTGGTGGTAGCGTGCTGGCTACGGTTTGGGCGTGGTGCGTGGCTTCTTTTCTTTTGGGGGAGAAGTTTTCCTCCTCTCGCCGGTCTCTAGCGCGTTGGAAGCCTCCTTCTGCTGTTCTGGTGGTTTTTTGTGCGGGGGTTGGGAGGTCTGCCAGGTTGTTTGGGGTGGGATTTGTGGGTGGGTGATGCATACGTGGCCTTCTGAATTTGCGGGCTGTCACTTATTTTCTTTGTTCCCTCGTACTATTGCCTCGGTCGTGTCTGGCTCGTTTTTCTTTCTTTTCGTGTCTATGCGGTCTCGTATCACCCCTGTTCGGGCGTTTGTTATTACTGTTAAATTTCTATCTTTGCGACCTCCTTTTGAGAGCCGTCGGGGTTCTATTACCCTTCCCTTCTGTTCGGGTTTCCTTTTCTATCGGAATGAGTACTCCCGCTGAGTACCCAACCACCCATTGTGGTGTGGGGGGTAACTCGTGGGCTTCGTTCCAATCATCAGTTGTACGACATGGTGGTGGTCAGAAGTCACAAGGCCCCTGCCTTTTTTGGTTTATGCAAGTGGTTTATGGTCTGTGCAGGGGGTACCTACCCCTCACACAGATTCGTCGACTTGGCAAGTCTATGCAAGGCCTGAAGCGAGATAAGGACACGCCAGGGTCCCCATCAACAGCCCGGCACCTCGGCATTTATGTTTTATGTAGGTCAATCTATGTAAATATGCTTACGGAAAGTCACCCAGTGATAGCCTGGCTTGTGCGTGATTTGATCACACGGCAATTGGCGCTTGTCTTATTCTATATACATACAGTAGTTGCATCAAGTTCCTTCAAATGCAAGTCGGCAGATGATCGCTTCCCCTCTCGACACATCGATGGGATCCCAGACATGATCAAGTCCAAGCTTCCAAGCTTCATGCACTCTCATGAGCGTTGCACCCGACACTGATCCCCCGCTGAATGCGCCGCGGCCCGCGGGATCCAGTCGATCACAACAGCCGCATCAGTGATGGCAATGTCCAGCTCGATCACGTGGACTGTTCCGCAACTCACCTGTCGTTATTGATCGTCCTGTTACTTAACGTTACTTACGCCACTTCTCATGTCGCTAAAAGTTCCCCTCCCGAAGATGCTCAAGTTCAAGAGACGGCTCCACGCTCGCCGAGCTCCGAGCCAAAGCGCCGTTTCATCGTGACAAGGACTGTAAGCGCCTCCCGATCTCTCCCGATCTTGGTGCATGCACGTTCCCTCAACTGCCACAGACTGCAGAGCTGTCATATGTTGCTTCTCAATGCGAGAATCGGGCAGGACAATACCAAGGTTACCGCGCACTGCCGCCACGGATCTGGCGAGTCGGATCCGAACCTTGCCGAGGTGTTGAAGACCTATGCAGCATCTATTGGGTGCTTCGCCAGTCTCTTGGGGGACTATTCGGGTATACACAGGACCCCGCGCCCATAGCATGCCAAAGCAAGCTGTGGCGCGACATACTTCTGATAGCGTTCTATTCTCAAAATTGCTGGACACTGGCCGATCAAGACTGCACCGTCCACCCCCTTGCCCAATTCCTTAACAGTCGTGATCTGGTTCGAGCTCCCGACTCATAGGCGCTCAGGCTTTTTGGGGGGTTTCTCGACAGTGCCACAGAGGAGGGCTCACAGCGGAATTTTCGGTGAGGCAAGATTCTCGGCCTCTTTTCGGTCATGGGCTATTTTCCGGCGTCCTTGGATGCGACGGGACGAGGAAACGCGTACTGCTGTTTCTTACTTCCGTACAAAGCCGATCAATCCAATGGTTTCCGAAGACGTTTCGTGATAACGGGCCACAGCACATACCAGGGCAACGAGCGACATAGAGCCGCACAATTTCTTTTTTCATTCTTTCAGAACTATACATTTGCTCCGGGGTGTCTAGCCAGCTCAGAATCAGGACAAACTCGATTCGAAATTGATGGGACTGGAAGACTTGACTTTGCACTGCTCACACGACCTGTCCGATCTTCGCCCTGCCGTTGGCAGGCCTGAATAAAGCAAGCTGGCCCCCCGTGGACTTCTCGTTCCAAATTCAGAACGTGGTCTGCGCTCACGGGTTCCCAAATCCATGTGGATGGCTCGTATCTTCCCCACAGCATACATCCCGCGCCATTCAACCGGCCGAACTGAATCCTCATGCCCTAATTGTTCTGTATGTGGAGTCTATCCGTAATCTGTGACAAACGGGGCGCTACTTCCCGAGAACGGGAACATCCATCGTACTCAAGCGATGTCATACATAAGGTTCACAGGGTGGGATGGAACCTGGTCCCACTATCTACCTCAGGGTAAGCAACAAGGTCGGTTGGTGGCTGCAGGCCGAACCCGCAGCTCTACAGCTCCTGAAATCTGCCGAGTTCTATGCCTCGGTATGATTACCACTCCCGTCGATGGCAGCGCGGATGGCTCCGATTTCTTTCACTCAGGGCACTTCGCAGTCCGGCACCCTGTTTCCCTCCGGCGGCACCTTGCTATCCACCTCCCTGACCGACCGTTTCCGTTGAAGACTGGGAAAGCATGCTCTGTCTAGCATAGACAGACAGGAGAGCGGGAGAATCTTGCGTAATCGATGGAACATTCCCAGGTCCCCCGCCGGACTGGATATGCTGTCGAATTGCTTTCGAGCTCAACATAGCCTGATCCAGCAGCGATGAGGTATCTCGCTTTCACCTGCCACCTGATCCCGGGCCCCAAACTCACGCTGCTGTGAATGCTGTAGTTTTCCTGCACCATTTAAATTGCTCCGCAGAAGACTCTATCTTTCACCCCACCCAAGGACGTCACCTTGACTACCACACTGCACCCCCACTGCACTGCGACTCGGCAGGACCTAAGTATGACCAGTGGCCATGCAACAGATGACGAGATCACCGTGACCATCGACGAGTCACCGCTGTCAGTGCCGCCCCTCTTGTCTTACGCCATGACTGACTCTCCTTCACAGCGAGCCGCGTCCAGAATACGATGATTTATTTTACAATTGCTCACGCTTTGGGGCCATCCGCGGCTATAGTCCGACTCAGAACTCGCCGCAGACATTGTCTCCATGTCCGACGCCGTCTCCCAGCGAATCATCGAATGTCTCGCTGCGACGGCGGACCCCATCCCCGAACCTCTTCTCTTCTTCTGGGTCTGACAGTGGGATGGCGCATGCGCAATATGGTCGGTATCTTGATGTTTCCTCCCCGATCCGCTCGCTGGGAGCTCACAACGGGTACTCCACTTGGGGCCACTCTTCCGTACGTCCTCTCACCTGGCGATTCGTCTATTCATCGTCTTCCAGTCGGTCAACAGTCTCACCGACAATCTGGAAACGAACCTGTCCTTTGCACTGAAGCCTCTGGCGCATGTAGATTGGCCTCACGATTCCAGCCTGTCTCGTGTCGAAGACGGAGCATCTGGTCAGTGGATTGTGTATTTTCTTGCGACCTCGACCTCATAAGATGAACAGACTGGCAAATACAGCAACCCTATCCACGACATCATCTGAGCCTATCCTTCGAGGACGCACTATGGGGTAGCGAAGCTTCATACTCTGCGGTGCGTTTCTACTTTACCCCCCTCGCTCTGCTGACCTGTTTTTCAGGAAGACGCAACGAATGAACTGGGTGGCATGCCTGTACCCCTCCTCACCGGTCACAGCGACCACGAATTGGGTATTCAGCCTCCGCCGGAACTCTTTCCCTGGCCTCCTCCCAGCCCGTCTGGACCAGATGCTTCTGTCGGGTTCACCGGTAGACAGCCCGACATCGAATCGCATTACTCACACTCTCCGTCCGGTGCAGTGGCAATTTCTGCTGGACCCAGTGCTGCCGCTCCAGCCTCATTCGATGTGTCATCCCACCCGGGACCCAGCAATTTCTTCAAGGCAATAGTCGGAAGCGCAGCCCACATTACAGCTGCTTTCAAGCGGAGGAAGGTGGCCGCCGCATTTGTGTGTCCGGTCTGTCAGCAAACGTTGACGGCGCAACACAATCTGGGTAGTATGGGGGTTCCACGATGGTGTCGCGCACCTTTAGCTAACCAAGGACGCCTTGCAGATCATATCAAGGCTCATAATGGACACAAGGAGCACTGTCCACACTGCGGACGGTCATATGCCACCGTAGGCAACGTGAAGCGCCATTTGAAGAAATGCGAGGTATGTCGTCGCTCAACAAGTGCGGAAGGTACTTACCATTGACTGCTCGCAGAAAGCACCCAACCGCAAGATGTGAACTAAGCACTTCGCTATCGGCCCTGTGTCAGGGTTTCTGTGAGAACAGTGTGTCGCAGATAGCTGCACTGCGGATCTTTTCACTGATATCTTGTTCCAGATGGACGGTGTGAATTGTGCCTGGGCTTCTTTCTGTCAGATCCTTCTTTTATTGGAGCCCGCTGCTATAAGGTGGACAACTGTGTCTGGGAACTTTGTTTTCGATTAAATTACAATAACAAGATCGCCACTGTTGATTCCAGTCCCTGTACAATTTCTGGTTTAATGATACCTAGGACTTCGGATTCTTTCTTTGACAAGCTCGACATCATCTACGACTGAGGAACGAGGAAGCAAGCACTTATCTTTCTGATCCGCCAAGTTATTTTTGTATACACCCCCAGAACGAACGCTGAGATCAATGGCATGGCATGCACCCCCACTACATCCTTTCTCTCCTTCTTAGGATCCTAGCAGTGTTCGTTTGTGGCTCAGCCAGCTGACGATTGAGGGCAAATTCAATCAACGTTCATGTTGAGGAACCCTTGACGTGCACGTCACGACTGTGACGTAGTGCACATGTATGGAAACCCGGAGAGGTCTGCTCATGTCAAGTGGTTATGCGACGGTGATCATTGATAAGCGATGTCAAGACCCCGGAGCCATCACACTAAGCGACATTACGAGCACACAGACTGATAGATTCAACAAATACCACCACTGAACAAAAAAAAAAGCCAAATGGAATCGCGCACGTAGGCGCCCAGTGCTCGCTCCAATTCCAAATCACATGATGTCGAATTCTGTAAGATACCCACAATCCACCCTCGACAAACATCACGTGGCGTTATGGTCACACGTCCGCTTTCATCTCACGCAAATGATGCACTGTAGATGCTCGAGGGAATGCGAGCCGAGGAACTTGTCAAAATGTAGACATGCCTATACGGCCCTATAGAATATTCAACACATGTCATTGGTGACTGTTTGAGACCCACTCGAGCACCAGAGTGCATATCTCATGCCCAGTGTTGCCGCGGTCCAGTTCGGTCCGGCTTTCATCAAATTTTCTGAACCTTGAACCAAACCTGGGGTCCAGTTCAGGTTCGGCCAAAGTGGGTGAACCGGACCTGCGGTTCGGTTCCTTCCGGTCAAGTTCAGGTTTGAACCCGGTTTGAACCTTGAACCTCAGAGCAAAAGAAGAAGAAAAAAACACACAAAACAACTATATCCATTCGGGAGAAGAGGTATGCGGCACAGAGTGGTCCGAGAGCTCGGTCCCAGCAGAAAGACCACGTCAGGGCTTTGCGGTGAGTTTCAGAGATGGTGGAACAGCAGGAAGCGAGTCTGCATGGTCGGGATCTTTGTACCACTCGAACTCGTCGGCTGGGAGAAGCTAGTCATCGGGGCCCAATGCGCACAGCTCATCGGACATGGTAAACAAGGTGTAGAGGAACAACCCAGATGAATGACTGACCTGAATAGAAAAGCTGATCCCGACCTATTCACTCTATGTTGCCATCTATATCGACACATCGCAGCATGCTGATAAGCTAATCCAGCTTGATCTGGAAAAATGATGGTCAACGACAGGCATGGCACGCTGTCCTGGCCCACAGAGTGCCATCGTTGATCATAGTGGTGTCACCATATGGAGATTCGACATCACTAGCGTGGAATTTAGGCGCCCAGATTGGCACCCGAGTGTACTAGAGTTGTTATGGTCAAGTTTTGCAGCCTCAGAGAGAAAACTCGATGACACGCTGTCGAGTACATGGGGAAAAGCACCCTCAGATGCATAGTTCTGAGCTTATTCCACGAGATAAAAACTCAGATTTGAACGCGTTCGGACGCGTCCAGACTTCTTCGTCCCCACCTGAACCGTGAACCGAACCATCCGGAGTTGGAGAGTTTGGACGCGTCAGATAGTTGCAAAACGATAGACTCGAGGCTGGATACACGATGTAAAAGCTCGTCAATTGTTTCTGCCGTTGTTCCGGAGCTGGAGCTAGGGTGTGCAAGTCAGAAGACCAGGCAGTCTTGGCCACATATGTTGCGCACGCACCTGTCAGTTAGTGCCGGGTAAATTTCCCCCTCGTAAATTACCAATGATACAATACATGTAACATACGTGTAAAATACCATTTTTACCAAGTGACCTCCAGATGGGGCGTATTCAAATGTATTTTTTGGCCATCGGCCGCAGCTTTTCGGGGACAAGTCCAAAGATTATTTTTCTGCATTTGAATAGGTGACAGTGCTACTTTCCCTTGCGCCCCCGCCCCCCCCCCCCCCCCCCCCCGTCACAGATGATGCAAACAGTCCGCTCGTCCAATCTCTCGCGAATCTCAATTGAGACGTATGTCAATCTGGAGGCACGTGGATTACTCGATCGCCTCCATCCCACCGAGCAGAAGTCCGGAGATGCATCCAAGGTGACAGCGGGCAAGCGTCCGCAGCGGGCAGCGCTGTCAAAGCATGCTTGGAAGCCATCGGACGCTGCTTGGTCCGCGAGCGATGTCTCATGGTAATTTTACATTATTTACCAATTTTACATGCATAAAGTACGGTAAAATACAGTAAGATGCCGGAATTTTGGGGCCGGTAAAATACAAAAGGTACATACGTACGCTATACAGTACAGACGGCCCCTCCAGAGCCGGCCGTAATATACATAGCAAATATGAACTATCGGTTCTGTGTGCTCGTAATGTCGCTTAGTGTGATGGTTCCGGGGTCTTGACATCGCTTATCAATGATCACCGTCGCATAACCACTTGACATGAGCAGACCTCTCCGGGTTTCCATACACATGAGCTGGCTGCGCTTACCAAGTTACTTCCATCTCTCGGCCACTTGCCACACCCCGTAGCGACAAGGGCTAGACCGAGGAGCAGCTTCCTTCGTTTTTCCCCATGTCAACATCTCGTTCGTGCCGGAAAGATCACGAAATCCGAACGAACAGCGTACAAATTCCCCGACAACAGAGATCGGATGTGTCTCTAAACGCGCCAAGTTCACGGACCACGATCCCACGTTCCACCGCCTGCTGGACCTGCCGCACCACACGGGCCGGATCTATCGCTGCACCCTCCCCACCCTCCCGACGTGGTGCAACGCCAGCACTGCGCTCCTCGGCAACGTGGCTCATGGGAAGCTGCTGTTCCTTGCCCATGGCTCCACGATGGCAATCGGGAACGCGGGGGTCCTCGCGGGGCTGCTGCCCCTTGGCACCACGCGCGAGGACGTCCCTCGGCGGCTTGTCGCGTGGCAGGCTCCGTTCGCTTTTTTCTTCGGTCAAGAGAGATATGGCGTTGATACGTACGGTGAAGTCAAAGGCGATACGCGCTGCAAGTTGCTCGAATACGATGCGATTGCAGCTGCGTGGACAGGCTTATTAGGACCAGTTTCCCGACGGGCAGAAGCTCCATGTACATTTGGAATAAGATAGCTCCCCGGTCACTGAGGCATATGTCCCTCAGGAATAGAGTGAAACGTGGTCCAAAAATGGTCACTTTCTCCTTCGCAAGATAGAAGTAAAGATCGCCCGGGGCATTTCTAGATACTTCTGGCCGGTTTACGACCAGCTGAGTGTCAATCGGGTCGAATAAGACGAGCATTCGGTCGAGTATCTCATCACACTGGTGAATTGTGTATCGAAAAAGACTTGAGCTTATCTAGATCCAGCTCTGCGGCAATGAATTGGCAATCCCTTGAAAGATAGGTCAAAGAAGGTCTGAGAGCGCAACATTTGGAGTAGATCTTGGATAGGCTGAGGGGGCATATGCTCGGTGACTGGGACGGAATGATATACTCTTCGAACACAGGCCCAAGCGACAGAGTTATATGGGGAACAGTACGAAATTTGATGGAGGGATAGACTATATGAGCAGTGGGTCATGCTGGAAAGAGAACAGGTAAACGGGGCAAAACAGTTGATTGGAGTGGGATTCGAACCCACGCCCTTTCGGACTAGATTGCCAAGAGGCAAATTCTACTCGAACATTCAAGTTAATCCTTAGTCTAGCGCCTTAGACCGCTCGGCCATCCAACCAGTAGCAAGAGATTGGCAGTATTCTCTGTTATTGATGCCAAGCAGTCAGACAATCAGACTGAGCTCATTGTAGAAAAATACCCATTGCATACTTTGCTTGTGCTTAGCCTCTGTCATTTTCTTGAAGGCAAAGCAGGAAATCATCTCCCAGAGGTTTCTGAACAAGGGCAATTTCTCGACAAAATTCAGACGGTAATTGGTCACGTGACACAAACTTCCATCTCTGCCAAATCTGCGCAATTTGCTATCAAGTATTGTTACGAACATGTAGCTTAGTTGGAACATCTTCTTGAGCCTTGTAAGCCAGCTGCATACCTTCAGTGGCACTGGGTAGTGAGTGTCCACATGGGATGCACAATGCCATTTTGCTAACATTTTCTTCCCTAGGAGACCGGGAGAAAGGCACCAACAAACATACCTTCATCACACCCAAACAAATACGGATGGAAAGTCTCGCCTTCTAATTGCAATGATCACAGATCGGGAAAATCACGAAAAACTGGAGTACGAAACAATACAAATGGCATCAACGTGGATTGAACACGTGACCTGTAGATATGATGCAAGCATGCTTCAGTCTATCGCTCTCCCAGCTGAGCTATGACGCCGATATTTCGGACCCTTGGGCTACGATACAAACGTGAACTGTCGGTTCCTATTGGCCCACCCTTCCTGGACCAGACATCCCAGGGTGCTCAGGGCCGGACCGGGCAGCGGAATTCTTCTACCGTTGCAACACTGTCCACATCCAGTTTGCACCAGTTGGAATCTGCGATCTGTATGTACTGCCTTTACGCCTCGCGGCAATAACGAGGACATCTGGACCGGCGCCGTATCTCCCTCAGAGCTGTATGCGCGGTGTCTATAGGATCTCAAAGTCTAATGAACGTGCAGTGCCCGGGTACCGCTTTCTCGAGGCTTCGCGGATGTCCGAACCTTATTTTCTAATTTAGACGCAATTCTGGGTAGACAGATGATCATCGCTCTCTGTCGCAAGTGCTCTTCAAACCTATCAAACCAAGCCTCTAGTACTTATGCCCGAAGTTTCTCTCTTGCCCCTATCGCGAGACCAGCGCAGTTCCTCCACCGGGCTTTGATTTTTCCTTAAAAATTCCACGCGCTGTCTATTTTACCAAGATGTTTGGGATCACACAAACTTGAAGCCTCCACGGTGCTGCCCTTTACCGCGATCTCATTGCATAGTCGATCGCAATCTACCACAGCTCTGACAACATGTCTTTCCTATCTTCCTGTGCATGAATGGAGGGTCTTGCATGATCGACGTTCCGTCTCGGAGAATATTCTACCTGGCCCCAAAATCATAGAAAGCTTCGGCATCACCTCAGACCGTGCCGCCTTTTTCCCCATTCGGGCCATAACAGCTTTGCTATCCTCTGGTCCAGTCGAGTTTAGGAGTATAAATAGGGCTGTTGTGTTATGTGGTGGGCGAATTTCTTCGCTTTGTCATAAATAAGTCTCCCTCAACGCCACGACGCACCACGATTCCAGTATGCCCGATACCCAATCAACGCATGACTCCATCACTGTCGAGGAGCCACCACTTCGGTCAGTGTCGCTGCTCTAAATTTGCGCCGTGACTGACTTGTCTTTGCAGCGAGCCGTATGGCGGACAAGATTGTGTATATCGAAATCACTCTCGGGCCAGCTGCGACATCAGTCCGATCCACGGCCCATCGCAGACGCCCTCCCCATGCTTACCGTGGGGTCAAAGTTGGACCCCATCTCCCAATGGATCATCTCATAGCTCGCCGCAACCACTGACCCCGTCCCTGAACCCCATTCAATCTGATCTTCCGTATATCAGAGTACACGTCGATGGGGACAGTCCAATGGCACCTGCTCGACCCGGAAAGTATCTGGAGGTTCCTCACCCAGGCCATCTGCAGTGTTATTACGGTACCGGAATGCCCAAGCATACCACCGGGACCAATTCGCCCGTACGTCTTCCTCCCTCCTGACGATCTGTCAATTCATCGTCTTCTAGTCCGCGGACTCCCTCGCCGAGAGTCTAAACATGACTCTGTCCCTCGGAGTGAAATCTCCGGCATATGCATATGCCGATAGGCCTCGCGATCCCCACGAGGTTCACATCCAAGGCGGCGCATCTAGTTCGTGTTTCGCGTTTTTATTTGCACTCCTCCGTCTCACAAGAGACACAGACAGGCAGATACAGCAACCGCGTCCACGACCTCACCCGAGCATATTTTCCGAGAGCTCGCTATTAGGCAGCCCAGTTGTCTACGGCACGGTGCGTTTCTGTTCCCGCACCCCTCGCTCTGTTGATATCGTTGCCAGGCTGGCCCGGTGGGTGGACTGGATGGCACGTCTCCGCCTGTTATCCGGAGTCATAGCGACTACGAATTAGGATCTCAGTCTCACACGAGTCGCTTTCTCGGGCATACTCCCAGTCCGCTTCCACCAGATGGCATTTTCGACTATCCCGGTGGACGGCAAGACGTCGAAATCGGACACTCTTTCTCTCTACCAGGTGCGCACCTCAGTTACCACCGCCATCACCCGGTTGCACCCCCGCGGGGGTCCTCCTGGGTACCCTCAGACGTAGCTCTGAGGGTACCTAACAGGTACCCCCCTGCGGGGCCCGCGGGGGGGATTTGGTCCATTTGGGGGCGGGGGCATATGCGGGGGTCAGCAGGGGGGGGTCTGTACATGTCATGTGATTTATCATTGGGAGCGGGCAGGTGGGCGCGAAAAAAAAAATGAATCACATGACACATCCAATGGGCGGGATGGCGGCTGATGGCGGGGTAAAAAAATCACGTGATGCACCGCATGAAAATTATCAAAAATGGCTAGCAGGGGTTGGCGGGGGTTGGCGGGGGCGCTACTGGCCCCCCGCACACCATGGCGGGCAGTGGGCGCATTATCACGTGACTTTTGGGGCACCTTTTGTGCACCATTCGGCATGATTTCGGAGGTGTTGCTTGATCCATTGCATGCTGGGGCAGACAATGGGCGCATAATCACGTGATTTTCCGCCCAAAAAAATGGAAGCCTTCCCCAAATCATCCTGGTATCATTTCTATCGGTAAATACACTAGTTAAGCATGAATTTGAGCTTAGAAAGCCCAAAATGCACCCTGCACAATGGGACTGGTGATGCACTTGATCCCATCATTTGGCGGGGTCTGCTGCGGGGGGTGCCACGGGGGGTGCTGCGGGGGGTGCTGCGGGGGGTGCCGCAGGGGGTGCCACAAGGGGTGCCGCAGGGGGTGCCGCAGGGCCCGCTGTGGGGTCAACCACAGGAGCAGGGGTAGGGGTGCATTGCATCATATTTTGATCTATCTATTCTCGCTGTGGTCATAGCATGCAGCATAATTATCCTTCATTTTGCCAGGAGTTTGGAGGCTGTGTCTGGGGTTGGTCTGCAGCTACAGCCATGTGACTCCCTGATGCTTTGGCAGGGGCTGGGATATCAAAACTGTGCAAATTTACCTAAATCTTTTGGCTTGGCTTGGGGCACTGATATATATGACTTGGTTCATTTTAGCATGGTCTGCTCAAGCTGTCAGGTCAAACTAAAAATTTGAAAAATGTGCAACTTGATTTGTTAGGCAAATCTCCCAAGTACATGCTCCAGGGACAGCCAACATCATCAACAAGAAATGGCTAATGTTTCTTTTCTTTGTCTGTTTGCTTCAGGTAGTCTGTCTGCACTCAAATTTTTCTCTCCATTTGCAGCATATTCCGTGGAGGTGTCATAATTGTTGATTTCCGGATTTCATACTTCTTGTCTACACACCATTTGGGCCCTTTACTGAATCCAATAATACTGTAGACTCTTACAATGGATTGAGCAGGACATTTGTCAATTAAATCCTTGCAGGGGTTGGGGGGGGGGTCAACCACAGGGGGTGCCGCGGGGGGTGCCACGGGGGGTGCCGTGGGGGTGCACAAGCATCTGCCAGCCTACCAAATGTGGATCAACTACAAAATCACTTTCCAAAGCTTCTGTACTGCAACCCAAGTGACTTCTAGGTAACCTTTACCCAATCCCAGTGAAACAACTTCACTGCTCTTGTTTCTGGGTGACAATTGATTTTATGAGCTTGAGTGTGTATGCACCCTTTTTAGTGGGAAATGAGGCCATGTGATGAGAGGTAGGGCACCGAAACATTGTAAAATACTATATTCAACATGACCGGTGGCCCATGTCTCTTCAAACCAGCCCATATCTCATGTTTATCAAGACCCTATTTTTCGGACTCATTTCAAGTTTTTGAATAGTTCCAGGGTCCAGGGCTCTCAGAATTTGTTTCAGACACTGCCAAAGAGTATATCATTCAGCTGTATTGAATTGCTTGTGTGTAGAAAAAATATTTTTTGCCATACCCAAAGTGAACCATGTTGAACCATTGTCTACATAGGAACCTTGAGCAATGGTGAACTCTTTTCATGTTTCGAATTTTAGGTGGACAAATGATATGAAGTATCTACATATTCAATAAGAATAGCAGAAGGAGACCTTATTCCGATGGTTTTCAGCTGCATAACTGTAGGAACAGTGTTAGAAGAGCAGTAAACACTTAGGTACGACGTTTATACAGGTTCTGATTGGCTAGTGACTTGACGTGTTCCGAGCTGTCAGTTTACATAATCTTACATATAAGAAAATCACGGGGACAAGGCACCGGTGCAGCGGGGGGTGCTAGACTGGCGGGGGTGCCGGCGGGGGTGCCGGCGGGGGTGCCGGCGGGGGTGCCAACAGGGGTGCCGGCGGGGGTGCCAATGGGGGTACCAGCAGGGTGCAGGCAGTGGGTCATGGCAAGGATGTGTGCAGCCCCAGAGGTAGGAAAAGTAACCATCTATGTCTCTACAGTCTATCTTGCAAATATACGAGCTCTGAGTGCACAGAGTGTTGTATATGAAATTTGAAATTCAAATATTACCAATCTCTGACTATTGTGAGGCAACTTGCTGGTGAATCCATTGTCTCATATTCCACCTAGGAATCAATTCAGGGCATGTCAAATCCACTCTATTACATCTGTTCATGTTGCAACTAAAGCAAACTGCTTGTAAAGTAACACAGAACAGATGAACTTCAATGAGTCCCAGACAGGAAGTGTGACATTAGGTGCATAATTAACGTGTGGTATTATCCACTGGGTAAGATTAGACTGTGCCTACAGCATGATCAGTTTACCAATGGGCATGTGTATAGAATGAGCAGACGAAACAATCAATGAATTGACAGTGGACCCGATGCAGCCCATGATGTCAGCCCACCTACCCTGCCAGCCAAAAAATGAACAAATCACACTTTCTTTTTAACCCTACATGCCTGGATTATGCAGACAATATTGCACAGTTTTGATATCCCAGCCCCTGCCAAAGCATCAGGGAGTCACATGGCTGTAGCTGCAGACCAACCCCAGACACAGCCTCCAAACTCCTGGCAAAATGAAGGATAATTATGCTGCATGCTATGACCACAGCGAGAATAGATAGATCAAAATATGATGCAATGCACCCCTACCCCTGCTCCTGTGGTTGACCCCACAGCGGGCCCTGCGGCACCCCCTGCGGCACCCCTTGTGGCACCCCCTGCGGCACCCCCCGCAGCACCCCCCGCAGCACCCCCCGTGGCACCCCCCGCAGCAGACCCCGCCAAATGATGGGATCAAGTGCATCACCAGTCCCATTGTGCAGGGTGCATTTTGGGCTTTCTAAGCTCAAATTCATGCTTAACTAGTGTATTTACCGATAGAAATGATACCAGGATGATTTGGGGAAGGCTTCCATTTTTTTGGGCGGAAAATCACGTGATTATGCGCCCATTGTCTGCCACAGCATGCAATGGATCAAGCAACACCTCCGAAATCATGCCGAATGGTGCACAAAAGGTGCCCCAAAAGTCACGTGATAATGCGCCCACTGCCCGCCATGGTGTGCGGGGGGCCAGTAGCGCCCCCGCCAACCCCCGCCAACCCCTGCTAGCCATTTTTGATAATTTTCATGCGGTGCATCACGTGATTTTTTTACCCCGCCATCAGCCGCCATCCCGCCCATTGGATGTGTCATGTGATTCATTTTTTTTTTCGCGCCCACCTGCCCGCTCCCAATGATAAATCACATGACATGTACAGACCCCCCCCTGCTGACCCCCGCATATGCCCCCGCCCCCAAATGGACCAAATCCCCCCCGCGGGCCCCGCAGGGGGGTACCTGTTAGGTACCCTCAGAGCTACGTCTGAGGGTACCCAGGAGGACCCCCGCGGGGATGCAACCGGGTGATGGCGGTGGTAACTGAGGTGCAGGTGCGACCGCACATCTTCCGGGACCCGTCCCCCCTCCCCCATCCTCATTCGATTGGTCGTCGCACCCTGCTTCATCATCACACTCAGGATCCCTCCATGGCTTCAAGGCGAGGGTCGGAAGCGTGGCCCACGTTCAAGCTACTGTCAAGCGACGGAAGGTGAAGCAGGCCAGATTCGAGTGCTCGATCTGTCAGGAATCATTCACCGAGAAGCATAATCTGAACAGTTTGGCCGTTCCACGACTGTGTGTCGCACACATCTAGCTAACCAAGTCAACCATGCAGATCACTACGACGCTCATTTCGGTGTCAGAAAACACTGCTCATATTGCGCACGGACGTATTCCACCCAAGGCAGCGTGAAGCGTCATTTGAAGCAATCCAAGGCATGTCGCCGTCAACACAGTCGGGAATTCGCCACTCGCTGCTCGAAGAGAGCACCGGACCGTCACAAGCTTTGATGTTCTGCTATCGGATTCGTGTGCAACTTAAGGAGGACGGAACTCTTACTATCGAAGATGCCATCAACTTATTATTGAAAATACCATCAGACAAACTACAGAATATCCGAGGCGTAGAATGATTTTTTTAGGACCAGGACCTTTTACATGTAACACATATTCTCTGATCATAAGCACGTGCTGAAAGACCTTCCCTTCTCTCAATAACACAGGTTGATTGAATATTGTGCATGTTTCGTCTCCGCATGTGTCCCAGACCGGGAATGATCAGATTACACTGATCTAGATTCTACAATCTAAAGCTGCACTCCTTCCAATGGCATCGACGTGGACTGAGCACGTGACCTATACTGTAAATGAGACGCAAACGATGCTGCAGTCCATCGCTCTCCCTGCTGAGCTATGACGCCCGCGAGAACCTAATTCCAGGTTCTACTCATGATGATCGGAAGCTTGTATGTCAGTTTCTAAAAACAAGAACTTCTCTTTGAAACCAGCTCCGGGAAGACCTCCCATGATCAGTCCTTGCACCGACCAGTTCCCCTACTTGAGAGAGAAGAGCGATGATGAACGCCCACCATGACCTCTCACACTGTCACACGACGCGTCGTTTTCGAATTGGACCATAGTCTGAAAGGACTCGGGTGTGCTTATAGACATAGCCGCGCCCGTTTTCGTTTCTGCGCGCGCTGCATTTGAACACGTGACCGCGTCCCGGCACAGCGAATGAAATGGCGGACAGTGAACGGGCCCTTGTTCGAGACCGGTCGGCCTGCTGTCCGCGACAGCTCGCACGCGGCGCAACGAGCGCCGTGGCGGAAGGCAAGGACGCAGTAACTAATGACAACGGGTGCACTCGGGAGCAGGTCCGGAACGTATGGATATGCATTTGAGGTGCAGCGCGTACCCGTGCATGGACCGTGCCAGTAGCAGATGCAGGGTCTTCCGGACAGGTGCTCTTAGTACCCAGGTATCGGGTCTACGGTGTGTGAGATAGTCCGATCTGCCACACCAGGATTCCACGCGTCGAGCTATCTCTACGAGTGGCTACTCGTCACGCAGAGTGCTTTGGAGTTTTTGCCGATTTCTATTCGTTCTTATAGATTCGCTCTTCTGTTTTCTCGGACACAGAGGAGAGCGGGCAGGGAAGACAGAATACGCTTGAAGAGACAAGAGACTAGGATCGTCACGTGTCGATTCGGCACCATACATGCTCAGATCGCCAGTGGCCACTGGTCGCACAATGTGTCCATTCGTTTGTGGAGACTCGCAGCGGAGTGCGGTACAGATAGTATGTGTTGGTAGTAAGTAGATAACAAGTAGATTCTATCGCATATCGCGGTCCCAGTAGTTTGCGCCGCCTACATGAACATGAACTTGAGGCTTCATTGATTATTTGCTTTGCACAAAGCGCTTTCAGCAATTGCCAAAGACGGGAGGACCGCTGTTGTCGGGCTCGATCATCAACTGAGGCAGGAGGACATCATCATCAAATCGTGTCCAGGATGTGGAGATGCAAACGTGCGCGCACCTTGACTGTCTGCAGGGTCGTGTACGCCGCCGCGACGAGACCGAACACGATCATGGCGATATCAGCAGCCTTTTTACGCGGCGTGTCGGCACACGCCTTGAAATGCAGCATCGCCGGGTACACGTAGCACAGCGGGACACTATGTAACAGTGCTTGAAATCAGAAACAGCACAGGAAGGGGCGGAGCATCCAAACACCAGCAACGCACCAGGCAAAGCATCCAATGAACGCAACGAACTTGTCCAGGTCCGCAGCCCCGAGCCAGCTGAGGAACGCCGAGAGGAAGACGATCGTGAACCGGAAGATGTTCTTGGACCACTTGACACGGAAGTCGACCTTCCCGCTGCGCGTGAAGATCCCATTCTCGATGATACGGATGGCGGGGAACAGTTGCAGAGGCACCGACAGCATGATCGCGAGCGAGTAGATGAATTGCACCTGTGGAGAGTCAGCACTACGCAAGGCTACAGAGAGTGTGGAGAAGGACGTGCAGATTGGACCATCTTGCTCGAGGCATCGAGGTTGACCAGAACAACAGTCTGCACTTCGGATCCAAAGGTCATGTAAGCAAGAGCACCAGCGCCACCAAAGAGGACTAGTGTGTATTAGCATGTATTTTGAGATGGTCACCCGCAAACACCCACCGAGGACACCGAGCATGACACCAGTGAGGACCTTGGGGAACTTGTGCGGCTCGCGCATAGCGTCTGTAATAGGGATAACCATTCCAACACCCTCGAACGAGAACACGGCAACGCTGGGAGAAGATACTTCAGCATCGGGTAAACCAGAGAACGATGAGGACCAACCCAACAAAGAGCGAAAAGTCCTTGGGATTGAACAGAGCTACATCCGCTATTCCGCGCTCGGCCACGATCGATATCTCCGAGCCAAAGATGTACACCAGGCCGACGAGGATGAATCCATCCGCGACCAACGCAGTGGTACTCAATTTGGCCAAGTCCCGGAACAGAACGAGCGGCAAGAACACGACAGTCTGCGCCAGAATCAACCAGTGGAGCGGCACCAGCGTCAGACAGTGCGTAATGCCCATGATCAGGGCTTGCAGATTCTGTGATACGAAGATGATGTACGCCGCGACGAATCCGATTTGCGAAACGACGATGGAGCCTAGAATGAGGTAACGCATCCACGGTCCGTAGAGAATTCCGCCGATGTCACCGAAACTGCCAGAAACGACGAACTTGGTATAGACGAGGAGCAGGAAGGAGTACAGCGAGATCAGAGCGATGAAGACGAACAGCAGGGACGAGAAAAGGATTCCTCCGTTGAAGAACCTGAGACAGGGTGTCAAGAACGAACAATAAATCTGCCAGAAACAACACGCACGCTTTTCCCAAAAAGAGCACGCCAGTGCCGACAAATGCTTTCAGCAGCTAGTGATATTGTCAGAGTCTTTCTGTCACAGCAGATGGAAACTGACCATGAGCACGGCTTGGGGAACGGTCGCCGTTCCATGGGGACCCCGAGAAGTCGATGTGCGCCGACGGGCGTGAGCACGCCTTGACTTGGTCACAGTGCGAGCACCAGAGGAGGTGCCCAGGAGCGGTTCGTTTTCATCTGGTGGCCCGGCGGCGGCAGCTTCGGCATCCTCTTCGTCTTCTTCCCCTTCGTCGTCCTCCAAGTCTTCTCCAGCCTGCGAGGGGTGTTCAGTTGAGGGGGTCGAGAACGATTGAGCGTGTAACTCACAAAGTGTCCGAAGATGTAGAGGAACTCGATAAAGTTGTTGAGGATCGGCGGCTGATCTTCCCCACGTTCGCTGGCACGCAGGAGCAGATAGTTGCGACGGAAGCCACCTGGCTCGTGGATGTGCTCGAACGCCGGGTGCTGTGCCGTCGACGGCGGGAGAACGACCGAGTGCGACCGCGTGCGCGCGGCGAGCCTGCGCTGGTCCGACTGCCACTTGTAGATATCGTGACTATCAGCATGTGCTATCAGAAAAAGTCAGATCTCCCAGATAAAGGACCGACGCACGTCACATCGGCTCCCGGGGCGTGGTACGGAATAGGGAACGTCTCGGGCTCCGCCTCAGCCTCCCTCGGCGCCTGAGGCGCCCGGAAGGACGAGCGTCTCGAGCTGGGTCCGCCCACCGGAGCTTCGACATCGGACGACGCAGCGCCACCCGCGGCAGCCTCGCGCTCCTGCTTCGACACCAGATGCAGGCGCAGCACGCGGGCCTTCTCCTCGTCGGTCAGCTCCTCCAGGTCGATGTTGGGCGTCGCCGTGGTGTTGCTGTTGCTCCGCTCGGTGCGGGGCTGCAGAGCGGGGCTCGCGCTGCTGAATGAGGCAGGCAGGCCCAGCGCCGCTGAGGCGGGCGAGCCCTGCATCGATACGTCCGGGAGAGGGCGCACGCCCGGTGCCGGGGAGGCTGAGCCTGGCGCGCGGAGGGGGATATTCGGCGGTGGAGGGGTCCCTGCGTATTGGGCCCGTAGGGCGCGGAGCTCGGGGGTGCCGTACGTCGTGGAGAACGAGCCTGAGACGCCGTCTATGGGCTCCGCACGGGGACGCCCCGCTATGGTGACGGGCTTGGATGGAGTGGTCATGATGGCGAAGAGAAACTGAGTCTCAGAGTCAGAGTGAGATTGGAAGAGTGCGCGTCCATTCCACGTGCGATTTTGCCGCGGCATGCGGGATTTGTGATTTGCAGCGCGTGGCGGCCCTACCAGATAGTCGACGTAATCTTGCATCCTTGTGCGCAGTCTTTTTATATGAGACAAGTGTGGAGGACGCTGGGGAGTGGGTTTCGACGCATAAAGCGAACTACACTCGTAGCACTAAGCTACTCTGCCATAACGTCCAGGGCACATCGATGAGAGCCGAGCAGACTAATGGATCCCATCACCATTACTGAGCAAGCTATTTTGGCACTGCGAAAGGCCACGCTTCCTTCTGTCCACCCACACCCAGCACCATGTACTGCGATCCCATCCCGGTACGATCGACCAACCGTTGCCCGGAGTCTTCTATGGCTGTCTTTTCCTTGGCCGACGACAACCGGCTAGCAAGCGTTTCCACTCGCAGCTTCAAGCCCATGGCTTCTAGGAAGTCCGCCTGAGTTATAGGTCCATGGGTTGGAACTCCATCGTCCATCAGAACATGCCATTTCACCGACAGCAGGTCCATACCTAAATCCTGCACAGACTCGACCAGATACGAAAAGTCCACATTCGCCGTCAGATCGCATTCACCCGGTGCATGGAAGATGTCCACCAGCTCGTGGTTCTTGAAAGCCTGTCAGGAGCAAGTCAGACAAACGCAAGTCTCCAAATATGCACGGCTGACCCGGAAAGACTGGTCGGACGCGCCTGCAGACCCGTAATCCACAATCAGACCAGAACCCCGCCCGTTGATGAGTTCTCCGATGGCACGCATGATCCGGAAGCCGACGGGAGACACCTCTACTCGGGATCCAACAGGCAGCTGCTGGAAGCGAGACGAGGACAGGCCAAGGAGCATCGACGCGGCGGTGGGCTCTGGGGTCATCACATAGCGGAACTTGTCGTCTCCCTCAGTTTCGTTCAGTGCAATCAGAATCTCCTGCCAGCCCTTATCCGTCCTCTGCAAAAAAATTAGTGACTGAATGTCCATGAGAAACCAGAGCAACTGACCTGGATGGTATGGATCGGGAGAGCGTCGAAGAATTCGTGGGCAAGAACCATCGTGTACTCTTCGCTGCTGGGAGGAACACGCTCAATAGAGTCATGCCATTCGAGCGTGCAACCATATTGCCCAGCACTGGCGGACAGCCGACTTTCTTGTACAGCGCGTAATGTTGGACTCGTTTCGATGAGGTGGACTGCTGTCAGGCGGTCCTTGGCAAATTGAGAAACGACCTGTGGCGAACATACTCGGAAGCTGGGATATGTGATAGACTGATGGACTCACCCTCAGCACATCGTGCATCAAAGTTCCACGTCCTGGGCCGAGCTCAACAACACGAATGGGCAACTGAGAGCTGCTTTGCATCCACTGCGACATTAGCCAGATGCCTAACAACTCGACTACAGCGTTCGTTATTAAATGCTGCAAGAGAGGGTCATTCGTACCTCTCCAAACAGCGAGCTGATCTCCGGGCTGGTCACAAAGTCTCCCTTGGCGCCAAAGATAGCATTGTTAGGGTTCATGTAGTATCCGCGAGTGGGGTGCGAGAGACACATTTGCATGTATGTCGCGAAGGATATGGGGCCAGTCGCCTTGAAATACGGTCAACGCTGGCATTTTGTCTGGACACCTCAGCCTAATACTTTTATTCCATCCGCAATGATCCTCTCGACTGCTATGAGCGGTTTCGGAATCACGGGCGCGTCACTCGACACACATCTCACGCCGCGTTGAGACCACGAAGTCAGAAAGTTTTTCTTCCGGCAGACACGCAGCATGGGTTCCGGGCAGGGGAGTGACTCGGGGTGACCGTGTTCGGAATCAGAGCGTCGGAGCCGTTGGTGAGCAAGAGCGGGGGTGATTGTGACTGGAGTGTGACATCCGATCTCATAAAAAAGTTTCGCGTTCGGGGCTGCCATCCACCACACCCGGCGTCCTCATCTACTAACACATCTACAAAGCCGAAGACAGATCTACGACATCCCCCCTCAACATGGCCACTCGTGCGCAATCCCAATCTCTATCGGCTGCGATAATCTGACAAGCTTCGCCTAGGCATTCAATTCGAAAACCATAGCGATATCGGAGTCTTCTCCAAGCTGACAAACGCTTACTGTCTCGCTGCCATCCAGGGCAGCACAAATTTCTACTCCGCATTCGAGAGTGAGCTCGGCGATGTGATTCCCATCGTCCACACGAGCATTGGCGGGACAAGGATAATAGGCCGGTTAACAGCTGGTGCACACTTTCCTGACTCGTCTAGTCGTTCCAGATCTCACCAATCACATCTTCAGGCAATCGACATGGTCTACTTGTCCCTGCCACAACAACCGACCAGGAGCTGCAGCATCTGCGCAACTCCCTGCCCGACGCCGTGGCGATCCAGCGCGTCGAAGAGCGGTTATCCGCTCTCGGAAATGTGATTGCATGTAACGACTACGTCGCGCTCGTCCATCCCGACGTGGATCGGGAGACGGAGGAGATCATCGCAGACGTGCTGAAGGTCGAGGTTTTCCGGCAAACGATCGCGGACAACGTCCTCGTGGGAAGCTACTGTGCGATCACGAACCAGGGCGGGCTGGTGCATCCGAAAACGAGTGTACAGGACCAGGACGAGCTGAGCAGCTTGTTGCAGATACCGCTTGTTGTGCGTCTTCCCGTGTTCTCGTCCGAGTCTGTGCGCTGACGATCTCAGGCCGGGACCGTGAACCGAGGTTCGGATGTCATTGGAGCCGGCTTGGTCGTCAACGACTGGTGTGCATTCACTGGGCTCGAAACGACTGCTACAGAGATCAGTGTCATCGAGGCGACCTTCAGTGCGTAGTCTAATGATGGTGCCATTTTCGGTTCTCTGACCGACCGCTCTCCCTCCAGAACTCCAGGGTCAGGACTCATCCAAGGTTATCGGCGAGATGCGGGACGCGCTTATCGACAACTGGGCATGAGATATGCTTTACCCTACGGTGTATTTTGTCGAAGATGTGGCGCCTTGTATCGATATTCATGTAACCAGTGGATGTTCCAATGTTCGAATCTCGCAGATGACTTCGTACCTGAAAGACTACAAGAGCTAAGTGCTTGGGATTGTTCCGTCTCATGACGAATCGCAGGCAATAGTTGGTGCGATCCCTGTGACGTCCCGCGTTCCCACATATCTTATTGCGGCGAACTGCTCACACTGCACACATCACATTGGTCGAATCAACTCAGAAACTGGTCTACCACTTCATCGTCTGTCCTTCCGGACAACACTGACCACGCTCCGGTCCCGCCTCGTTTGCCTCACTCTCGAACTCGAATCAATTGTATGACAGGGAAAGATCAGTGCAGGGGCATAAATGGGACAGCCCATGATTCGCGCGAGTTTCGAATGCAAATGGAGCGCCGATTGAAGGGTGGAAGGATTGCTGCCATATTATTCTTTGGCTACTGCGATAATCTAAAGAGTGGCGAAACCGACAGCGTTCTGGTCGACGTCGAACACGGTGTACTGGTTCTTCATGAACGCATCACCAAGTAGGAACACACTAGATCCCAATCCGAGGTCCTGCGCCGCCAGCGACGACACACAAGAGCTCGAGCCCGATGAGGTAAGGCCGAGGTTGAGGTTCGCCGAGGAGATCGTCCAGTCGTCGCCGCCATAGTTGAACGAGATTTGGGGCGGGCTCGAGCATGGATACGAGTAGTAGCCTGGAACAATGATGCGTCAGACATCTCAGGACAACGGCGACGACAGAGCAAGCACGCACCGTTAGTGGAATCGTACAGCTGTGCACCGGGCACCTGGGCGAAGATCTCCTTGACGAGTGCGGGCGGGCCGTACATAATGGTCGTTCCCGAGTCGACAATGGTCTCGAGACCGGAGGTAACAGTGCTGCTGCCGACCTTGACAGATGCACCGGTGACCTGCCAGAAGCCAGACGACGAGGTGATCCCGTTGAACTCGATCGAGCCGGAGTACTTGCTGGTGTCGGTTCCACCAATGTACAGCGACGAGCCGGAGCTGCTGAGGAAGAACCCGAACTGGTTGGCGGAGACGGCGCCCTGGCTGATGGCTGTCTGGAAGTACGGGTTCTGACCGAGATTGGAGATGGCCGGGAATGCGAGACCAAGCAGGCCGTCGGCGGGGTCGCTGGTGAACTCCGACGAGAGGGTCGTCACGCCCGAGAGGTACTGCTGGGTGACAGACACACCGGCGACGGAGACTACAGTAAGTCACGGACGGTGATGAGAGCACTGCCTCTGCGGGTGAGAACGTGGGCTTACCAGTGTCCGTGTAGATGGGCCCAGAGACAGTCGATCCGTCCCCGTACGAGATAGAGAACGATCCGGACTCGGAGGTGGAAGTTGACGACTGACTGGGGTTATACTTGGTCTTGCCCGAGCAGGTTGAGCTGCACGAAGACGAGGGCACCCAGAGGTCGGAAGACCCAGCTGCACTCCGTTAGCGTGTTTCTGATGATCCATTGAGTGCTACTTACTGTCAAAGTCGATGACGAAACGCGTCGCGGGCGTGCCGATGGACACGCTGCCAGTCCACTCTTGCTCCGACTGATCAGTGAGCCCCAAACTCTGACGCTTCTCGTTGCGGCTCTCCATCCGCGCCTGCACGGCGGCAGGGACGGTGGCGATGTTTTTGATCTCAGCACCCTGCGGATGCGTTCAATCAGAGAACACCCAACACTGGACTCGGATTATAGCGCACGGGGTTGAAGACCGATTCGCCCTTGTTCTTCTTCAAGTTGATCAGATTTTGGCGGTGCTTGTTGATCGTCTTCACGGTCTCCGCGATGGCACTGTCGTGGTCGAACACGCCATCGGCGGTCGTCAGCGCGCTGCGGGCTCGGATGGGGATCGCGATCCCCTCCGGTGCTGGAGACGGGATGGCGCAGACCGAGACGGCCAGCGAGACAGCGAGGAGGAGGGCGCTTTTGTTGAACATCGGGAACGGGGAGGTGTCGAAGACGAAGACGAAGACGAAGGAATGGACGATTTGAAGTAAGTGTTGCTGAATAGCCCTCGTCGGCTCCTCCTAATTCGCTTTTATAGCTCTCTTTTCCGCAGTCGTTCTCCGCCATTGGCCTGCCGGGAGGATTTGATGCCGGTGCGCGACAGCACATGGATCCAGGAAGAGCATGTGGCGCACATAGCGACTCGCGCACGGCTCGTGCGCAGCCAATTTCGAGGTGACTAGCCGTTATCCTGATGACTGTTTCACTTGACGGTTGTGCCACACTGTTCTGTGTTATTCTTGTGCCCTATGATCGTCTACTGTCCTCCTCCCGCGTGATATTTCGAGTCGATCCAGTGATACATATCGCAGGCTGCGCTAGTCGAGCCATCGGGTATCCTATGCGTCTAAAAACAGAAACGTTCACCGTTAGTGACCTACGCTCGTAGAATGAGCAGCCAACGAGGAGACACTGTCACATGCTCCCTCGTCGTCCCTCCATGATAGCCATAGTAACTCGAAGCTGCGATGAGGCGCAGGGATCCCGATCTTCAGATAGCAGCCTAGGTGTCCGTGATTCTGACATACACAGCGGGGAAGAAGTTCCTGCGGTCTGTCGGACCTCGTCACTCAGAATCGGACTCCGAGCCAGGCGTCTTTCGCCGCTGATTCTGCTGGGCGGCCTAGATGCAAACGGCAAACCCGTATGGGCAGCACTTGACCCTTTGGGCATGGTTTCCGTCAAGTATGGTCAACGCATTAGGCAAGGGAATGAATTGATTGATACCGCCATCGTGATCGGATCGAGAAACGGTGATGGCTAAGCCCATGTACGCGGTGGTATGTGCTATTAGGTGGATGTGTTTGTGTAATGTCCGTTGTTCATAGAGTTGATTATGGCTGGTTATGATTGGTATGAAGTATTTATGCTGAATTTCACTATCTGAAATGTACGGAATCATGTCGAGATCGAGAGACCGCGCATCGCCGGCACTCAGGTCGTACCTGGTTTTCACCACCTGATCCACTACCTGTGCTTGTCCTATGGTTGCGGGTATTAGGCTGATCAAATTTACATGTGCTAATTAGCATAGGTAAATTACCGTAAATTACCTATATCTGGCGCAGAGTCTGAAATCTGTATGCAAATTAGCCATCCCCAGTAAAATAGGTTCAGGGGAAATGATCCCCTTGATAAGAAGTAAAACTCGCTACTTACTGTGCCTGAGCAATAAGCCCTGAGCAGTCACAGATATGTGACGAGAAATTCTCCCAATCAGCTCTAGTGAATACCTCGAGACGCTCTGCGGTCGGCTGCCCTCAATGATGGACTCAGAGTGCCATCGAGATCTTTCTACCCTAGCAATCTTGCTGGATAACCTTCCGCATCAACTCCCAGAAGCCTTACCTAGTGCGCCAGCAAACAAGCTGCTCGACTTTGCCTTGGACTTGGAGTGGGTAGATGATGTCGGCGAAGAGGCAGCCGCAAACCGGGAGCTGGAGATTTCGCTGGGACCACGCAATCATCAGGGAATCTTTGCTATAGAATCACGAGGACCTGGAATCCAGTGCCTCTCCTCCGTTCTTGTGTCATGGATCCAGAGATATCCGAAGAACGTGATCTTCCGGAAATGGCTGCAAGACGCGATTGCCTCAGCACAAGATGTCTTCAGCAGATTCGGAGTCGAAGTAAGCTTCTGTGATATGTGTGAGCGACGTGCTGATGGAACATAAGATCCCGGGAGAAGCACCCAAAGTCGTGGGATCTCCAGCAACGGCTGTTGATGGGAAGCTAGGGCTCACGAGTGTCAGGCAGACGACTCTGTCCTTTGGAAAGATATTGTCTAATACACAGGGGACAAAGAAAGACAAGAAACGAAAGATTCTTGATCATGATCAGCTCAAAGCGTCTTCTGCGGCTACCAAGCACCGACCTGACAGCAAGATTGTGACTAGTTTGGACGATCCGAATTGAGTGGATGCACCAGAGGATGACGACAATCGTTCGGGTGGTCGTACAATAGAGCCCGTACTGCTCAAAGTCTCGAAGCCGTTCTGGGTGGATGAAAGCTCAAAGAAGAAGGGTGTCCGTTGTGCAGCCAGCGCGTCATGCGGAACGATTTGGGCTAGTTGGCCTCGAAACAAGCAACGCGTTCTGAAACATGCATCAGCGTGTGGCTCGTTAGCAACTTACAACGGCGGAGAGCTGGTGACGAAGGCGTTACACATCCATGCGCAGTCCAACCCCAAACTTTTGGAGCAGCTGAGGACAACAATGGGAATCGAGCCCAGGAGCACCACATCAAGCTCACAAACTGAAGCACGCAACAATCTTGTGGAGCCTCAGGAGCCTCCGCCGCTGAAACGACAACGGACTGTGGTAATGACAGCTGCACCAGCACAGCCGAGCAGCACACCGTCTGCCATCAATATCGACAGCGAAGTCCTCCCAGAGTCGGAGGAGAAACGGCGGTACCAGACTGAGGGGCGAAAAGATCTTGCACGTAAAGCAAATGACGCTGTGACGGTTGTATCCCTCCTCTTGCTTACCTGACCGCAATGACTCCCCATCAATGATTGTTCGTATTTACGTAGATAGTTTGATCGTAGTATAAGTACCTAGGAGTGTACGATCGGTACACTAGTCAATTCTAAAAGCTTATCCCTGTCATTCGTGGATTGACTACCCAGAACTCTTGTGTCGGAACTCGTTCTCGGACGCTTCCGCCACATATTTTTTGACAGCAAAAGCTCTACTATCTTCACATCGTTCTGGCTACCACTCGGATTGATCTCCCGCGACGGCCGACTTTGACGAAGACCCATAAACTACACAATACCGCTACCATGCAACAACCTATACCAACCGCCCCCACTCGTTCCCTGCGCCGCCGCAACTCCCGTGGCAACGTAATGACGACAGGGGAGCTAGCTGCGCTACCACCTCCCACCTCGGTGGAGCGCCCCCCGGCCCAGGAGCGCACCTACGCTAGAGTAGTGTCCCCGGCTCCGGCCAACCCTCCCCAGCCCGTCGACGCGTCCTTGACCGTCGGCGGAGACATAGCGAGTAACCCCTTCCCGGGAGAAAGCCCAGCCCGTGTACACACGGAGAATCCCCAACCGCCCCTGTCTGTACTGGTCAGGGGCGAGACCGATCGCCAGCGCATGCGCACCACGATCGAGGACGTCGAGGACGAGGAGGGACCCTGGACTTTGGCCACCAGACGGACGGCTCGCACCCACCGGGAGTCCGTTAGCAGCGTAGCCACCAGTGTTTCAGTTAGAATCAGCGAGAGGCGCAATGAGACGTACAACAGTCTGGAGGAGCTCACCTCCATAGTGGACGAGGCGGCTGAATCTATGTCGCCCGAAGTGCTGCGCCTGATCTCGGACCGCTACGCCAGCTTGGCTAACGCCGCTGAGCAAAAGACACCCGTCTTCAAACGGGAGTCTGACAATGACATGACTTCTGAGTCGGACGCCAGATCGGACGCGATCGGCGAAATGTCGTCAAGGATGGTCGAGCCCGGAGAAAAGGCCGACCATGTGTTAGAAAACGGAAGTGATTACATTCACCCGTTGGAAACAGCCGAGTGGTCAGAGGACAACGGGGGATCTTCTCCGCCGATTGCCGGTCCATCGCAGGAAAAGGGCAAAGGACCCGACCCAGGCAACTGGGGAGAACTTGGTTTATCCGACGCCGAGCTGGAGGGGCAGAAAGTAGCCTTCCAGGCCTTTGAGTCGGCCCAGCGAGAACGGAATCGCTGGAAACCCGACCCGAGGAACACCAGCGCGGCAGATAAGGCGGCACTTTGGCCAACCGAAAAACCGCACTCGCCCGAGTCGCCGCTCGCCGAGAGGCTCGAGATAATCGAGGCACCACAGGGTGAGGAGCTGGTGAATCAAGGCGTGTTCCTGAGGGAGTTCTCCCGAATGCGGGAGCGCATTGCCGAGCTTGAGGCCCGAGAACGGAGGAGAGGAGTCTCAAAGCACCCCGAAGCTCGCCATCAGAAGACGCGCGAGAGCGAGCCTCAGACGTCTCGCCATAAGGGGAAGCGCCCGCAGGAAACACCGACCTCCGAGAGAAGACGCTCACGTTCGGGGAGAGAGACCGCCGGCTTTGTTACTAGTGTCCTAAGGGGGGTCAGCCTCCAACCTTCCGATGACAGTAGCTCCGGCTCGGAATCCTCGACGAGCAGCTCTGGTTCAGATGACGAGGGCTCGGATGGACCGCCAAGCGACTCCTCGAGTGAATCGGATTCGGACACCAGCGACTCAAGCTCGAGTGCAGACGGCTCGAGCTCAGACTCCGGGTCTTCGACTGGGAAGAACAAGGCCAAGAGAAAGAAACGAAAGACAAGGAGGTCTGAAGACCGACCAAAGGGTAGGATGTTGGTAAAACCTAACCCCCCCGCGCGCTACGACGGATCTGAGAATGCAGACCTTTACACGCAATTCGTTGACGAGTCCAATAGGTATTGCGAGCTCGGAAACGTGCCCAGAGCTCATCGTGTTGCGATCATCGGGTCCTTCCTGGACGGCGACGCCAAGGATTTCTACAATAGGCGGATTCGCGGCCATGAGTCCGACTGGACGCTGAAGAAGATGCTGCGTCGGCTTCTGAAATACTGCTTCTCGCTGGATTACCGCCAGAAGCAGCGTAAGCGGCTGGCGCGCTGCCATCAGAACGGCAAATCAGTCAATAAGCACGTCTTGGAAATGGAGAGCATACTCTTACAGATCGGATTGAGAAAGGACCGGGAGCGGGTCGCTCTGCTCTGGAATAGCTTGGATGCAGACATCCAGGAAGAGCTGTTCAGGTTCGGCCTTGACCCCGAGAAATCAAAGTGGTCCCGTGTGGTGAAGAAGGCGGTAAGGGCTGAGCGCTTTCTGAGCCTAGACAAGCGGCGAAAGGGTAAGGGTACAACGAACAACGTAGCCAGCCCCAGCGCAGTGACCCCAGGCACCGGTCGGGAAGCAAGGAAGAAGAAGTTCTTCCCGCGCAGACAAGGCGGGGTTATCAAGACCGCAGCAGCCGTAGTAGTCCCGCCTCGTGAGAGTGGGCCTAAGCTTGCTTCCCGCTACACTCCCGTTCCTGGATCAACGTCAGCTCCTTCGAAAGTCCCAGAGAAACAGGGAGAGCGACCATGGGAGCGTCGACTTTCACCTCAGAAGAAGGCTGAGCTGATGTCGCGGGGGGTCTGTCTAAATTGTGAAGAAGCCGGTCATATGGCGCGCAGCTGCCCGAAGCTCACTACGATGAAGTCCAAGGTGAAGGGGAAGCCCCCAGGATTCGGGGCGCACGGAGTAAGCCTGCGCTTGGCTTCTCTGGGAGAAACCACTGAAGTGCTGGACACGTTGGAGGTCTTGAGCGCCTTCCCAATAGGATTTCGGGAAGACGGTGCTGTGCTAGAGCAATGGTCAGATCTCGAGTGGTCTGAAGAGGGCACGGAAGACTGGGACGACCCTGAAGAAGCGGAGGTTGACGAGCTGGAATACGTCGTGCGTGGAATAGACGACAGTTCGGAGGTGGAAGAGCTGGTGCACGGGATCAGATCCATGACGCTGGACCCTCATCCCGAGGATGACAGCAGGCTACGTCGACCTGAATGTGGCTTAATCGACCGGGCCGCTGATTTGGTTACCAATCCGGGCCCGGGAGATGTGGGCATCGGGGATCTTGCGGCCCGGTTTGCCAGCCTGGTCCTTCAGCAGTGCGTGCCCTTCCCGGGCGACGACGGCTCCGAACCCACGGAAGGACGGTTTCTCGTGTACCGCGTCCTGGAGGAGGACTACTACTGCATCCTGGACTGCGGAACGCCCCTGAATATACTGGAGGGCGATGAGCTGGTAAAGTCGTGCGACTTACACGATCCTAATTTTGAGCTGGGCTGGCATTGGGCACAAAAATGCTATCTAGCGCAGGGTATTCACCCCGACGCGCCAGACTTAGTGCTCCCAGAACGATACTTCCGTGCGTTGGGCGACTCCATTTTTGCAATGACCCTCATTATTCTACAACAGTACGAATCGGAGCACAAGGGAAGCTCACTGATCGAAGGACAAGAAGTGTCGCCCAACGTGTTTGAGATTAGCCGTACGGGTAGCAATGTACGTGTACAAATGGAGCGAGCTACCCTGATGGACCAGAACTTTGACCTGCACCGGTGGTACAACGATCACATGGATGGCGACACGGGGTTGTACGACGACCTTCCCCTCCTGGAAAGCTCCAGTGAATCCGACGGCGAGCCCGAGGGAGAAACAGACGAACCGACCAAGACATCCTGGCAGGCTTGGGTGAGAGCGACTTCCGACTGCGGACTTCAGCCAGATCTCTGGCCGAGCCCAGTCACCTCAACGGATGTGGCGGGTGATGAGTTGCCTGAAGAAGCGGCCCAAGTGGGCAGTGGTCAGTGGGACATGTGTTTCGATGAGCCCCGGTGATAGGCTGGCTACCAGACGCGCTCTGCACCAGCTCTGTAAGGGCGTATTTTTGCGCTTTTTACAGAGTTTACTCTTGAACCATTCGGTGTATCGTGTCGCGGTTGACAGTGTTGCGCTCAGTAGGACTTAAGGGTCTACTGCCCAGTCGACGACTGTGGATAGTGTCGACGATAGCAAGGCAGTCAGACCACTACTGTGGAACTGGTCTTATGGGTCTACACCAGGCTCAGGGCCATTAGTGACGAACGCTTGGACCGCGACCATTCCCCAAAAAGGGATCTGTCGTTGCGTCGACTTCTCGAAAAGGGTCATTCTCTGCAGATGGGAACTTGGGCTGAAGGGCTGAGCAATGCGCGACGTTCTCAATAATAGAACTACTACTGGACAGGACTTGGCGTTACGAGACTTAAACCATCTTGTCGCGGCAACTCCCGGTTTTGAGTTGGACGTCTCCTCAGATCATGCCACGACGACGACTTGTCACATGTCAGGATCCATTCGATCACGGGACGTTGTGGACGCGTCGCGGTGACACTTCCAAGTGTCACGGCAAGTCGCGTCCATACCCAAACACACTAGAAACCGACACGGCTAGATCCGTGAACCGAGCCATGTGGGGGACGACTGGTGTGCCTAGGGCCATACGGCTTCTTGGGGCGCCCACGTTGGTCTCACTTGCCAAGACATACCCGTTGGCCAATCCAACACGTCGTATTCCAAAAGTATGACGCGGTGAGTTGACCCACATCAAAAGTATCATATGGACAATGGGGCGGGGTCCTGATCACTCAGGACCTGTCCGATCGTTCAACTTTTCAATTACCCTAAAAGGCAACCGATCTTAGATAGCGTAGCTACTATGCAGTTGTACAGGACTTTACTAAGCAGCGTCGTAGACAGTATAAGTAGCACGTCGTTTCTTTGTATTGGGGAGCTTTCCCCCGGACTGTGAATCACTCTCATATCAGATTGTTTTGTACAATTTGCGTGCCGCGTGATTCCACCCTAAGAAGTTCTGCTACCCCTGCCCGGTCGCGACGAGTTGCTCCCTGAGCACTTGTAGCTACTGTGATTTGAGTTTGAGTTGAGACATCAGAAAGTCGGATT